GTCCACATTATGTCTGCCTGTCTATGTATTACATACACCCTTTCATTGATATCCTCCAAGTTGTATTCGTCATAAGTTTGTATAAAATTTTAGTCATGTTGTAATAAACATGTTTTTAAGTGACTTTCAAAAGAGATTCTAAATTCGTCTTTATTTTATTTTTGTTGTGACTATATTTAGCGATTCTGTTACCAATTCTGGACCGATGTTGATAATTTTATTTTTACAATCAATATTATACGTATCAATGGCTTTACTCAATGAAAAATATATAAATATCGAGATTTCCTCATTTTTTTTTTTTTTTTCTGAAGTTGCCTTCATGCCTCACAAATAGTTGTCCTCTAATGTAATTTATTAACTTGTTAGACTAAAATAAAGTGCCTTGCAAAATTTTTAATTGATATTTTCATACATGTGTCGTACGAATTTTTTTTTTCCAATAAAATTATAAAATTGTATTTGAAATAGATCATAAAATAAATATGCCGACTACTTTGAGGTAGTTGGAAATATTTATCGTTTTTTTTTTCTTTATTATGAAATTAGTATAAGATCTCAAGATAATAAATTAAGGATTTTGTTTCTGTATAATAAAGCTACCTCCATACGCTACATGAGAGTAGGTACACCCTATCAATGGCAAAAAAAATCACAAATGATTCAATATATGCGAAAATTTCGTGGAATATCGTTAAAAGTGGATTCACTGTAACCTCTGATAAATTAAGGAAATTGCGCCGTTTATGTCATATACATCAAGGCGTTATCGTTCGCAGTCTTTATCAGCTTTGTACATAATTCTATTTCAAACCTTTGAAGTTCCTTGTGATGTGCATATGTTTGATTAGAGCTGTTTTTACGGTACTATAAACGTGAATACAGTAAAAATTTACGCTTTTATTCATAAAAATGTCAAACTTGTTATAAACCTATTTTATAAATTGAACTGTTTTGTCTCTTTATTTAATACTACATTCCAAATTTGAAAAGAAAGTGACAAAACATTTAAATAACTAAAATAGGTTTGTAGTAGGTTTTAGTTTTTATGAATAAGGTATAATTTATCTCAATTATAAAAAAAAAAAAAACAGTTAATTTCTTGCTCGTTTTTATTACTTGAAATTGCATTTCGAACGGGCGGTGGAATTATAAAATAAATAGCTATTCAACAATGCTTATATACTTAAATAAAAATTACTCTTTTTCTTATTTTTACAAGATAGTTTTTTTTTGTAACTTAGAATGGCAATCAAGCTAACGATCTACCTGATGGAAAGCGGTAACCATCGCCTATAGACATGAACAGTATCATGAACATAACAAAGTATACTGTGTCGCCTGTGAGATAGTTATATAACTATGTATAACTATTATGGCCAGACAATCCTGTACCATGGGCGTTATTTTTTATCTACATGTTTTGCTTCATCCACTATTGTGACTACTCTTATCCAGCACTAGTTAAAGGATTCATAATTTCTCCATCAGTATAGGATCTATCTAAATAAGTAGTAAAAGTAGACTAATATTTTTCTAAATTAAAATATATATCTTTTTTTTTATACAACTTAGAATGACAAACAAGCTGACGGCCCACCTGATGGAAAGTGGTAACCGTCGCCTATAGACATGAGCAGTACCATTTACATAACAGAGTATACTGTTTCGCCCATGATACCCCCCATGCGTTGCAACTTCTGAGAACTCAACTATATTCCCCTGTACACTGTAAATTCACTGTCATATCCCCTTCAAACGGAAACACAGTCATGCAAACACAACTGCTTCACGCTAGAAACACGAATGGGACAGAGGTGTCCAAACAAACGACTTTTGTACTAAGTCTCCCTCCTTAAATATTGGTCCAATAGAGAATATTATTCAATTAAATATCAATTATCCAATAAATAATTTCGAAATGAATCGATATTAATATAAATATGTGACTAGTACGGGCGATATTAAAATCGGTTATGAACCCAACATATCGATATCGGAATGGTACCGATATTACCCACACCTCTTATCATCATCATAATATCAAACGTCTACCGTCCACTGCTGAACAGAGGCCTCCTCCATAAGGGGAGGTTTTGCTAGTAATTGCCACGCTTGGCAGGTGGACTGGCAAAGGCAGTTCTTTTTAATGGGTGATAATGGAATGACAGCCCCGCCCGCGCTAACGGTATACACTTCGACCTCCACGTGGTCTCCCTGGAAACCATCGTGTTGAATTCCAGGTGTTTTCATCATTATGTGCTAACTGACCTGTCTTTTTATTCTCACCTATCATCCCTCACTGGTGCCCCGCCAACGTAAATCGATAGCGCAGGCGGGGTTACCATTCCATTATCATTTATTAAAAAAACGGTATACACTGGCGGGACACCAATGACGGATGATAGGTGAGAGTGAAAAGGCAGGTCTGTTAACCTGTTAGTGATGAGTACGCCTGGAATATGCCAAGACCACACGGCATGCATATTATAGGCTGGTAGAATTCCGGGTTATTCACAATATATCAGTGAAGTCAAATAACGTAATCCATGTTAAACCTAATTGCTTAACCGCGAAACGTACGAACGTAATTATCGCGTGTTATGTTGTGAATACGAATAATGTTGTCTGTGTTAGGAAACATTTTGTCACTTCTCATTGCTGCTCCATAACACGGGCCGTTTTTTAAGTCAAGGACTTGATTCTGATAAAAAACAGACCTAATTATAGTATTATTTCAGGAACAATGAAAATCCTAAGTCTGTAAGAGATAATAGTTTATTGATAATGCACGTGTGTTTGTGGATTCGTATGATAACGTGTTATCTGAGCATGACTCGGGTATTAGCTCTCTATATCACTTCTTAACCGACTTAAAAAAAGGAGTGTTCATTTCCACAATGAAGAAGTTTAATTCTATATTTTATATTACACAGTAGGTAGTAATCTATAGCAAAATGAGTTGCAGGAATTATTTACCTTTGATATTTAGTGTTTGATTTTTCTTTTTTTTAGGCAGCGTTGAAATCTGTTTTTGTTTAGTTTGACGAACAGTTGTCAATCCTATAGATGTATTGTGATGAGAAAAATCTTATGTGTACTTCGATCAGGTTTTTGTAGGAATCCCGGACGTTGCACATTTTATTTTGAATTACATTAATAATAAATGGTATGAACAGTTCAGTTTAAATGTTAAACCGTATTCTGAAAACCCCAAGAGAGGTAAAACACATCTTTCAAAGATACGACTTTCAATAATGAAGTAGACGAAGAGAGAGAGAGAGAGACTGAAATAAAAACGTAGAATACCCAATATCCTAATATTTTATATTTATCCTAAGTTTAAAAAACGTATAGAATACGCAATATCCTAATATTGCGTATTCTACACGTTTTTTAAACTTCGATGAAAAGAGAAGGATGTCATAAGTTTGATGTGTCTGTGTCTGTGGCATTGTAGCTCCAAAACAAATGAACCGATTATGATGCGTTTTTTTTTGTTTGTCAGCTGACGTTAATTTTTTAACATACCGTTACCATATTTTTTTTATTTACAAACAACTAACTTGCTAACAATCTCCACGAATCTATCGCGTTATAGACCAAAGGTATCTTCAAACCTTTACTTGTAGATATTTATCACAATTTTGTTTCGTATCTGTCCATATATTTCTCACAGGAATATTAGTTATTACCAGATAGCTATATGGCAGTACATTGTTTCATTTCGAGTTTCTTTCTTGCACTTCTGTATTATGTCCCTAAATCGCTTATGACGTCGTCCTGGGGATACAAAGGAATGATAGACATATTCACCAGAGGGAGACTTTGTACAAAAGTCGATTGCTTGGGCACCTCTGTCCCATTCGTGTTTCAACCGTGAAGCAGCTGTGTTTGCATGGCTGTGTTTCGGTTTGAAGGGTGGGATATGGCAGAATTTACTGGGTACAGAGGAATAACACCTGAGTCCTCAGGAATGGCAACGCATGGGGGGTATCATGAATGAAACAGTATACTCTGTTATGTCCATGGTACTACTCATGTCTATAGGCGATGGTTACCACTTTCCATCAGGTGGATCGTCAGCTTGTTTGCCATTCTAAGTTATATAAAAAATAAAAAAAAAAAAATATTCCCACTTTCGACTCCGTAGGTTTGTATCTTGTACACTATCTTGTTTCTACTTAGATGATTTACCACAACTGCCTTGACATTAATGCCACGGGTTTCCACGTCATTCTCAATTAAACTCACCGCCTATATTTTTTACTCGCAATTTTGTCCTCATGACCGGGTATATTGATTAACCGAAATAAAAAGCAGTCTATATCATCAATTTCTATGTCTATTTAGTATATAAATAGATAGATCTCTTTATTATTAGCTACAATAATAATTAGATAAATAGATAATTTATTTACATTACTTATAGCACAAATTATAAGAAACACAGATATACATAAAAAGCGAGATAAAAAAGAAAGAAATACATAGGTAATAAAGCCAAGAACAATTTTTCCTTTTCTGCGTGTGCCATAACAACACAAAATGGTCACAACTCAGTTTATTGCTTCGCCCTCAAAAGAGCAAAACACTGATATTCTGTTGTGGCCCTTTGACCTTTTTTTTCTTTATTGTTATTTTAATTGTAATTAAGAAAAAAAAGTCAGCTGATATTAGAAGCCGCCTCAGCTATTGCTATATATGCACACCTCTAGCAAGATGTATTTATTTATACGGCGCTGTTTTTGTTGAGGACGTTTCCATTTTAAACACTCTGTGTAACTACTTACGTCTTAATATGATGATTTGTTGAACGGTTACAGCGCTAATAAACAAACATACTTTCACATTTCTATTATTAGTAAGTATTTAGCATGAATTCTGTCACTGCAAAGCAAAGGCCTCAACTACAGCAGTCCTTAAAATACAGTTCAACCTACCATCTTTGTCTCGCTCTCTGTGACCTCAAAAATTAAGCATACTTATTTTTCTTCCAGTCAATCATGGAGTATTACTGCCCGGACATCGCGGCGGGTGGATTAGCATGCTGTGACGGCGAGCAACTCAGAAATCTAAAAGAAAAAATCGCCCCAGCCGAGACCATGCTCTCGCGTTGTCCAAGCTGCTGGGAGAACTTCGTGAAACATATTTGCAGCCTTACATGCGCTCCCAACCAAAGCGAATTTATGTTCCCAAAGGTGCTCGCGGATTACAACAGTAAGTATTTACTATAATCAGTTGATTTCTCTATTTCGTCTGGTTCTAGATTCACTAGAAAAATTGCTTTAGTCCTCCTAAACAAATAAATCTCTATAGAATTGTTTCTGTTAACGTTCACATGAGAATGAACAAGACAGAGCATATCGCCATTTCATACTGTTTCATGGACTCGCTAGCAATAATGTCTTCTATCAATGAATTCGTTTGTACTTTGTCTAAGAGGTCGTATAGAGAGCAAGTTTTATAATAGAGTTGGGGTTTGAAGATTAAGTCTAAAACTACAAGATCTCATCGAAAACATGATAGGCTCAAACTGAGTAAAACTGGCAATGAAATATTGTAAAAATTGCTAAGAGATTATCATCTAGTTTACAAATACTCAGTTCTGTAATAACAACTCATTCGGCGAAATGCTCGATGTTAGGGAATGAATGCCAGAATCCCAACTTAACCTACAGCGTACATACATCAATTCCTCCGATCAAACTGTTTATAACTACTCCTCTCCATCCAAAGGTTGCCTGGAACAGATCGCATTGTTTTCTCAGTGTAAACATTTCTTGTAATTGTTTGTATCAATTTATAATAAGTTTACTATTGTAATATTTTGGAGGAAATAATAAAGAGTGTCTGTCTATCTACGTTTTTGTGACCAGTGAAATTACAGGGTACGGAGACACCATCTTCATATATGTGCTTAATTAATTATTTCAATATCTTATCTATATAAATATGTTATATAAAGTAATAATTCTATTTTCTTTTCAGGTACTACGAAACAAGTTCGTGAAGTAGACTATCATTTAAGCATGACTTACATGTCTGCTACTTTCAACTCTTGCTCGCAGGTGATTACTCTTGTATGATTTTAAATTAACTAAAATTAATAACAATAGCTGAGTAGATGTTGAGTCTGTAGGGCCAGCAATCAGTCATTGGAGGAGGTAAGGCTCAGAATACTTCTTTATGATGATCTTAGTTAGAGATCTATAATCAACAGTTGAAATAATGATACCTAATTTCCATTGATACTAAGGCATCAACATAAACAGACGGAACCAATTACCAAGGCCCGTGTATAGGCCTTGGTATTTGTTCTCTACTTCTCTTTACTTCTTTCTTCGATGTTTTGTCATGATATGATGTACTGTATTCTGACTGAGAGAGAAAAAATCTGTCTGTAACCCACATGTTGTAATGTGCACAAGGTGGATTTAATGCTAAAAGCATTCTCTCTTAGTCAACCGTAGTTGAAGAGATAATTAAATCCGACTCTACAATTAATTTCTACTAATATCTTATACTAATATTTACGTAGATAAACAAATTATATATATATATATATATATATATATATATATATATATATATATATAATCCATCAACTGTCTCCTCCTGAACATGGACCTCTTCCTGTTGGGAGTTTTTGCCACGCTTGGCAGGCGGATTGGCAACTGCAGTTAGGTTTTAATGATGTTTTAAGAAAGACGCTGCTGCCTATTTTTCAACCATTAAATTACCTTAGACGCCGCTTACGACACAAACGGGAAGGAAAGTGGTGGTTTGTTCTATGCCAGGACAACAAACCATAAAGGACATACATAAAATATACTTGTACATGAATAAAATCTAAATATTACATTACTTTTCAGGTACAAATGCCGTCGAGCAACCAGTTGGCATTCGACGTACTGTGCGGCGACTACTCGTCGAGGTACTGCACGCCGCAACGCCTGTTCGACTTTTTAGGCAACGCGTCCTCCCCGTTCGTGCCGTTCCAGATCAACTACATCAGCAACGATACAGCCGGCGACGGGTTCATACCTAACAATCCGCCCACCACGCCCTGCAACGTGGGCAAGAATGTGAGTAGAACCCGATGTTCTGTTAATACTTTAATATTTTTTAATGGATAATAATAGAACGATTATCCTGTCTGCGCTAACGGTGTACACTGGCGGGGCACCAGTGGGGATGATAGGTGAGGGTATACGTCTTGAAAGGAAACCAGAGCGATAGGTGAGGGTGAAGCAAGTCAGTTGGCCTATTGTGACTAATTTAACAATAAAATTAATTACAAGAGTTTCTAGAGGGACCCGCGTGGAGGTCGACCTGATAGAGTATATTTTAATACTTAGATTATAAACTTCTTTATTATTGGAGTGTCGAGTGACAGAAAAAAAACCCAAGAGACGGTCGGTCGATTGTTGGTGGACGCATCGTTATTCATACTGAAAGTACATTAACAGCATTGAGACATTCACAATGAAAAATATTAATATCGTTATCATATAAGCTGTTAATTGTCCACTGCTGAACATAAACTTTCCCCTATTGGAAGGGGGGGGGGGGGAGGGTTGCTAGTAGTTACCACGCTTGACAGGCGAGTGTGCCACCGTAGTTGGCCTTAGTGATGTTCTAAGTGGGACTCTGCTGTCTATCCCTTAATCATTAAATTCCTTTATTAACCTCTTACGCCACCCGCGGGAATGAAAGGGGTGGGTTATTCCATGTTAAGACTAAGTGGTTAATTTATAATACTAAGAAAACAAAAATGTAGCAATTTTTACAAATATAATGAATATTTAACTTGAGCTCGTATTATTACACAGGGCCAGCCGGGCTGCTCGTGCCTGGACTGCGCGGCGTCGTGCCCCGCGCCGCCGCCGCCGCAGCCGGCGCCGCGCCCCTTTAGCATCCACGGCGCCGACGGCTACGCGGTCATCATGGCCATCGTCTTCGTCATATTCACCACACTGTTCCTTAGCGGCGTCTACTGCTGCAACCAGCAGGAGAATGCAATCGGTGAGTGCTTCGCTAACAGTTACAGTACAGGTTAATTACAATTATTTTGTTTAATTCCACTACCATTAGTATGTAGTTGCATGTGTACTAGTAGTAGTGGATTTAAACAAAATAATATTTGCTTTTGTTTAAACTTTCATTAACTAGGAATACAATTGCCCCATGTATTTATGGTTAAGTATGGTATAATATCTATTACTTAAAATATAGTATCTGTTGTGGTTGATTGAAATAATTTTGTTTTATTCCGCTACCAGTATGTAGTAGCATGTGTACTAATATTAGCGGAATTAAACAAAATAATACTTGCTTTTGTTTAAGCTAAGACTATTTTCATTGACTGGGAATACATTCCTCCACATACGTATGATTAAGTATTTCTTACTTATATTATCATAATGTAGACTGAGGTATCTATACCAGTGAAATATGTTCAATATTTTTTCTAAAGAAACACGAGTCGGAAAACGACAATATATGCTGAACTTTCTATATTAACACGACAGGTCTAATTGTCAAGTTAATGTGAAAGTTTCAATAACTGTTTACTGTTTTTCGATCCATATATCTTTAAGGAAAAAGTGCATTTTTTCTGACAAATTATTCTCTAAATAGAATGAGAATTATTTCGATTTCACCCAGTATTTGTAATATAAAATTACTCAAATGAATCTAAAGACAATTATGTTGACAGGATTTGGTAACAACTAAAACTGTGGATATGGGAGAATATTTGGATTTGTTATATGGTGGTGGATAATCAATAGTCGATCATCAGAGACAGTAGAAAAAGATTCAAATCAGTTTCTGGTTTATAACTTTAATTCCTTGTAAAAGGCCAGTAGTAAATTATATCTAAAAGCATTATATTTTATTATGAATTCACTAAAACGGTAATAGCTGGTCATTATTACCACTTTCCATCAGATGGGCCGTTAGCTTGATTGCCGTTCTAAGTTGCATAAAAAAACTTACACTTAATAAACATAATATAAAAAAATTTAATAATATAAAATAATGATATATATATATAAAATATGTATCATAAATATATATGTATAATATTACCAATCCTAATAATGAAGTACAGCGTTCATGATTCACTGTTCATACAAAAAGTTGACTGGCAGAGAATGCTACTATCATTAAATCCACCTCGTTTACCTTACTTTTATTTGATCAATAAAGTTATTTAAATAAATATTACAAAAATTTCGACAACTTATGTAAAAACTTATATTGTTTTAAATTAATTTATTGTCTCTGTTGAACGATAGAACTGTTTTATAACAGACATTTTTATTTCAGACTAATTCAATATATTTTCCTTTTATTTGTTAGTGGTTAAATAAGGATAAAATTATTATCAAATATATTCTATATATTTTATTATATAATAATTAACACGTATGACGAATGAAAGAAACACATTTTGTTAATAAAAATAGCACATTTATAACAGTGTCATACTATTATATTTGTAAGCCACGCCAAGGGAGATTCTCAAAATTGTGCCCCTTAAATTTCATGTCATTTCACACACGTAATTTTTTTATGTACTCTAATAATTTCACTTCAAGTGGATGAGAAAATAATACAATGTATATAATTATTAAATAAATAAATATTTATATTAAAATAAATCAATTATTTATCGATATAACATTGCATATTAATATTTTATCTTTTTTATTAAATTACCAAAATAAAACAAAAAATAAGATTGTTTCAAGTATAGAAAAAAAATTAAATATTTCTCTTATGGCTGCATTATATTTTATTTTTATTATAGTCTATAAAAATCCTACAAACTCAACGACATCTCGATTATTTATGTATTCATAATTTATTCATTTATGTATTAAAATTTTTCAAACAGCTAAAGCTTACATTACACACCAAAGAGCAGAACACATTGTTTTTTTTTTTATTAATACTTTGCTGGCCGGTGACGAGTTAACTCGTCTTTTCGTATCCAATCGTTGCTGACCGGTGACGACGTAAACTCGTCATTGCACTAGCGTGTAGGTACGTCCTCCTACCACGGGGGGGGGGGGGAAGGATTGTTAGCAATGGAGTTTGACAGCCCCATTGCTAGCAATATACCTTATTAGGTCGACCTCCACGTGGTTCCCCCTGGAAACCATAGTGAACAATTCTTGTTGAATTCGTCACGATGGGCTAACTGACCTGCTTCATCGTCACCTATCATTCTTCACTGGTGCTCCGCCGGTGTATAGTGATAGCGCGGGTGGGGTTACCAATCCATTATCATCCATTTAAAACCTACCACGGGCGAGACCGTTTGGATTACAAATAGTTCATGACCAAAAAATTTCTTTGTATTCAGGTTTTTATCCACAATTTTAGTTTAATTCCAAAGATTTCGACCATGACGGAATTCCCCGTCAGCAAAGTGTTAAGTGAAGTATAATTAATTTATAGTTTGTAGTAATATGACACTGATTTCAGCATAGCACAAAATATGTTTGCATACATTACGTCAAACCATTACAGACATTATGGTGAAGGTGTTTTTAAGACATTTCTATCTCATTAATATTTAAAAAAAATTGTGTATTCATATAATTTACAATTGAAACTTATTCTTTGTTTAATTTTATTAATAAAATTAATTGTTAGAAATAATAACGGTAACAATATTGATTTAATTCATAATTTATATGAATATACAGTAATTTAATATTAAATATTGTACCGAATTCAATTGTAATAGAAATATAATCGAATATCGAGAACATTTTGATTGAACGATGAAATTTTGTTTGATGAAAACGGCATTGAACATCTTTATTGAATTTGGTTAAAAATAAATCAAAATAGAACGCCTGCTGTTCCGCGACACGTAAATAAACGCATGTATATAGCAAATACTTTTCCAACACAATCGGTTAGATTGGTAAATACTTTTCTAAAACTTTCTTCGTAAAAGATCACCCATTTAAGTGTCGAGCGGTGACCCTGTAGGGCGTCCTATTCTGATTTATGTGACCGGTGTGGGGTGTGGGTTACGGGGGGGTGTGGTGCGGAGTAAACTAACGCTAACGGCGGTGCTTGGGACAGAGTGGGCGCGGGCGGCGGAGGCGCGGCGCGGCGGCGGCCCCGAGACCAGTCCGCTGCACAGCCACCGCTCTAGTACGTATCGCGCTCACGCACTCGCCTATACACACGCTCTAGCATACGTTCGCATGCTGTAGCACGTGGAAGCATGCGCACGCACGTGGTCGCACGTTTACGCATTCCTAGTCATCAACCTGAAATATACTATAAATAATTGGGAAAAAGAAATTTAGAATTATAAAATGTTTATATAATTACTAAAATTAAAAAAAAAAACTATTTTCTTTGTGGGAAAAGCAGTCATTTTAATTTGAAAACAATACTACTGAACTGATTTTTATAAAATTTCTATGTAATTATTCTGTAAGTGTTATCATTTCAAATAAAAAAAAAGTATATTCCAAATCGGACAACAACAACAGAGTTATGAGGTAACAAACATAAAAAAATACAACTGAATTGAGGACTTCCTTCTTTTTGAAGTTGTTTGATTATAGTTCTTTTATTTAGTTATAAACTAATTTAGATACTGCATGCCTTTTAATGTGCTTTATAAGTAACTATACACTTAAGTAACCACCAAATATGCTTGATCTTTCTTGTGCATGATATTTTAGTATTATACTAAATAATTCAGTATTGATTATTACAATAGACTTTGTAAGTATTAATTTTATTTATCTATATATGTATACGTATATATTTACATTGTTGTGTTGTCAAAACGTCATGTCAACGTCAAACGTCAATAATTCAGAAACGTCAGTCAGTCAGTCACGTAAATTAAAAATTGAAATACTAGAAATTAAATAAAATAAAATTATACACTATCCCGCCTTATTCATAAAAACGAAAACCTTCTACAGATCTACTTTAACTATTACACTGTTCTGTCACTTACTTTCAAATTGGAAGTTTAGTGTAAAAAAAAGAGACAAAACAGTTAAATATCTAAAATAGGTTTACAAGAGGTTTGACGTTTTAATGAATAAGGGAATAAATGCATAGATTGATGAATGTGGAAGAAGCAAAAGAGGTTTGTTTGAATCGAAGCATTTGGCATTCCATTGTTCCTGCCTACCCTAATGGGAGACAGGTGTAACAGATATGTATGTATGTAATAAATGGTTACAAATTTTATGAAAATATAATATTACTTATTTCCGTACATTTTTATGTAGCAATTAAAGTATTGTGCATTTATGAAAACGTCCATTGTTTGCAATGTACTTACTTTTGACTTTATAATGTGTCCTTTACACGTGTACCGTCATTGTATGTGAATTGTAACAGTGTAAAATATATGTGGCATTCTTGTAATAAGTCAAGGTAGAACAGTTATAAAACGGTATATAAATCTATAATAGCAATTTATACCTCTACTTTTTAGGTTCCGTACCTCAGTTCGTTTTCCGTACGAGACCCTTTTTCTTGGAAATGCGTAGAGAGGTATCAAATTGAATGAATGAATGATAACTTTATTTGCCCGAATTTAAAATTAATATCATATACTCAAGTCTGCAATCTCTTAATGCAGTGAAAAAATCGACGCAATCAAAAGATACGGCCGTTTATGTTCTATATTTATATCGCATATTTTAATATTCACAAAGGGAATCAAAACCTATAGGGTACTTCCTGTTGACCGAGATCCATGAAATTTGGCATGAAGCAATGTCATGTAGCACAAGTAAAGGAAAAAATGCTAAATCCGTAAATTTGTACTTATTTCACAAAAAAAAAAAATTAAACTCGATTTTGTATGGAATCCTCGTTGCATGAGTCCGTCTCGCATTTGACCGACTTTTTTCTCTTTATAGTACTACTCGTATAATTGCTAAGATATGATAAAAGACTCAAAACAAGCAACTCCTCTCCTGTTGCAATTTTCATGGTCGACTGTAGCCGCTTTCCATCAAGTGGACCATCTACTCGTTTGCCTCCCTAACAATAAAAAAGCCTTTTTAGGTCACATACTATGCTAAATGAATAAAATAAATAATGGTTGATATGAACGGAATAATAAAGTTATTAAAGAAATCATAAATAATCCAGTAAGTTAAAGAAGTCAACAGTGTCGATACCAGTGATTCGGTATAAGGTATATCACGTTATCGAATACTGTAAATAGTGTCATATAATGATGGTAAACAATAATATGCTAATATTATTACATATTTGGTGTCCTGTGGTCCCGCCATAGGCATAGACGTAAGAGGCGACTAAGGGAGGGCGAGGGATGAGCAGCAGCGTACCTCTTAAAACATCTCTAAAGCCTAACTGCGGTTGTCAACCCGCCTGCAAAGTGGGAACTACTGGCAAAAACCCCAAAGGGAGGCTTATGTTCAGCAGTGGACAGGTGAAAGCTGATATGATGATGATTATTACATATGTAAATCATTCTCTAATGGTTATTTGATGATTGAAAAGTTGCGAATAGGACGGGAGATCAAACCGACTCCTAAGGCGTCCAGAGGTCAGTGATCTTACCGATTAAACTTCTAAAAGAACTTTGTAAAAGTAAATAATTCTTAGCAAGTGTTTTATCTCGTATCTCTAAGTTATTTGAAGCCTCCAAACAAATAACTTTCGAATTCTGTTTGAAAATATTTTTAAAGGCTTACATTTTCTAACCTTTTTTTTTTAGAATTCTATATCTTTGGATTTACGCGAGTTTATATTTAGAGTTAAATGTTGACGCTTGTTTCTACCTTGCCTTATTTAAATGTATGTAAAAGTTTTGTGGCAGAGCAGGAAATATTTAGTACAATGTCTCGGCATTACCTTGTCATATTTTGTCGCCTCGACCGCTGATATCCGAGATTGTATCTTTTCGCTGTAACAATAAGACTTATTTTTGTGTAAATATTATTTTTCTTGACACTGGAGTATTTTAATTTATAGTAACGTATAAGTACTTGGGTAACCTACAAAAATTGCCAGTGAAATAATAAAGTACAAAATGATATTGCATAAGGGCATTACTATGGGCGTCGCAGTATATTCTATGTCATATTTGATAATTTAATGTTTATAGGCAGTGATTATCTTTAGGTGGGCCATCAGCTTGTATACCATTTCAAGTTACAGGCGTCCATAGGCTACAATAACCCAATGTACCGTCAGACTGGCTGTATGCTTATTTGCCACCATTGTTGTATAAAAAAAGTTTAAAAGAAAAATTACACAGTAAACAAAAGGGTCCTTGTACTAAATTCTTCGTGCTCTGCTACCAGACTTATATTACAAGTATATGATTTTATATATATAGTATATAATATAATATTATTCATTATTAGGTGTAGCATCTGAGGGTAACCAGGACATGCCCGGGGAGCCCCCGTCTGGATGGACCGGGGATCAACCCGACGGTGGCGCAGATCCGACCTTCTTTGAGAAACTCGGCGCTTCCACTGAGAGGATACTCGAGGACTTCTTCGAATGGTGGGGCAACATTATGGCGTCTAGACCTTGGGTTGTACTGTTTTGGGGTAAGGAATTTTCTTTAGCTTGTTTGACACTTTTTATCCTTAACAATATAAATATAGAAAATCTGTTTTTATTTGACGATAGTGTAGTATTATTTATGGTTCATTTTTTATCATATTAATAAGGATCAGCTTGATTGGTTTTTACTAGTACATATTGTCAAAAAAAAAAAGAATAAAACAAGGGTTTTCATAAACTTTATACTAGGTACCTTGTTATATTTTTTTACATTAAGCATTAAATACCTGTGCTTAAATATCTGTATTTATTTGTGAATTTATTGGTATTAGATATAATACATTAATTCTTAAAAATAACAAAGCATGAGTGACACTTTGGACGTCATAGTAAATTCTGTACTTATAACTTCTTTCCAGTAAGTAGGCCAAGAGCTCCATTGTCATTTCAAGCTGTAGTAAAAAGTTTTATCCGTATTGTAATGATGAAATGAAATATTAAATTCGATAAAAAGAGACGGAATATATCTGTATTTGATTTAATAAATGCTTGATTCTTTTGAATTATAAATTCAATTAATTGGAGATTTTCCCCATAGGTATGTGCCTGGTGATCGCTTTAGGCTACGGTATGAAATTCACACAGCTGACGACCAACCCGGTCGAACTCTGGGCCTCGCCGAACTCGAGGTCTCGCATCGAGCGAGAGTACTTCGACTCGCACTTCGAACCCTTCTATCGAACTGAGATGGTCATCATCAGCTCAAAGGGTCTCCCCACCATAGAGCATGAGACACCCGGCGGCACGGTCAAGTTTGGGCCGGTGTTCAATTCCACCTTCATGTTGGAGGTTTTAGAATTGCAGAACAAAATAATGGGTAAGTTTTTTTTTTTATTGTTAATGGGGCAGACGAACTGACGATCCACTTGATTAGAAGTGGCGTCAATGGCGCTTCTTCGTAGGTAGTTTTCTAACGCATGTGGCGTTTTTTTTTTTATACGACTTAGAATGGCAAACAAGCTGACGGCCCATCTGATGAAAAGTGGTAACCGTCGCCTATAGACATGAGCAGTACCATGGACATAACAGTATACTGATTCGCCTATGATGCCCCCATGCGTTGCCATTCCTGAGGATTCAGGTGTTATTCCTCCGTACCCAGTAAATTCACGCCATATCCGTCCCTTCAAATCGAAACACAACCATGCAAACACAAATGTTATATATTTAAATATTGTTCACACTCTTCACTAGAATCTGGCATGCAGAATTCATTTAATTGTGCTATGAACACAAAACAAAAACTTAATGTCACAGAATATATTAACAGTCATTCTAAGTATTATAAAAAACAAAATATTGTATTGTAGCACTGAACAACGGGCACGGCATCGAGGAGATCTGTTACCAGCCGCTATCGTCGGCCTTCGACAGCGAGGTGACAGCCGACAAGTGCGCAATTATGTCTGTGTGGGGCTGGTGGGAGAACAGCGCGGAACTCTTCGAGTCGGACCTCGAAGATAATGCATACCTGGACAAGATCATCTCCTGTGCCAAGTCAGTATTCTTGATTGAAAAATAAATTCATATTTTGTATTAACTGTCAGGACATAACGTGATGAAAAATGAAGATATTTTTATTGCAATTGTAAATTGCAAAGATAATACTGTTATAAGGGGGGGGGGGGGGGGGGGGGTGTTAGTAATGGGGTCTAATTGACCCATTGGTAGTAATATACCCTACTCCTGTTACCATAGTGGTGCTAATATATTCCGAATATGCGGACAAAGTCGCAGGTAGAACTTCACTTGTACACAAAATTGTCACTGAACCACTGGAAACTAAACAAGTTCATAACAAAACTGGGCTTAAGTCCAACAAATGTTTGCACATTTTGTTGTGATGAAATATTACAACAGCACGTTATATTTGTTGTTTATGTATTGATTAGTAATGGTAATTCGTATTCTAAATATTAATAGTTGTAACACTTAAGCTGCCCGCTAACGACATGCTTTTAACTGTATTTATGAATGAACGGAATGGTAACCCCACCTGCGCTAACGGTATACGCTGGCGGGGCACCAGTGAGAGATGATGGGTGAGAATGAAAAGGTAGGTCAGTTAGCCCATTGTGATGTATACACCTTGAATTCAGCTCAATGGTTTCCAAGGGGACCACGTGGAGGTCGACCTGACAGTGTATATTGCTAGTAATTAAATGTCTCTAACTGTATTGGGTTGGCTGGAAGAGATCTCTGATAGAGATAAGTCTACCCTTGTGCACAATATTTATAAATGCATTAACAATGTAATTTCCAAATGCAATAAAGAATATTTATTTTATTTTTATTTATTTAAACTTTAATACACAGTAAAATTCTATGTACATTTGGCAGAGTTAACACCGGATGGTGTACTCTACCAGTCAACCATTAGGCAAACCGAGAAAAACGTAGACGGTGCATTATTGAATAGAGAAAAAAAAAGTAATATTTGATCATATAATATAAACATACACATAAGGGGGCATCCATTAATTACGTGAGCTCAGAATAGGGGGGGGGGGGAGGGGTCTAATGAATTCTCACCAAATCTCATTTAAACCGAGAGGGGGATAATAAAAATCTCACGTCAACTTCAAAAAATATAAAATATTAAAGATATTACTAAAATATTAAAGATAAACGTAGACGTTTCCAGTGATTGTCTTCCTGCACTACTAGAAATCCCAAATGATATGTGTCCAATTATTTCGATTGAAAAAATACATGAGTCTCCATGGATTGAGTAAAAATTTAAAAGAAAGTGTTGTTTTTATGTTTTTACTTTGAATTTTATTTAATTTAAATAAATTTATTATAGTATACCTGAACGATTTATTATTTTCCCGAATAATAAATATAAATTAAGGTTAAAATATTTTTTGCGTCAATCTCACGTAAGGGGAGGGGGGGTCAAGGCAAATCTCACTAAATCTCACCTAAGGGAGAGGGAGGGGGGAGGAGTCTAAACTGATCGAAAAAAAGCTCACGTAATTAATGGATGCCCCCTAATATATTAAATAAATAAATACATAAAATATATACAATATAAAACAATTAAATAAAACAACTGCAATTGAAGAGCAAATAGTAATCTATGACTCAAACAGAGTAACCAGCAGGAGAAGCTTAAAGGGAAAGTGATTTTTTCTAAGAAATAGGTGCGCAATTTGTGTTTTGAAAGCTAGCTTGCTTATGGTAGATGTATATATTATATATTTGTTTGTGTGGTGGTGGGCAGCAACCCGTATACGTGCCTGGCGCCGTACGGCGGGCCGGTGCTGCCGGCGGTGGCGCTGGGCGGGTTCCTGGCGCCGGGCGAGCAGCTCGACCGCAACACGCGCTTCCACGAGGCCACCGCGCTCATCATCACCATCCTCGTCAACAACAAGTACGACAAGGAACAGGTAAACCAGCGCTCGTTGCACCTCTTATACGGGACGAAACCGCAATTAATAAATTGGCGTATTTATAGTCTAATATTAGTCATAAAAAAAGGTTATGGTATGGCTATACATATCTCTCTTTTATGATCAGTAAAATTGCCATGTAGTTCCCAGCATAGAATAGGCCACCCTTCCTTACCTATGGGTGTCGTAGGAGGCGACTAAGAGAACTTACAGGGTACAAAGGAATAACACCTGAGTCCTCAGGTATGGCAACGCATGGGGGGTATCATGGGCGAAACAGTATACTCTGTTATGTCCATGGTACTGCTCATGTCTATAGGCAACGGTTACCACTTTCCATCAGATGGGCCGTCAGCTCGTTTGCCATTCTAAGTTGTATAAAAAATGGGTAGCAGCATTACGCTTTAAACATCACCAAAGCCTAACTATGGTTGCTAACCAGCCTGCCAAGTATGGTATCTACTGGCAAACTCCCCCAATATGGGGAGGTTTATGTTCAGCAGTGGATAGTTAACCGTTGATAATGATGATAATCCAGTGAGACCTTAATGGATTTATTAAATAAGAGCGTCGATTTCCGTGAAAAAAAAAACACATTAGGCAGTGAATACTGATAAATTACGTTGCATTACTTACAACACACAAATAATAACAGACATAGATAGACATGCACACTAAAAAAATATACAAAAATACATATACGGGTTGAAGACAGTACAAATAAGTCTTCACAGTTTAATTCGCACTCAGAGCTAATTTCTTCCTTTTTTCTTTATTATTTACAAATATAGTGATTAAAAAAAAATTTTGAACCCAAATTTGAACTATTGAAATAAATAAAACTAACAATAAATTTATTTGTACAACACTCAAGAGTTTTCGTTTATAAGTCACAAATATTACTGTATCCTTTCAGCTGAAACCAGCCCTCGAATGGGAGAAGGAGTTCATCAAATTCATGAAGAACTACACAGAGAACTCGATGCCTTCGTACATGGACATCGCGTACACGTCGGAACGGTCCATAGAGGACGAACTCGACAGGGAGACGCAGTCTGACGTCTCCACCATACTGGTGTCATACTTCATCATGTTCGCGTATATATCTATATCGCTCGGACGGTTCACGAGCTTTTCCAGGCTACTGATCGACAGTAAAATCACCCTCGGTCTTGGAGGTGAGTTGTGACGTCACCAATGCACATAAATAATAAATAAATAATTTAATAAAGGTAACAGGACCCACAGGGGGGAAAGGGATTGTTAGTAATGGAGACTGAGAATCCCATTGCTAGCAATATACCCAACCAGGTCGACCTCCTCGCGGTTCTCCCTGGAAACTATCATGGTTAATTTCTGATGAATTCATCATGATGGGCTAACTGGCCTGTTTTCATTCTCATCTATCACCCTTCACTGGTGCTCCGTCAGCGTATCCCGTTAGCGCAGGCGGAGTTACCATACCATTTTCACCCATCAAAAAAAAAATCCAGAACCCACAAAATTTTAATAATATCAAATCGTACCAAATATAATCTATTAAATAATTAAATTAAATTGTTACACTTATAAATAAATAACATTGACCTAACCTACTTTTTCATGTTTTTTTTTTTTTTTAATGGATGATAATGGAATGGTAACCCCACCCGTTCTATTGGTATACACCGGCGGGGCACCAGTGAAGGATGATATATGAGGATGAAGTAGGTCAGTTAGCCCATCGTGACGAATTCAACAAGAATTGTTCACGATAGTTTCCAGGGGGAACCACGTGGAGGTCGACCTAGTAAGGCATATACTTTTTCATGTTAGCCAACATAAATTAAAGACAGTAATTGATTTAATGGTATAAACGTAATAGATTTTACAATTTGATTTTTTAAATTCAGCTTGGATGATATAGCATACATAGCTACTTTGCATTACAACGCTTATAAAAATATAAAATGTCCACATCATATTTACCAGAGGGGGGGACTTTGTACAAAAGTCGTGTCTTTGGGTATCTCTATCCCATTCGTGTTTCTACCGTGAAGCAGTTGTGTTTGCATGGCTGTTTCGGTTGGAAGGGCGGGATATGGCAGTGAATTTACAGGCTACAGAGGAATAACACCCGAGTCCTCAGAAACGCGGGGGGGGGGGGTATCGGTGGGCGAAACAGTACACTCTTTTATGACCATGTTTATAGGCGACAGTTACCACTTCCTATCAGGTGGGCCGTCGCATTGTTTGCCATTCTAAGTTGCATAAAAAAAATAAAAATCAATAACAATTACAACTAAACCATAAATAATTAAATATAAAAATAAATTTATACCTAATTAGAAATTATTATGTGGCCAAAATGGTCACCATTCGACTAAGTGTTTAGGCATATATAAGACTTATTTTTATATAACTCCTAAAGAACTTTGATTTTGAATACATTTGAATTGCTAGCAATGGGACTATCAATCTACATCACTAACAATCATACAACAATATGCTTATTATAATATTTATGCTAGAAGATATATGAAGCGAAAGAGGTTTGTTTGAATCGAAGCATTTGGCGTTCCATTGTTTCTGCCTACCCTAATGGGAGACAGGCGTGACAGATATATATATATATAAGATATATGAATAAATTGAATCTTACGTTTGCCACAACAGCTGCAGTAGTCAATTGCCAATGGGCACTAAAGTCGTGAGTATATGTTATATTGATAAGTCATATAATGTAATAAAATTACAGGTGTGTTCATCGTGCTGGCATCCGTAGTATGCTCTGTCGGTATCTTCGGGTACGCGGACGTACCAGCGACCATGATCATCGTGGAAGTGATTCCCTTCTTGGTGCTGGCAGTTGGTGTCGACAACATCTTTATACTGGTACAGACAAGCCAAAGAGAGGGCAGGCGACCTGATGAAACAATTGCAGAACACATTGGCAGGACGTAAGTGGGATTAATTATATGGTCGTATGGTATGGCCGTGGCCGGCATAGAATAGGCCATCCCTTCCTTTCTCGTGAGTGTCGTAAGAGGTGACTAAACGAGGGCGAGGGATGGGCAGCAGCGTCCCTCTTAAAACATCTTTGAGGCCTGACTGCAGTTGCCAATCCGCCTGCCAAGTGTGGCAAAACTTAATGCCTTATTTTCAGTAGCGTTTTCTAGTAACAGTTAAAGGCTGAGATGATGATGATGAGATGCAATAATTATGTATGCACTCTTTATAATTTTTTTTTATGGAACTAATAAGGTGAAACATGATTATGTATTTTTTTGTAATAAATAAATTCAAAATATACTTAGCTAATTTAAAAATTCTTTCACCTATAAAAAAACTACATTATCTGTGTTTAATATAAAATGTATGTTATTTTAAAAGAAGTGATCTATTTATCTACCTGAGTGAAGCTGGCATGATTTACTAGTTTAATATATATATATTGATAAAGAGATTTATATAAGGATAGAAATCGCTGGTAAACATTACATCAATACATGTATTGAGAATCGATATGAAAACCAATTTTTCAGTAGACGTCAAATAATGATGGGGGTCTCAATTTGGTTGAACTTTTAATTATGTTTGTTACCGTAGAACTGTTATTTCGTCATAGTCGTAGAATACTGATGGATCTGACGAATATTACATATAAAGATCCGTCAGTATTCTACGACTATGACGATTTGTAAACCTATTTAGGAAATTCTTTTGTTATTTGAAGGGATATACTTTTAGGTTCATCCCATTGAAGTTTAATCTAAATTAAGTATTTTTAATTGACGACAATGGAATGGTAACCCCGCCTGCACTATCGGTATACACCGGCGGGGCACCAGTGAGGGATGATAGGTGAGGATAGAAAGGCAGATCAGTTAGCCCATTGTGATAAATACACTTAGAATTGAGCACGATGGTTTCCAGTGGGGGGAGGAGCACGGGGAGGTGGAGGTGTTAGGGTATATGAATCCGTATTAGCAAGTAACCGGTGCGGTTGTGGCGGCGGCAGGCTGGGCCAGGTGGGCCCGTCGATGTTCCTGACGTCGGTGTCGGAGTCGGTGTGCTTCTTCCTGGGCGCGCTGAGCGACATGCCGGCCGTGCGCGCGTTCGCGCTGTACGCGGGCGCCGCGCTGCTCGTCGACTTCCTGCTGCAGGTCACCTGCTTCGTGGCGCTGCTGGCGCTCGACACGCGCCGCCAGGACGACAACAGGTCAGGCCGCACCGCCGCCCTGCCTCCTGCACGCACGCACACGCACCGCACGCACGCACGCACGCACGCACACACGCACGCACGCACGCACGCACACACACGCACACACACGCACTCACGCACGCAAATCCAATGTGAGGTGGAATGTGAGGCTGTGGTCCATCAACGTTTACAAATCCTCGGAACGGTGAGGTCGCTCCGTGAGGCCTGTGAAGAACCCAGGAAGCTTCTGCGCTTCTGGGCGGAGCTAGGTTGGCTGTACTAGCCACGACTCATACGCACAACGGCCCAAATGAGAGGCTAAGCGCGGAAAACAGAGTCTTTCTCACATTCACATTCACACACGCACACACACACATACACACACACACACACACACACACACACACACACACACGCACGCACGCACGCACGCACACACGCACGCACGCACGCACACACGCACGCACGCACGCACACACCGCACACTAGAGAGACTAATATCCGATATCTATATATTGAGTTCTTCTGAAAACACTGTTCTATACATTAATGATCCATTGCGATATATCCCATACAAGTTGGATATATATATTCATTACGAGCGAGTTCTTCTTTTTGATATTATATATTGGATAGTCGATATTTGATATACCTGTCATTGAGCCAATATATGTATAAATATTGTAACCACAATGTATAGATATTAGTATATTTTACCCACTCTTACCGTACACTCAGCTTTTCATACAGAACGACTCAAACTTAGATTATATAGATGATAGAGTGTCTCCATACAAATGCTTCGAGAAAAGCGGGTCAACTTTTTCATACAATTTTGCGTGATAAAAAGTTATAAGTGTTTCCTTTATAACTTTTGCACCTTTTTTTTTGTTTTATACAACTTAGAATGGCAAATAAGCTGACGGTCCACCTGATGGAAAGTGGTAACAATCGCCTACAGACATGAACAGTACCATGGACTATCTTTTTAATACATAAAAACTCATTTTATTTATTAAATAATTAAATATAATAATAAGATACATTGTGTGTGTAAATATATAGAACACTGACAAAAAAACGAGTCGGCTACTTTAACAATTAGCTGATAAAAATTTGAATTGTTTTTGAGACTGGATGCTCTATCTATATATAATGTAAGGACTCGGTACTGTGTCTACAAGCTAGTCGTAAATAGCCGGCCCTGTGTCGTGGCAGGTTCGACGTGGTGTGCTGCGTGTCGGGCACGAAGGCGGCGGAGGGCGCGGGCGGCGAGGGCGCGCTGTACCACGTGTTCCGGCACGTGTACGTGCCGTTCCTCATGAAGCGCGAGGTTCGCGCCTCCGTCATGATCATATTCTTCGCCTGGCTCTGCTCCTCCGTCGCTGTGAGTACTTGCGATCTTTATTATTTTCATATCTTTTTTATTTAGATGCTTTTATCCTATAAGGTCACGTAGTTCGAAGAACCGACAACCGATGGGAAAGAAACATTCTTGAATGGCGACCGCGTACGGGTAAACGCAGTGTAGGACGACCCCCCACTAGATGGAGTGACGACCTGAAATGCATTACAGGGAATCAGTGAATACAGGTGGCTCAGGAGCGTTATTTAAAGCAGTCTATGGGGGTTTATGTCCAGCAGTGGACGGATAATGGCTGAAATGATGATGATAATGATGATCCTATAAAGATATGTCAACGCCATCATACCCTAATCTTGAAAAGTGTTTCACATACTTAATACATTAATACATAAATAAATAATACCTTAGTAGTCTATTTTAATAGAGAGAATCGTTGATACAAAAATATAGCAATTAAAGATTTCACTATTTCAGAACGTGGATCTGCGAGTATATTTGAAAATAATCCAATATCCTGTCTATTGAGAGTATATTTCGGTATCAATACTTCCCTTTGTGTTTTTTTTTATACAACTTAGAATAGCAAACAAACTGACGGCCACCTGATGAAAAGTAGTAACCGTCGCCTATAGACATGAGCAGTACCATGGACATAACAGAGTATACTGTCTCGCCTATGATACCCCCCATGCGTTGCTATTCTTGAGGATTCAGATGTTATTCCTCTGTACCCTGTAAATTCACGCCATATCCCACCCTTCAAACCGAAACACAGCCATGCAAACACGAGATGAGAGAAACACGATAAGAGAATGATAAAAACTGCATATAAAATAAAGACCAAAAACAAAACTACCAAATTATGCTTATTTTATATTGCTACACTGTCTAAAAACTACTCGCTTCTAAAATCGACACATACATAGTTAAAAAGCTGTTTTAACTTATTAAATTAATAAATGCCCATGTGTACAGGTGGCGCCGCACATAGAGATCGGCCTGGACCAAGAGCTCTCGATGCCTCAAGACAGCTTCCAGCTGAAATACTTCCAGCACCTCAACCGGTACTTGAACATTGGACCGCCAGTCTACTTCGTCATCACAGAGCTCGACTACTCGGAGCGCGACACGCAGAACATGGTCTGCGGAACTAGGTTCTGCCGCTCCGACAGCGTGGCCAATCAACTTTACAGTGGTTAGTAACATTACATTTGTTATTCATTGCTATCAGCAAAAAGACCGCCATATTTAACTTATACATACATATTTGTCACGCCTGTCTCCCATTAGGGTAGGCAGAAATAATGGAACGCCAAATGCTTCGATTCAAACAAATCTCTTAAATATTAACATACATATTTAACTTATATTGTTTAGTTAATTAAAAAACTTATTTAATTCCGCTACCATTATTTTCATAGTACTGCCAACACTAAGATTAACTACTATTTTTATTACCAGAAGTTCTACAACCTTCCATATTAATCATCCATCTTCGACCACTATTCAGTCCACGCATGTTTTGGGACACGTGTTTCACCTCTAAATGCGGTATTTTCAGACAAATTAATAGATAGCTATTCAAATAATTCTAATCGACTATATTAGAATTATTTAAACTATGCGAACAATGATTTGGATTTCTGCAAAATAATCCCTAGTTCTGTTAAACATTTACTTACAAGTGTATTTAGTTACAATATATTGTAAAAATGAAAGTAGATGGCTATAAGAGGAGAGGAAGACCTAAAAAGACATGGATGGATTGTGTGAGGGACGATATGGCCAGAATGGGAGTGAATGCGGAAATGATTAGGAATAGAAAAGAATGGAAGAGGAAAACATATTACGCCGACCACAAATGATAGTTGGGATAAGGGTAGGAAGATGATGATATTGTAAAAAAATATAATAATTATATGAAATATTAATTGGATAAACTATAACGTAGTTGTAAGAGGTAATTTGATGCTATAAACATTGCCTTCAGTGTACATGAATAATTTGAACAATGCATTAATATTGCAGCATACCAGTCGGCCAACGAGACGTACATAGCACAAGCGCCCAACTCCTGGCTGGACGACTTCTTCGACTGGGCCGCCTCGTCCTCCTGCTGCCACTACTTCCCAACCAACAGCAGCTTCTGTCCAAACGACCGTTAGTATAACCCTGTTTTATCCTGTATATTGAAAATTATATTATAATATAGTAAACGAAGTTTACATACGTAAAATTAAGACTTAAAAAAAAGAGGTAAAGAGGTGTCTTCAGGATCGGCAACGCACGTGTAATGCCCCTAGTATTACAGGCGTTCATAGCCCTAAGTTTAGTGTTCGAGCATATGTCCGCCTGTAATAATCTGTCTCGTTTGCTCAACAAACGGGCCAGACTAACGTAGATGCGATAATCTTCGGAGTCCGGACGGTTTGTATCGGGAGCGTTACTATGCATGACTGCTTTCGAGGCTGCGTGGCGAATCCGGACCGCGCTCTCAACCACTACCGTGGCATTTGGCCTCTCTGTGAGGTGTGATACCCTTCGGTACAGAAAAGAGGGTCGCGAGGGGGAGGGGCGCAGAACTCTCGCGACGACCTACAGTGCCTAAGCCCTAGCGCTTGACCGTAATAATCGTGATTAGTTAAGTGTGCGGACAAGACGGTGCGTGTGCAAGTAGGACAGATAATTCACGTCGATCAATCACTTTATTTTCGTTTATTACTGTTATATATATATATATATATATATATATATATATATATATATATATATATATATATATATATATATAGGTTTGTCCGGAAAGTACGTATAAAAGTTTTTTAAAAATTTTATTTTACAATTATTCAGGTAAATCAATTTTATCCCCTTCAAAGTACTCCCCCTGTGACATAATGCACTTGTGCCAACGCCGTTTCCACTGTGAGAAGGCTCCTTGAAAGTCCTCTGGTTGTAGGTTTCTCAGCTGCCCCGTCGTAGCTTTTTTTATCTCATTTATGTCCCCCAAATGCCGCCCCCGAAGTACCAATTTGGTTTTTGGGAACAAGAAGAAGTCACACGGGGCCAAATCCGGCGAATAGGGGGTGTTCGGTCACCGTAATGGAATTTTTACTCAAAAACTCACGGACAACAAGAGAGGTGTGGGCAGGGGCATTGTCGTGGTGAAGAATCCAACGCCCCTCTCGCGCCAATTCTGGACGAACTCGTGCCACACGAGCTTTGAGGCGTCTGAGCACATCGACGTAGAATTTTCCATCAACTGTCTGGCCTGGAGGGACGAATTCTTGATGGACAATCCCCCGAACATCGAAAAAAACAATCAACATTGTCTTGACATTTGAGCGGGATTTTCTTGATTTTTTGTTCGTGGTTCCCCGGATGTCTTATCGAATTAGATCGGCAAAAATTTCACGGCCATTCTTGCCGAGTTTCGAGAGAAACTTGATTACGACGCGCTGCTCTTCAACGGAAGCGGGCTCCATGCCGACGGGGTTTCGTTAAGAGGTAACTTCACAGATGGCGTGACAAGCCAGTTCGCACCGCACGGCGGTCAGACCAGAACTGAAGCATTGTTAGGGACATAAGGAAGGGGTCCTGCGCTTACCTGGCCTCCCCACTCCTCTTTCTCGCATTCCAGAACACTTTTATACGAACTTTCCGGACAGACCTCGTATATATATATATATATATATATATATATGAGAATGAAACAAGTTAGTTGGCTTCTCTTTTTATTCTTATCTGTTATCTCTACTGGAGACCCGCCAGTGAGGCTTTAGCGCGGGCGGAATTCCTTTTCCATTATCATCCTTTAAAAATAAACCTGTCCTGTCGGGGTAATAATTTTGTACAATAATGCGGATGATTTATTTTTAATCTATACGATTATTATTCATTTATAATCATTGAATCTATAATGTCGTCCACAGTCTGTCAACATATCCCGGTCACGTGGACGAAGTGGCGGGTAAAAAATAGTATTATTATATAATTAATACTACACCCCACTCGGCGTTTGCTGGAAGTGAACTCTTATAGAGTTAAGCTCGCATGTTGTACATCATTGATCCAAATATTTTATTAATGTAATCTTTATGTGTAATAAAGTATAAATAAATAAATTATTATTTAACAGACGGATCTCCATGCAAAGTGTGTAACATCGAACTCACGGGTCCCGAGAAGCGACCCGACGTGGCGGACTTCCAGCGCTACGTGCCTTTCTTCCTGCAGGACAACCCCACTGCCAGCTGTCCTAAAGGCGGCCACGCGGCATACGCTCAGGTACAGTTGGGTTTAATACTTGGATTTATTTATTCATTAAAAATGTAGTGGAATAACTAATAATATAAATGTAACAGTTACTTTATTTGTTTGTTGTCTCTTAGAGCTTTAATGGCTTAATAAATCACTATGATATTTGATATATATGTAGTGTATGGGTTGGAAAAGGTTATATGGACTGTTTTATCCCACTTAGTGAATATATCCCAGTTATTAGACTAAGTAGTTGATAAAAGTTAGTAGTTAATATTTTTTGTCAGGTTATTTTAATATCTGAAATTGTTTAAAATATTATTTCTCTTCTTTACTAAAAATATGGAACTTTACGAAAAATATACCTGATATTATAAATATTAAAAAATAAAAGTTTCCTTAATTTATTTATTTAATTTCCTTGTGTCTATAATTATTAATATATATCCTAGTATTAGGTACATATTTAACATATAATTTTGTTTGATTAATATGTAAATACATAAAATGCTATATAAATATATAGAAGATAAAACTATAAAAAAGTATTCCATATAAATATATGGAATATTTTTTGAATTTTTTTTTATTTTTACAAAAAACAACAAACAAGTTTTTTTCTAAGAGTAAATATTTTATACTGATTACGTCAATGGATTTGTAGTCGAGTAGTAAGTCGTTATAATGATTAGTTGTATGTATGTATGTATCTTTGTATTAAAAGTATCAAATAGATATAGTAAAAAATTGTTTCCTTGATTGGTTGTATGTGTATATTTTATTGTGTTTATGTATCTCCACCAGTTCTAAAAGGATTTTTGTAAATCTTACAGTCAATAGAATTTACTTGTCTGTTGGTCGCCAGATATTGTGTAATATTTCTTTTCATTACTGATAATATTATAATAATAAAAGATTTATTTTCTCTCCACAATTCATCACAGTGAAATACAATGAGACATGTTGATATTATAGTTATCATATTATAAATATTTTATATATAAATAAGTAAGAGACTAGTGCCTGAGATAGGTATAAGAAATTCTATCTTAGTATAATTTCCCTTTAACCCTTTCCAGTCCAAGCCTTTTTTTTTTTCTTTTTATTCCATCAGCTCCACGCTAAAATTGCATTTAGCATTGCATAGCAGAATTACTATAACAGTGCAATCGGTGACAGTTGCAGAAATCAACACTGTTACCACGTTTCGTAGTGTGAGATGTCTTTATCAAAAATTTTAGTAAAAAAAATCCCACCTTTTTTTAAAATTGTCCGCAAAAAGAAGTATTATACTATGTCGAGTGTCACTCGACAGTGGAGCTGGTGGAACAAAATCAATGTCGAGTAAAACTCGACATTGGAGTGGAAAGGGTTAATAGATTATATAGATATTTTTTTATTTGTTTAATGGTTCAATGAATATGCTCATTATCTCCACTCCCAGGGTGTGAACTACAAATACCTCAGCCCCAACGTCTCGAAGATAGGAGCCACATACTACAGAGGCTACCATACTGTTCTCAAAACGAGCCACGACTACTACTCAGCATTAAGAGGTGCAAGGACAGTCGCTGCCAACTTGACCGAGACGTTGAACAGGAATCTGATGGAAGCCGGCAAGAATACAACGGTCAATGTATTCCCGTACTCTGTATTCTATGTATTCTACGAGCAATATCTCACAATGTGGCCAGATACGCTCAAGTCTATGGGCATATCGGTGCTGTCTATATTCATTGTGACGTTCCTATTGATGGGATTCGATCTGTTCTCTGCTTTGGTGAGTACAATCTATCTATATTTACTTTTTCCTCATCATATCAATTTAATATTAAACTCTCTTAAATTGTGTTTGAGTTCTTTTTTATATGGCAAAATAGGGAATATAAACAATAAAATGGAATAGGTAGGGAGAATATACAAAAGTCAGGGAAAACTCTGTTTTTACCATCAAACAATTTGCATGCAACAAAAAAAATTGAATTTGTATTTAAAGAAATTTTGCCTTATCCTAGTTCTAAGTGTACATAAATATATCCCTGGATTTAGTATTCAATCGGCAAATTTAGATAACAAACTTTAAATTCCCTTAAGTCTGAGTATTCTGTGTTAACTGAATATATCCACCGGATAATGGCTGAAATGATGATGATGGGATAACTTCGCTTTTACCTTTCGAATTCGAATTTAGAATTTCATTCTGTCTAAAAGCAGTTGAAGAGAAAGTATCGAATTTATATTTATCGTTTGCAGGTGGTGGTGATAACCATCACGATGATAGTGGTCAACCTCGGTGGCATCATGTACCTGTGGGGTATAAGTCTCAACGCTGTCTCACTAGTCAATTTGGTAAGTGACCGCGACTTGATGTTCTCTCTGATATTTATTTTTTATTTTATTTTATTGGCGCATAAAACAGATCACAACCATAAAAAATTTAAATAATAGTTACATTTGTGATTCGGCTAGGTTATAATCCAATCACATTATGTGCACAGCTTGAGTAATTCATGAAAAGCAAACACATAAAATAAAGAAAATACTTAAAAAGTTATATAAATATATAAAAGATAAAACTATATAAAAAAACATATTTTCAATCATATTATAAAATAAAAAACAGGTTCTTCCTAAAGAGCAAATATTTTGTACCGAATATGTCGATGGATTTGTGGTCGAGCAGTAAGTCGTTATAATGACGACACATCCTTACCACAGGATTGTAATAAGAGGTGTTATTTTTGTAGACTTGTAATGTAAACAATTTATGAGTTTATTCACACTATTCTCTTCATATGTTTTTATCAGTATTGACTATCATCCCAGACATAATTGTATTTATAAAAAAATCAATTTTTTGTTTAAAAATTGAGGATGGAGGAATTTTATTATTATTATATAATATTAACATATATATATATATATAATTTTTGATAAATTGACTGAATACCTTCATATATAATTGCGTAGACTATAACTATAATAGATGTAGACTGTATCTATAATACAATCAAAGTTACGATCAATGGCATGAATATACAGGGTACAGAGGAATATACACCCTAGTCCTCAGGAATGGCAACGCATAGAGTATACAGTATACTCTGTTATGTTCATAGTACTGCTCATGTGTATAGGCGACGGTTACCACTTTCCATCAGGTGGGCCGTCAGCTTGTTTGCCATTGTAAGTTGTATAAAAAAGAATGAAAGTTGATACTGGCTCACTGGCAGCGTGTGAGATGAACTGTGGCAATGTAAGCGGTCCGTGGGCGGCAGGTGATGGCGGTGGGCATCGCGGTGGAGTTCTGCTCGCACCTGGTGCACAGCTTCGGCGTGTCGCGCGCCGGCGGCCGCGCCGCGCGCGCAGCCCACGCGCTCGCCAGGATGGGCTCCTCCGTGCTCTCCGGCATCACGCTCACCAAGTTCGGCGGCATCATCGTCCTCGGCACCGCCAAGAGCCAGATCTTCCAGGTCTGTTGCCACCACATTAAATTGACAGTAATGGAATGCTAACCCCGCCTGCGCTACCGGTACACGCTGGCGGGGCACCAGTGAGGGATGATAGGTGATAATGAAAAGACAGGTCAGTTTTTTTTTTTGATAGGTGAAATGGTATGGTAACCCCGCCTGCGCTAACGGTATACGCTGGCGGGGCACCAGTGAAGGGTGATAGATGAGAATGAAAACACGCCAGTTAGCCCATCATGATGAATTCATCAGGAATTAATCATGATAGTTTCCAGGGAGAACCGCGTGGAGATCAATCTGGTTAAGTATATTGCTAGCAATGGGATTCTCAGTCTCCATTACTAACAATCCCTTTCCCCCAGACAGGTCAGTTAACCCATCGTAATGAACTCACTTGGAATAGAACACGATAGTTCCCAGGGGAAACCGCGAGGAGGTCGACCTGACAAGGTGTATTGCTAACAATAGAGCTACTAATCTCCATTTTTAACAATCCATTATCCCTCCACATTGCTACAGTTGCAATATGGGATATATCAGGTCGACATCTACGCGATGCTCCCTGGAAATCATCGTGGATATACCCCTGTGAATTTATCAGAATAGGTCAACTGATCTGAATTATCCTCATCTGTTATCCCTTACTGGTACCCCGCCAGCCTGAACTGATTACTGAGTGACCTGACTGAATAACCTGAGTGGTTACTGTCACGTATAGTTAGTTTGAAGATAGTTTAATTATTCTTATTAAAACAGTTGTTGTCTAACATCAGGTTGGTTTAATTAATTCGTTACAATTATAATTTCATTATCATAAAAAACTTAGTGTACATTGTTTTTTACAAAATTACATTTAAAATTTATTAAAAATAGCTCTTATTATATAAAAAATAAATCTTCTAAGTATTATATTACATATATAGAATTTTTGAAAATAATATTTAATCTATGTTACTCATTGATAATGTAGCTTTCTATACATGAAAGAATTTTTAAAATTGTTTTTCCCATGGGTATCGTTAGATGCGACTAAGGGAACTTATGGATGGGCATAAGGATATGGATAGGATGGATAGGATATGGATCTAAGGGATGGGCAGTAGCGTCCCTCTTAAAACATTTCCAAAGCCTAACTGCAGATACCGATCCGCCTGCCAAGTGTGACAAAACTACTGTCAAAACCCTCCATGGGGCAGGCTTATGTTCAGCAGTGGACAGTTAAAGGTTGATATGATGATGATGATGATGATGATGAATTTTTTTTTAAGTTTATCCATTACAAACAATTAAATCTTTCCTCTCTACAATATATAACGTTAATTTTGTCTTGTAAAGATTGCTCTCAGCAATAAGTTCGCCTTACTTTACTTATACAATTGTATTGTTGTGTTTGTAAATTGTTTTGTGTATTTCCTACATTGTATAATGCAAATAAAGTATACTCATTCATTCATATATATATATATATATATATATATATATATATATATATATATATATATATATATATATATATATATATATATATATATATATAAATTGTACATGTGTGTATGTTATAATTGCAGGTGTTCTACTTCCGTATGTACTTGGGTATCGTCCTCGTGGGCGCCGCACACGGCCTCATTTTCCTACCGGTCATGCTGAGCTATATCGGTGAGTACCACTTCACCACTACCACACACGCCACCACCATCACAGCACGTGTCACACCAACCACTCGTGATACACTTTTATATATTGTATTATTTAATTTATCTATATTATTATACTTGGCACACTTTGGTTATCAGTCTTGGCATGTCTTTTAACTGATATACGTAATTAAGAAAGAAAAGAAGAAAAATATATTAAAAATAAAAAGATTGATTTCAAATTAGTTAATTTTAAATGTCAGCAATAAAGAAGTAGATATGTACTAGTAGGTATTATTTACTTGCAAAGTTTTTCATTACACTAAGTCCTGATAGCGTATTTAAATATGATTTCAAATAGAAAAAAAAATTATCATAAGACAAGGCATGAGTGGAGTCGAATATATACTAAAATCGGCTATTTGGTATTCCATCCACCAATAATAATGTCTCACATAATAATCCCATTCATCGAATGTGTCAATTGTATAACAAAATTAGCGAAAAAATCGATATCTTTCATCAGAGTACTATTGGGTTTAAGAGGTCGTTGTATGGTTTTGAGATGGAATAAGTTTGGATTTTTTTTTTGGATAGAATAAGTTCATAATTGTAATCAGTAATATAATGTATATCCATAAAAATGTATAACGTTTACTTATAACTTAGTGTTAAATGATGTTTACAATGTAAGGTTGGCAAACTGCGTATTGATAAATTTTTGTATTGTTTTGTTTTTTTTTTTTTAATGGTTCATTTCTGTTTACAAACTGTTATTGTAACTTATAATAAATAAATAAATAAATAAAAAAACTGCAAGTTCAAACGTTATGCTTTCATGAAATTTGTAAAAATATTACATCAATGTCACAAGACATCAAATGAAATTCGAAGCCACATCTCTGCTATTTGTACTGTTGTGTAAGTGTGTTAATCATTACACAACGAAAGCTAGTATTCCTTCCGGAACAGATGGTACATTATCAATCAATTTATATCAAAAATATGTGACTAAATCTTTTACCTTATTAGTAATTTGGTATTCCAAAATGCAGAGTTACATATTCAAATATTCTCAAATATATTTCATCATGTTTCAACAATGTCTAATCAACTGTACGGTTAGATATGAGTGCAAGATTTTATTAAATTCCCTATATGCATTTATTTATTTATTATATTTATATATTTCATTCGCACTGTTAATTTTATTCACTTTTATTTAGTTGAAATGGCATGTCAAGATCGTTTATTAAATATGTCTAATATAAAATACTGTTTATATCTTTAGATATTTATTGACTCTATCGTTATGTATGTAATGTAACAAATATGTTACATTACATACACGTGTAATATAGAATCATAAAAAATGACTATTCAAAAATGCCTTTAAAAGTTTACTTGAACTAAAAATATTTTTATTCATGTCCCCGCATTACAAATTTTAATGTTACGTATTCTGTTTATTCATGTAATATTCGTTTCTCAGCTGTTACATGTTACATCGTACAAATGCGCTTAGTGGATACACACCCTTAGTTCTAGTTCTATCTAGGAGTGGGTAATATACAGCAATATTTATATATTGTAGTTACAATATCTATATAATGGCCCAACAACGAATATGATAAAAGTTATATTATGGCAAATGTTATTCAATATTTAATGTCAAAAATAATATAGATATTGGAGCGGTACCAATATTACCCATGCCTAGTTCTATTACAATCGAGTTGAATTATAGATTTTGTGGAATAAATCTTCGAATAGGATATTTTGGTCTATTCTACAGTCAATTTTCAATTGTACAACTTTAACAATACGATATTGTTTTTACGTTGCTTTGTCGTATATGTTTTGAAATAAATCTGTAAATATAATGATTGTTTTAGGTAAAGGGTACGGGAATCATAAAAATTTGATTAATATTGTTAACCTTACGTTTGTTCCGCATGCGAATACCCTATTTATTTATTCTTATCCCAACGCTTGTATATTGGACCTTTTTCTACGCTATTTTTCAAAGCAAAACATTATTTTATACTTATTACGTTTCGTTCGATATTTAACGATTTTATAAATGTTTAGTAAGAAGGGAGTATATTAAGTCAATAATTAGTAATGCTAAATATACTTTTGCGTGGTATTTTCTAATACTGTTGACGGTTGTGTCTACAAAAAGGTGATGATATCCTATTACGATTTCTTTTTTTCATTTATCAGAAATATAAAAAGGAGATACTCATAGATGTGGCAAGACTTTGGACGTTTTTGATAAAAAATCATAACTGTGATAATTATCAGTGATGTTTCATATAGTACACCATTATGAAATTGAACTAAAAAGCCTTATAATGTGTGCTAAAAACTATAAGCTAAATTGTTGGCTGTTAAATAATAATATAGTTCAATTTGGCCAAATATTTTTTTCTAAATAATTGAGTCTAAATATCGGTGATTAAGCAGTGACTTCGAAATACGTGCGTGCTTTTATAAAAAACATTGCGTCCGGCTTTAATTCCTTATTACTTATTTTATTTTCGTTTTATTGTTTTGTTTTCAGTTAAAAATTTTATTTCACTAACACATTATCATAGTTTCTGTGCGTACTAACCGAGGTAAGGAGAACATGGTCGAATCATGGTTTTTTGTTAATATAGAAACAACATTCTATAAAGTGTTGTTATTATTATTATTTTGCACATGTCTATTCATATTGCTGATACAATATACTCATTGCGTATTGAATTGTTGAATGGCATGTAATAAATATCATGATATGCACTCTTTTTTATTAAATGACATTAATATACATATAAAATTTATGGTCATTTCCTCTTATTCCATATATTTTGCATATTTTTTAATCTGAGATTACATGCGCGGAAGTAAGTGTCTATTGATTTTAAAATATATTTAATATTAATTTTTGCAGAAGTATTTGACATAATAATCAAGATTTTTGATAGAAATATTAATAATTTGTTAATAATCTTCGCTCATGTAGTCTAGGTTAAAGCACAGTGAAACGGCTGATCCGTCAGGCAGGCGACTCGTTCATTTTCAGGTTCCCCGGTGAACAAACAGAAGTTGGCGAATCACATGCTGCGCGGCAAGGAGATGACCGTTGCGGAGACGTCTCTAACGAGAGTAAGACACGGCACCGGCCACAGATATGTTTATGTACAGACCGTAGCGTAAGTAGAAACATGTTACACTGCAACATAGAAAGGTGCGCACCGATCGCAGTGGTGTAATGGAACAAGTTTGTTACATTACACGAATATGTTCTGACTGGTGTAATATTCGTTGCGGAACTGTTACGTTACACGCGATTTCTCTTGTTGAGTACGCGAGAAGAGGTCACATTTTTATTGTATTTTTTTTTTTATATATAGTCTTTGAAATTAAGAAAATTAATTTCTATATTGCAGTGTTTTTTTTTTTTTATTAATGGAAAAAATGTGTTTCTACTTCCAACGTACGCGTACGTTCGCACCGCGTGCGGGCAACGAACGAGAATATATTTTATAATTTTGTATTAAAGCTTAAATTCCTAATTATATCATAATGAATATATACACTTCATTTATAAATTAATATTTAATATTCATTTTGTTCTCGTTCGTCTTATACTAACGCCATATAAAATTTAAACTCACCGTCAATCGAGAACATACAGCTCATTTGCGTTAGATCGCTTATTTCTAAACGATTTAGAGTAATTGAGTAATTGTTATAATTTAAAGTAAATAAACATCACACTAGTTATTGTTTCAATCCAATATTTACATAAAGTGTCAAAATATATTACGCAAAAATTGGCAGTTGATCAAGAGTATGTTCGGTAATGTAAGGAATAAGTTACATTACATGAATATGTTCCCGCACAGCGATATTACATCTTAACATATCAGATGTAATGTTCGTTTCTTAACTGTTACACTCCAATGTCTCGGTGTATATGCACCCTAATGTTACAAGAATGTTGCCAGTAAATCTTATGTTGATCATTCGTTTATTTTTTAGGAAAATTATATAAATTTTATGTCAATATCAGATAAAAAAAGATTGTGTGATGTTATTTTACTGGACATCGAAATGGCTGTGTGGGAATACTGTTCTCTTCCCCTTATTATATGGCATTTATTGTATTAACAACTTGCAATATGTGACGCTACAATACGTCCAGTGCTAAATACAAATTAATATAAATTAACATCTGATTTTTTTAATAACTATGTATTGAAAAAATGTATTTTTAGTCACATGTTGAAAGTTTATCGGATGAGGTATCTAATATTTTACCAGTAAGGTTGGTTTGTGGGACATCTTGCTCCGTACGGAGATACGAATATTTTATAATCTGCATGTAACGATGTCTAGATGTTTTATAATTAACGATCATTCCTATTACACTTCGAATTTTAAATTTATTTTAACTATATTTTATTATTTGCGTATGTGTGTCACAGCCGTTGTGTTTTATGCACATTGTTGTGGTAGTACTTATTTTTTTTTATTTGTAAGTACTTAAAACATTTGTTTTTTTTTTTATGGCGTGACAACGAATATTTCTTAATTTATTGATTTTAATTTATGTCATTGTATTGATAGTGCATTATTAGAGTATTTATTTTAATCCTGCTAAATTAGACCGACCCTAACCTAACCACCTATATTTTGGCAAAATTTGCTTTACAGTGATCGATCGCTGTGATTTGTTTTATACAATAATAATTTATCAAAATATTTATATCGTGTGAATGTTAGTATAGTAGGCGAATATTTAACTATATTTTAGTTAATGTTACGATTAATTAGTGTGTCACGTCGTGTTATCGACCTGTATACATTATACATTGAGCAAAATGTGTTGTAGTATGGAGCGGGCATAATATTGAAAGTGTATTATTTTTTTTTATACTATTAATTTTAGATGGTACATGAAGTTGACAATATTTGAATTTGGTATATAATATGTTATGCTATCGCCTGGAAAGAGTAGCACTTACAACACTTGACGTTGTAATCTAATTTGTCCTCTATGTTACTTTTACATTAAAATGTATTTTGCTTGTAAATAGTTGCTACAGAGGTGTCATAATCCTAAATGCTGTGTACAGTTTTATTTCAATAAATTAAAATTTAAAAAATCTTTTTAATTTTAGAATGCACTATAGATAATTCACTATTTGAGGTGTAAATACAGTTTTATATAAAAAAACATATTTGTAAATTTATTCTTTATTGCGCATGAAAAAAAGGATGTAGATTATCTGTCTATTCTAAAGATTTTCTTTATAACTACTATTTAGGCATTTCATATGGCGGTAAATAAATTTAATTTAAAATTATTTGAGCCAATATTCATATAAATGAAGGAGTAATCGCCAAAAAGGATGGCAATGGAAATAATACCTTGTTGCTTGTTAACCTAAATCCGACGTCAGCATTATTTTAGCCGTACCTTTATTTGTTTGCAAAGTCTATAACAGTCGAGTTTTTAATATTTGTACACTTAGATTTATAAAATATTCATGTTTAATTAACTAAGTTTTAACCATCTGGTGACGGTAATTGTAATTTGACACCTCTGTTACTTCTTAATAACTATTAAATGTATATTTTGTTGACTAGAATGAACGGGGTAAAGGAATTCGATTTTATTGACAATTATAGTAAAACTTATAATATCCTGCATAAAACCTCGTTTATAACACACTATAGCACTATTTATATTTTCCCGCCATTTGTCGTAAAAAAAGTATTAATATTATGTATGCAGTCGATGCCACGAGATCACAAATATTAGTGTAATGTAAAGCTATGCACTTTGTATTATTTTTTTCCTATCTTCTCTCTCTCTTAAGTATTGACTAACTGAATGGGTACAATAGAACTTTGGATATCACTAATCCTGGTGAATGTGGCACCTAGTTGATACGGTGAAGGTGTTGCTCCATATCTATTGTTTGTTTCCAAATGGACCCCTCAAATACAAGGAGCATCTGTTCTTACAGGTAACGCCTGTAACCGCAACGAAATAAGAACAAATCTAATTTATTTATAATAGCTGTTTTTTTTTTTTTTATTTGTATGCGATATTTTTTGTAATTTTGTTTTCTGTATTGTTTTTTTGTGATTTCTCAGAGTTTAGTAGGTGACCCTCTATGTTCCTATTAAAAATAATATAATGAAATTCTGTGAAATATATTTAATACACATACCATAGACAAATGTCTTAATCACAATCCGAAAACGAATCTCTTACTTAAATTAGTACTTAATTTAGAGGGTGTAACTTCTGTCCAAAGGTAATGGCTTAATAATGTTAATGTACCAAAACGAGTATCAATCAAATATTTTAGAAATAAATAATGTTATTTTTTATTTTATTTGTTTTATTTTTAGTTTAGTGCACATGCGCATGTAGATATGTGTTGCCAGCAATGAATTATAGCATGTTTATTACTTGAATGTGTTAATTCACCATCAGTCTTCTTAATTCGAAACATTACTCATTTTTTTCGATAGAGCCAGTTCCAATAACTTATCTTTTTCCTGTTCTACAGAATAATACTACCTACGTAATATGTATACCATAGACACTGATAATATAATACTATCCATAAAAAAAAGGTCTTTGCACTACTAACATCATTTAAATTAAATTATGCAATAATGAATTACAGACTTAGTCGAGTACTATGAAAGTTATGGTAATTTTAGTATATTTGCCAAATATTGGACCAAAGTATCAAAATACTAGTCGACATTAGCGACTGAACCACCAAAAACCATCTATGAGCTCCGCTGTTTTTTTTTTGCCAATTTTCAGCCAATCGGAACAGTAATTTGACGTTAACAATTTTACAAACTGAGGCTTACATGTGCACTAGTTGTGGTTATTATGAGTATTTAAAAACATTACAGTCTGTGTACCAGATTTTATTTGAATCCATTAAGTTTGGACATCACTGAGCAATAAATATCCAAATATTTTTTACAAACTTTTATGTTTGTAATATTAGTATAATGAATGGTATGGTATATACCATGGTGTGACCAATCGGTCGATCGCGACTATTAGTCCAGTCTATCGTGGCAAGGCAAATAATATAATTTGCTAATCTAGCGAAAGATGCTCAGACGCAATACTCACACTAATATAAATAAGTAATTACTAAGAATTAATTTCAGTTTTATGTCTTCCCTCTTAATAAAATAAGAAATACTACAACACTACATAATTGTGTACTGAACTATGTTGTGTCATTTGAGATTTCAAGAAGTATGTAATTGGTACATCGCAGAGGGTTTCTTCAGTAAACAGTAGATCTTGGTTTAGTCAAGTCGGTCACCCCTGGTATATAGTGTTACTTGTACAATCTCTGTTGACTGTCAAGATGTGACGAAAATTCCAGTTTAAATACCAGCCAACCATTTAACTATCGTGCAGCTTGCCTAACTTTAGTTTACTGCGTAAATCTTACTTACAATATTTACTCATTAGTTAATATCTAATTAAATTACTCATAATTTACCTATATATAAGTTTGTCGAATATAAAGGATACGTTATTGGTACTGAATTAGAACAAATATCCATACATCTTACATAACATTAACTAACAGGATTGTCACATTGATTTAGCCATAAATACTACTTGCAAGCTACCAGCATTCGTTATCAATTTTATTATATCATAAGAATTAATAAGTTATATTTTGGTATTAATGAGTCACGGTAGATATAGCACAGAAAAAAAATAGAGGTAAAACATTTATTTTTTCCTCTATTCAATAATACATCGCCTACTTATTTCTCGGTTTGCCCAGTAGTTGACTAGTAGAGTACACCGTCCGGTGTTAAGTCCGCCATATGTACATAGAATTTTACTGTGCATTAAACAATATAAATATAATTTTTAATTATTTATTACATAAGTAATCGTCTCTCGTGGTTCTTTCTACTGAATTAGGATAGAAAATATCCTATAACATAGGATTATATTAATCCTATATTATGTTACATAGATACATACATATACATATGTTAATCTAAGATCTATTTTTAAATTACATGTTAGTTACTACATTGGTAATTATATATCTACTAGTCTATACATATATATATATATATATATATATATACTAGTCATCGACTTTCATTCAGATCTGTTTAGCATTTCAAATATAATTAGATAACAAACATCCTCATTTATCACACTCGTGTCTCTGTTACTGTGCTTGCACGACTGCTTCATTTTAAAGGCTGTCAGTCAATTCAAGTTTATACTAGGCGTGTTAAAGGGGTAGGGGGGGAGTGGTCCGTGTCTACTCCAGAAATGTTTAAGAGTATAGTTGCGCATTTTTAAGTGCTCCCCCCCTTTCTCAGCATAGAAAATAATCTTAAATACGTCAATGGGGCGCAGAGACATCTTAGTCCTCAGGAATGACAATATACCATGGACATAACAGTATTTTCTGTGACGTCCATGATACTGGTCAACGGTTGCCACTTTTAATCAAGTGGTCCGTTAACTTGTTTACCATTCCAAATTGTATTAAAAAATTCAAACAATCATTTATATTTCACACTCTTAAAAAAAAACTTTCCTAATACAAAATTAGCGAAATGAGATAGGCACTTTTAATAAAGAAACATAGTGTTTTATTTTTATTTTATTTTTTTATTTATCATAATATCAGTAGAATAGTAGAGTGACTCATTTTAGTGTTGCATAAACTTGTGTCTCAAAATAGGTATAAACTATATCTAATCTTTTGAAGGTTTGAAGATACGATGATACCTGGTATTGTCAATCAATACAAATCAACAAGTACATACTTCATTTTCTAAATTAACTATAAACTTGTTGATGAAAGCGTTGCGTGTCGTATTTTATAGTTTGATATTTCATTCACCACATTAGACGAAAATACGCCAGTATAATGGGCCGTCAGCTTGTTTGCCATTCTAAATTTATTAAAAAAAAAGTTACAATGACCTCTCATGGTGGTAAATATTCATTACCTATTCTTGATACAGCAGTTTTTAAATGAATTAAAATGGAATGGCAATAGCGCTCGTGCTATGGGATTACGTTGGCGGGGTATCAATGACGAATGATAAGTGAGGATCTAGACAATAGAAATTAACCACCATGCCCTCTGGTCCCAGCATAGAAGGGGCCACCCCTTCCTTTCCCGTGGGTGTTGTAAGAGGCGACTGAGAGAACTTAATAGTCGAGGGATGATTACAACATCACCGAACTAACTGCGATTGACAACCCGCCTGCCAAGCGTGGCAACTACTGGCAATACCCCCCTTTATGGAGGAGGATGATCAGAGTTAACGGCTGTAATATGATGAACCACCATAGTTTTCAGTTGTAACCACGTGTAGGTCGATTTAATAAGGCGTATTGTTAGCGATAGGGACTAGAGTTCCTATTATTAACAATCCTTTTTATCGATTTCCAACAGGTTTTTTACAATAATCTTAGCCAACTTTATCAATGTGATAGTTATGTATTTTTTTTTTTCATTAATTCCATAATATTAGAATACAAAGGTCCAATGTACAACTGCTAAAGTATACAAGTACTTATTGTATAAAACTAATTCTAAGAAAATTCCTTTTTTTGCCTATTAAAGGAGCTTCTGAGTCCATCTCAAGCGAACGTAAGGAAACTTTATTTTATACAAAACTTCACCGTAGAATACCATAGACAAATGTGCAATTCACGCAGAAAAGAAAATGTGTTTCTGCACAATAAAACAATATATAAAACTATTTTATTTTTAAACTCACACGAAGTGTACTAATTAATAAAATAAAATTTTGCAATATTGCATAATACCTTAGAATTTCAACTTATAAATGAATTAAATTTATCCTCTTTTTATTTTTATTTTATTAAAAAAGAACGCCATAAAATTTAAAAATAGAACTAGATTTAAATATAGTTTTAAATTTGTAATTAGAATCACAAATCACAAGTAGTCACTGCTGTAGTGTGTAGACTGATAGCAACTGCCAACAGAATGGGCCGCATTATCGGGTTGAGCACTTTATCTATACCTATGAGTATAAAAGATACCTAAACACCTAAGATATTATTATACTATTATACGATCTTTAAAGGCTGCCATTAAAAATAATTATTGGAATAAATCTTTTTGTCCTTCAAAATCACTAAATAGGTTCATATACTAATAATTTCATTAAACTAGTTTCAATCTAAGAACAAGGAATTACATAGAAGGAATAAGACTCGTAAAATAAAAACTACATAGCAGGCTAGTGTATAGAAAATGTTATACGGCCGTATAACCCTACCAAATTCAGATACAACCTGCTTGTATACTTTCTACATATACTGTGTCCAATATATAATCTAGTAATGTAAAATTTGTCGTTGACAAATAATTGACATATTAACATTTTCTATACACTAGTCTGCTATGAATTGACAAAAATAGCAACTGATTGTGTTTCTTTCGTCCTCTTTTTACTAATTATATTTACATAAGAAGACAGGAGGCAACCATACGATTTACAGTTTTTATTTTATCATTTCTTCTATGTAATTTCTTGTTCTTAGGTTTCAATAGCCTAAAAGGTGACAACTGATATCATTAAATCTACAGTACTGCTGACTTTATGATTCCGTGAGCAACAAATCTTTCAGAAAAAGTTTTTTTACTCAGAGTTTTTTTTTTTAATGAATGTAGTGGCATGTCTGTCTAATTTTATGGTGTAAACATTAAGGTGAAATTGGCGTTCCGAAAATATCGAACCGGCGTGGTCAACATTTAAACGATTGTAGATTTAACTAAAGTATACTCATTTTTAAGACCAGTTTCATGAAATTAATTTACATTCTAAGTCTAACTTCGTAGATAAAAGTCGTTTCGCCAAATAAATCAGCCTTTAATGACTACTAATATTACTTACTTTCCTCTGTCCGTGAAAATACTTTGAAATTCAATAAAAACACTTGAATATTAATTACAAATAGTATGTTGAAGATAAAATGGATATTTATCAACATCAACGGTTACCACTTTCCATCAGGTGGGCCGTCAGCTTGTTTGCCATTCTAAGTAGTATAAAAAAAAGTCATTTATGTTTCTGATACTAAAATTGGCAAATTTAGCGTCAGCCCTAATAATTAGATATCAGAATTAATATGACTCACATACCTAGGCGTTATTGATGTCTTATCTTCTCATAATGATAATATCGTATCTATCTATGGCCAGTATAAATGTTATTGGTTAAATTTGGCTACATAAAAAAATAACTTTTTTTTTAAATGTTAGCTGAATAGGCTACAGTATATTAGCATTCATTAAATATTTTTCAGTTTTATGATCACTAACTCCAATTTAACGTGGTCCATTAAATAATGTGATACGATATATATAACTCACTTTCGCCCTATACACTCAACAAAATATGCTGTTTACTTATAGAAAAGGCAAGGTGAAAAACAAAAATTTTATTAAACTTCATATCTATTGTAGATTATTAAATTTTTTAATTTTATAACACTAAAATAAATTTGAATATGACCTTAACTCCTTAACTACATTTTTTTTTATTTAATTTCTCATAATATACATAAGTAGAGTATTGCATTGATAATTTTACAAAGTCTATAATAGAATATCATACTTTTATACTTTTATCAACATAAAAAATAAAATATTTCAAAAAATAAAGGGTTGATTGCTAACATAAAACATTATGTACTATTATGTACCGTTTAAACCAAATGGCGATAAGAGACTGTTATCCTACGTTTTACCGAAATTGTGTAAATAATCTTCTATCAAATTGTATTTAATTATTCAGAGAATCCATTATGCATGATTTTTTTATATGCATGTAAGCACAATTTTACAATAAACCACCAGCAAAGATAGGTCTAAAAGCCGATTTTCAAATATTCTTAAAAATAAATAATCATTTAGTACAAGACATTTCTATTTCTGAGATTCTTAGTTTTAAAGATCGTTGTTATGTATGTTTTGAGATTTTTTTTTATTTTCCTTAACAATTATTTTTTTATAATTATTCTTTATATATTTTTTAAATATTTTATTTAAATTCTTAAAAAAATAAAGTTAATGTATAGCTAAATACACTTATTTTCTGTTATTACAAGAAGCACGAGTTGCCTTTACAATAAGTAAGGAACTATTTCTTTTAAATAAGTATTCTTTAATTTTTTTTTCTTTTAAATTTTTTATTTTTATACTGTTCTTAAAAAAATTAACCAAATGTTTGATATTAAAATAAACCTATGAAATTTTTTGAGAATTATTTGCCATATGGCCTATCTTTGCAAGACGCGTCTAGGTAAGAAGTGATTAGGTCTCAATGAAAAATTTTGTCTATACCTTGCTTAAACGCACTTATCATTATAATCAGGAATGCAATTTTTTTTTTCAATAGCTTTAAAACATCAACTGGCATCACATTCGCTTGTATTCAATAAATGCTCTCCATCATACGTAACGTAATGTAAGTTATCTAATTTAGGCATAACCCGGAATCGGGGACGTTGGCGAGTGTTCCCGCGACGGGGTCCCACCTACGGCAGTCTAGACGCCACGCCAGTGGAGCCCCGAGCCACCACCAGCGGCACAGTCAACGGCCTCACGGAGGAGATGTAACGACACAACTATGGTTTACAATAACGACATAAGTTCTAAAACAATATGGTAGTCTTCCCACATTTAAATTAAGTCATAAGTAGGAACATATGTATGACTAGGCTGTATGGATCTCGTTCTTTGTCTATCCGATTTTTTTTTTGATGGGTGAATATGGTATGGTAACCCCGCCTGCGCTAACGGGATACGCTGGCGGAGCACCAGTGAAGGGTTACAGATGAGAATAAAAACAGACTAGTTAACCCATCATGATGAATTCATCAGGAATTAACCATGATAGTTTCCAGGGAGAACCGCGAGGAGGTCGACCTGGTTGGATATATTGCTAGCAATAGGATTCTCAGTCTCTATTACTAACAATCCCTTTCCCCCCTGTCTATCCGATTTGGACTAACAATAACAATTAACTTATTTACAATTAGAGGTATCTGTGGTGCATGACGTAACTACTACAAATAGAGTCATAGTCTCTGCAACAATTATTTGTATATATATACAGGGTTAGACGTATAATATACCAAACAGAAAATTTAGTGATAGTATTCATAAAACTTAAAAACTTTCTCCAAGAAACAAATTAGAAATTTCACGTGGTTATTAAGTAAGAGAGGTTGAAAATTTTTCAGAATTTGATTTTTTCTTTTTTTGGAGGTAGTTGTACAGTTTCGTTAGTACTGTTACTGGGCCATGGCTTGGTGTACTCTTTACGACTGACCTTGGCGTATAAAGCTGTCATATATCTAATGAAAGTTCATCCAACTGTCTCAAAGGTGAACATAACTTAGCAAAATCATCATCATCATTCTCAATTTTCATCCCGTCACGTTTTAAAAAATAATGTAAAGTTTCATAGTGTCATGCTTACTTGTAACTAAGTGTGGCAATGTGAAACGAGACACATAAATATTCAACTATTAAATTGTCTATGGATATTTAAGTAGCGACATTTTTTATCTATTGTCGAAATTAGTCCAAGACGTCAGTTATTGTAAACCTTAGTTTTAATAGTGGATTATGGACTTTAGTAGTGAATTCAGGTGAGAAGGGAGATGAAGGGAGACCGAGCACTCTAATAGGCTGCGATATTTAGGTAAGTATCTATGTATATTAGTGACCAAAATCTTTAACCCATCGTAGTACTTAGTCTTAGGTAAATATGTATGTAACTTTACACATTTTAAGAATGAGATATTTACCGTGATATTTATAAGCTTCCGATGTTTCGATGTTGTTACAATTGTCCCGTAGATTTATTACAAACTTTTAAAAACTTTACAGATTTATATTTTTTTTTTTTAAGTAAGTGACTACTCCGCCCATGATCACCCCCAATATCTGCACTGCTTTATTGTGTATAGATGTGCTGCCGGCCTTTTAAAATAGAATATGCTCTTTTCATGAAAATTATGATATCGTATCGGTTCGGAAATACTGTTGCTGGAAGTTGATTTCAAAGAGTGGTTGTGCGTGGAAGAAAGTGCCTTGAAAAATGCACGGTGGTGGACCGCCACTCATCCAGATGGTTGGGATGCAATTTCAGTTTGTACGGTGGTGAAAATCAGCAGTAGGTATCAATCCGAACAATTCCTCATTCGTGTGACTATAAACTGGCCTATTTTGTTTATGATTTTAGTATACCAATTTAATTTGGAAAACTTTAATCTTTATAACTGCCAGGTTTCATGCGCTTATAACAAGACCTTGATCACATAAAAAAAAAGTCTTTAACTCACAAATGTATAATTACCGTAATTATCTCGTTATTAAAATGTGTAAAGTTATAAACAACCGTGATGTAAGTTTAAAACAATATATTCGTAGTTATATACTATATAAACTGTTGTCAAGATTGATAATTTTGAGCGGAACTGATCAAGTTAATACTTCATCAAGATGTTTAACATAGGCGACGAGTCATATCAAATAGTTAATAATGATAAGTAGTGAATTTTAATTCTTGAACCTTTTTTTAAATTTATGGTCTCATTTTAAAATGAAAATGTTTAGTTAATATATAAAATATGTTTTAGAAAATTATTAATTAGATTTTTTTTTAAATTGTAAATGTTTACATCGACATTTTTAATTTCAAAGATGACATTTATATATTACAGAATAAATTCAATGTTTATTATTTTTAATTCGTCCGACAAAATTACTTGACGATTCGATGAGATTGTTTAGAATAAAAAAAAAAAAACTAATAAATTTATATATTAATAAATTTAATGCAACTTATAGGAATTGTATATGTTCTATTTTTAAATTTTATAATATCTTTAAAAACATGGTATCAGAAACAAATTGCTGATTTTTTTTCTACGTCTATTAAAAAAAAGTTAAATTGATTTTCGAACTTCTCTTATTCTGTCGTAATTTGCGCTTCTAATGCTATAACAGCCCAAGGCAGATTTACCCCCAATAATATTGAATTGCATAGGTATTTGTTAGATAGCTTTTGATGTAGATACATCTATGTGATTTAATGTATTCTAATGAATAGAATACTTCTTTGATATTATATTATACTAGATAGTCTATCTTGTATAACACATAGTATATAAAGTAATACAGGTATACCTAAAATTCAATTGAGAAATTTTTTAATTAACTATATGAATCTTATAATCGATATTAATATTATAAACTAAAAAATTAAGAACCATATAACAAACTTTTTAGTTGATAAATATATATACTTTTTATTTTTCTCGTAAAATTATTAGTACTTTATAAGTGTGACAGAGTCAGTGTGACAAACTATCTAACGCTGTCACACTAACTGAGTCACTGTGATATAGTACTGAAGCTTATACTTGTAAATAGATATTATTAGATAAAAGCTAATTGACTGTTGGGTTTTTAAACTTTATTGTTTTCCTTTGCCTGTGCCTTCAGATGTCAATTTGACGTTAAGCGTATAGATAAAATCTAATATGTTACCTATATGTTAGAAAGTTCTCAAAAAGCTACTCTGCTCTGGCAAATTGACGTAGTGTAGGGCAACACCATAGACAAACAAACTGTCTTCAAAGTAAATTTCGCGGTAAATTATTTACTTGTACAATGATGCTTGCGCAGTATTAATATCTTTTGTGCGTAAATTTAATACTGTGCAAGTAATCATTTCAAATTTTTTGCCAATATTAGTGGTTTATTGCTCAGTGGTTTAACTAATTATCATGGTTGAGTTACGATATAGATTTGACAAATAATTATCGATTAATTCACTAATATTTTTATTAATTCTAATAATGTCCTAATTAAAGACGTTCTTGATTAATCCATTTTATATAATTTTTTATACTACTTTGAGTCTGACATAGAAGCTAAGCAACTCACCTGAAAAAATACATTAGTTTTTGTATACTGCTTACATAAAATGGAAACTAAGCTGATGAGACGACACACTTGATGAAAAGTAGTAACTGTCGACTATAAACTACATTGTGATGACAGATCTAACTACTACTAAATGAAGGCTCTATTAGTAGCTATAATTGTGGTTTTATTACTCATAGTAATTACAGCCTAATATTATATACTTATAGATACCTTTTAGGCGGTTTTTATAAGACACAGATTACCAGTCTTATTATCAGCTCTGACATTGTAAGATAAATAATTTTTGAATGAAAGAGAATATAATAAAGATCGCCGTTTTAAATACACAATAAATGTTTTAATTTAATTCCAATCACAAATAAGTGCAAAAAATTTGCTTTGTATATTTTACTTTTATCAGACTCCCAAAAATAGAGCATAACCTACAGTAACCGTCTTTTAGACAGGAACAATACTATGGATTTCACAGAATAAATAAGCACTCTGTATTTGGAGTAAAGAAGGTCGATACCTTAGTCACTCTAAATATACGACGAGTATCACAGTCTTTGGTATTATGTCATTGTCAGCTACCGTTGGATTACAATTTGTAGTATTTTTTACAAATTTGGTTTGTCTTATACTTATGTATCTTAGAAACATTTGACGGTCTAATTAGACTATAATTAATAAATAAAATACATAGTACTATAGCTACGTCAGAGTCATTTAGCATTTCGTGCTTCACTTGTGTTACGCTTTTCTGGTTCATGTGCGTGTTAATACTATAATCCGTATTTGTCTTAACAGATCTATTTTTAGAAATATTTTGTAAATAAGTACCATACGGTGCTTAACATATATATGTTGGATATCCAAAAGAGTGCACTTCAGTCTTCGTACTGGTAGGTAAACACTTTTTTTTATCTACGCTATGAAACTGGCAGGTACCACATCTAGGATGACAGTCATAAGCATGTTAATTTTATTTTTATTCATTTGACATGATATTATTACTCATATATAATTGCCAGAATTATTATTGGAGCCGATTCTCTGGCGCTATTTCTCTCAACCTATTTCTTAATTTAATATTTTAATGTAATAATTTTTGAAAAATTATTGTTTTAAATCATCATTAAATAAATTTATTATATTTTTTTTACTTTTATCTATTAGAAAATTATTACACATAGGAATCTATAGGCTACGGTAATTGTTTACCATCAGACTTGTTTACTACCATAATAATATTAAAAAAACACACCGGTCCTTACGATAAAGATTTCGCTTTGATATCAATTTACAATTTTTTTTAGAGATTGATTAAGAGAAATGGCACCTCAAAATTGAACTCTATAATGACGTTAAATTACCCTCTCCACTACAATTATTAACCTAGATTATTCGAAATATTCATATCGCCCTATTCATAAAAACGTTGAACGTCCATTAACGGTAAATATTGTAGGCGATAGTGTTTTGTCACTTTTGAGTTAAATTCAGAATTTAATAAAGTGACAAAACACGAATGATATATTTAAAAATAGATAAATAGGTAAGGGAAAGCAGGTTGTACGTTTTTATAAATAGACGATTAATATTTCGTAACGTTAGGGTTAAAAACAATTGTGATATATTTTTTATATCTTTCTTTTAAATTAAGTAAGTAGGTACATTTGCTATAAAAGGGGCGATGCATACTTTTTCACAAATTGTAACTTGATTGTACCTACAGTAGAAACAATCTCATCTTTAAAAAGCTGTTGACAATCCACTCTCTTCTACAATTGGTCGTCGATTAAGTCGATGTCGATATAATTGACGGCAAACAACTTGAGCAAACCATAGACAATGCTGCTTGCGCAGTGGAACTTTTTATACGAAATTAAAATTGTTACTGCGCAAGTCATAATACATAATTATATCATGCTCAAGCTATTTGCCGGTATGTATACCTAATAAATTCGACTGAAATTTACGTCAGTAGACATTAGGTACAAATACTTTATGCATTGAATGTAACTTTTGTAATTAGCGATTCTCGCGCCTACTATGATGTAATTATCAGCGTTTTTTTTTTTTAATATAATGTACAGGTTGTTAGACTTATCGTTGGTAAAAAAAATATTAGGGAGAGTTTAGTTGGACTAATTAGAACAGAATGTGAATCTAAGTCTGTTTCACTTTTTAATTGATATTTAACGCTATAACAACAAAATAAATAGGTTTATTAATTAAAGGATAAAAGTATTAATTGTTATATTGTTTGAAATATTCATGTATTCGAGTAGGTAATATTTTTTAATAATTTACTGTAATTTTTTTTATCCATCCAAATAAAGTAAAAAGAAAGTAGAATGAAAAATTTTAAGTTGTTATAGTTTCGCTCTAAATCGATTTAGATTCCTAATTCAAATTGTTCTTACCTTCTCTACTGCCCTTTGACCAACGATTTGTCTAATATCCCGCAGTAAATACATGTATCTGTATCATACAATGGAAAATCTATTGAGTGTTGTTTATAAATTATGTGTAATAGCGTTTGTAATGAAAATAAATATGTTAAAAACAATATTTTTTTTTCTTGATTAGACAAAAGAAACAAACTCCTAACTTTAACTCAATCTATATTCACATTGAGTTTGGTATACCTACAAGATTAAGGTTTCAAATACTGTTAGAGTCACAAATACCTAGACGAAATTCGTAAAGTAAGTTTCTAATTAGTAGGTAATTACCATATTTCATTTCATCATTTCCAATCATTGGAGACTATATCATTTTCATACATTACCAAAATTGTATTACATTTTAAATAAAGGAAATGTTAAATTCGTCTTCGTTTTAAAGATACTGTGAAGTGATTTGATGAACTGATGATAGTATAAAATTAATGTCGCTAACTGTAAAAAAGCTTACATAAAATGTTTTCATTGTAGCGTCTATTTTCCAGGATTATTTTTTATTTTGGTCACGTGATCATATCTCCATATTTCGTGACATAAGACTCAAACTGAGAACTGCGTGTCTCCCAACTGATCTCTAGACTAACGTAGTGTCAAAATAAAAAATAAAACTAAATGTTTACTGTAAAATTTTATTATAACAATTAAGACTTTTTTCGTTAATAATGGATATTTACAAATAAGTGATATTCATAAGAACTTGATAACTAGATTCATTTTGTATGTTTGAGCACAACAAACAACATCGCCCGTACATTCCCCATAAGTCCTATAATATAATAGTTACTGCCTTTGTACATAAAAGTAAGCTAAGTCGTATTGAACCATTCTGGTTTCGTTCGTTTTATAATTATAATGATACCATTAAATACATAAAAAAAAACGATAAGGGGGAATCAACATTCCTGAAATCATGAAAAACAATTCATATCTAAGTAATAGAATAAAATCAAAAAACAAAATAATATTAACAATTGAAAAAAATATTTAAACTAATTTATAATAAATTCAAAACAAGTTTAAACTAGCATTGTACTTAAAACTAAGTTATTTTATAAACAAATCTATAATAATATAACATTATAACGTAATCGGGAACGCATCGCGCCGTCATATCGTTATTTTAGTGTGGTATCGATGCGGCGATGGTGTATTTCTAGCGCGATATTCCGCACCGCCGTAAAATAAACTGTAAATATAGAAACATGGCGGACGTAAACTCGTCGTGACGTTATCGGTCACGTTCAAAAATACTATATATTCTGCCGCAATTAAGCGATTGTCTTGCCAGTAACGATTATTCTGACGGATGTCGCCTTGAGACCACTGTCTGCCATGTTTCCTTGTGGAAGTTCCCTTTGTCTTTTTCATGTAGCCTTGTTTAGTTCAAATAAACATACAAACAATGTAATTACAATTGATATAATTATGTAAATGATGTTAACGATGTAAATTAATTTTAGTTTATTGTATGTAACCTTTTTTTTTTAATTCTGTCTAGTCATATAGCATGACTTGATAGTTGAAAATTTAAGTTGCGAAATCTTTTAAAAAATGTTATTAAATAGGTGTGTCAGTCATAACTTAACCTATAGCAGGTTGCAATTATATTTCTAAGGGGCCGAACAGATATTTCGCTTGACAACTATCGGTGATGTCGCCGAGGAACTGAGCGAACAGTTCTTGATACCTGGACACCGTAATGCCGCCCTTCTTTCTGTCGTCGTCCTGAAAAGAAAAAAACAACAGAGGGTATGACTTACCATGGATCAGTGTATAAAAATATTGATATTAAAATATCCCTTCTGGTAAGAATTACAATCTAAATGATAAATTTGTCACTTACAGTTTTGTGACACAAAAACCCGCATTTAACTAAATGTATTTCGGTGAAAGTAAACACTTTTAAGTAAAATAATAGTATAAGATTGTTTTCCAGAAAAAAAAAGTATTTCAATCGTGGAAAAACCAATTACTTTCATTTAAAAACTGAACTAACAAAACCGATTTTGATAAAATTTCTATGGGACCAATCTGTAGGTAAGTATATCCTTTTTCTTCTGTTCTCCAATCTCGATTTCAAAGTTTTTTTTTTAAACCACTGAGGTGGCAAACAAGCATACGGCCCACCTGATGGTAAGCGGTTACCGTAGCCTATGAACGCCTGCAATACCAGTGGTATTATGCGCGCGTTGCCAACCCTGAAGAAACCTCTTTACCCCCCTTTTGAAGAACCCCATGCTGTAGTCTCTTGGGAAAACCTTGGCAGGGAGCTCATTCCATGACCTGAGTGTTCGTGGGAGAAAGGTTGTCGGTTCTTCAAGCTATTTGACCAGCCTATTGCCACTTTAGCTTCCTTATCCTTCAGGCTATGTCGGTAATTTTAGTTCCTCTGCGGATATACTCATTTTGCATTCTATAACGTAAACTCCAATACACGGACAACCGGTGTAGGACCATGTTTCGGTTCTGTAGGTCATCACTGGGAACACGTACTGCTTAAAGACCTTTGCCTTTAAACTGAGATATATCGAATATTGTTATGGATGGACAAAATTAAATATAGATCCATCAAATTAACAACACATCGAGTACTCTCTATAAATACTCACTTGATAATTGCTCACGATAAATTACAATGGAATGTAGAATACATCAGGAAATGGGATTTTAAGAAACAATTGAAGTATTCTCTTGAATTCGTGCCAAGTGGAAAGCTGTCTAATGTTTTTTATTCGCTATTTTATTACGCTTCTTTGTCCCTTGTTAACATCTGTCGTAATCTGGTTATCTGATAAACTATAAATTATGTGCTAAATATTATACGATTTAATTAGGAGTATAAATACTTTTTTTTATGGGTGAAAATGGTATGGTAACCCCGCCTGCGCTAACGGGATACGCTGGCGGAGCACCAGTGAAGGGTGATAGATGAGAATGAAAACAGGCCAGTTAGCCCATCATGATGAATTCATCAGGAATTAACCATGATAGTTTCCAGAACCGCGAGGAGGTCGACCTGGTTGGGTATATTGCTAGCAATAAGATTCTCAGTCTCCATTACTAACAATCCCTTTCCCCCCAGTATAAATACGTTAGGTGACGTGTAATGGGGAGCACTTTATAAATATTATGTTTGCGTTATAACATATACGACGAAGGTACCTACTAGTTTAAGATTATATAGATAGTCTCCATACAAATGCTTCAAGAAAAGCGGGTCAATTTTTTTATACAAATTTGCGTGTTAATGGTTATGAGTGATTCCTTTATAACTTCTATATTTATTTTGTCTTATAAATTCTGCATCTTTTTAATGCGTAAAACTCATTGTATTTATTAAATAATTAAATATAAATACGTCATGATACATTATGTGTGTAAGTATATAGATAACTGTAAAAAAAATGAGTTGGCAAATTTGACAAACAGTTGACCCGTTTAAGCTCGATGTACTATTTACATAATCTAAGGTATATAATAGCATTGTATTATTTGTGGTATAAGTATCCATTGGAGAAAAGAAATTTATCATGAAGTGTATACAAAATAAAATTAAAAATAAGTAAGAAATAAATACAGACCTACAAATAGATCACACTATTCTTTTTTTTTTATACAACTGAGAATGGCAATCAAGCTGACGGTCCACCTGATGGAAGGTGGTAACCGTCGCCTATAGACATGAGCAGTACCATGGACATAAGAGAGTATACTGTTTCGCCCATGATACCCCCCATGTGTTGCCATTCCTGAGGACTCAGGTGTTATTCCTCTGTACCCAGTAACATAGTACAAATTACTTATACCACTAATATGAAATAAAAAGTAAACGTCTGTCTAGAAGTAATTGCTAATACAGATGTTTCAAAATTAAAACACTACAATACTAATGATTGTGCGCCAATGTGATTACTGCATTATCTCATAAATTTACGCGTAGGTCGTATTTCTAAACAATGTTGAAGTTATGACCAACATTGTAATAATAGAGTTTACACGTAGTCTCTGGTTATAATTAACATCGCTTCTTATTATAAATAATTCAACAAAATACTTGTATACCAGAAAATATTTATTTTTAAATTACAATTGTTAATTGAAGCATCTAAGTTCACATCAAAGCTTTGTCTTGCTGATCACATTACCTGTCTCCCAAATGAATTTACGGTCACGTCTCTATTTTCTGAATCTATTCGTGAAACAAAAGAATACGAACGCATTACATCGGGTTGAAGGCCAATAATTGTGAAGCGACAAAATTGTTCGCTATCTGTCAATGGTTTGAAGTATATACTTGCTTTTGATAATAATAAATTATAGAGATGTACCTCCATATCCTATAATTTTACTACCATATCCAGCCTTTCAAACCGAAACACAGCCGAGCAACCACGACTGCTTCATGGCAATAACACGATTAGAACAAAAGTGTCCATACAGCCGACTTTAATCCATGTTAACAAGAACTCTACTGCGATGTTTTTAAGCAGATATTCAAACAGGTTGTTAAAAAGCTATTATCTTTCCCCCATTTGCACATGGTTGCGTGGTGCTGAATCTACACGGGACTGCCATTGACATAAATCTACGTTTGATGCTCTTTGCCAAGACTTATGTACCTACGGCACCTACATTAGTATTTCAAGAACCGTGTATACCGCACGGAATATTCCTCTATAGTAATTTAGTATAATCTGTTTCAATAAATTAATGAAAATGTAGAAACAAACGAACCGTCTGTTTATGTCCAAGAGTAGTACAGATAAAAAAATCTAATAATTGTATAAACGTTTGATAATAATTTCTTTTAAAGAAATAATTTATTTTAGGAATCATGTGATTTACACAGTAGCGTAGAAAACAAGAACAAAACAAAAACCAATCGTATACACAATAGTAACAAAATAAAAAGCGTCTACCGTGTTCTGCTCAGTGGAGGACTAAATTTAGAGAGCATTTCTGTGTTAACAAAAAAAAACTGGTTGATTTTTCATTACGAGTTAGTTCTACAGAAACCCACTATAAGTTCTGTTTCGTTCAATGAACCGACCGTACCGTAAGTGCGTGGAAACTAGCTTATTGTATACGTGATTTATTAATTTTCATTTTTATCTAATTAATATAACGGGAATTTAAAATAACGCATTCGCCGAGAAGTTTAGACTGATAAGATTGCCGAAGTAATACCTGATGCAAGATTTAATAAAACTTTAGCCCTCGGGAAGGCATGATGACATAATAATGAAAGATTTTACGGAAGACACAATATAGTCGTAATTTACCTAATTGTAGGTGTCAAGTCTCGGTGGTTTCAGTTTAGGAAAAAAACCTATTTAACTCTGGTCTCGATATTGTGTAGCTATGACTCTGATGTTAGTAGTCTAGTTCCTCCACCATCGAGTATTCTAACTTGAAGACCAGACAATTTGTAGCATACTGATTTCTAATTTGAACAGAAATAATATAGATATAATCCTCACGCGTGGCAACGCATGAGCTGCTGTTTATGTCTATAAGCGATGGTTACCACTTTCCACCAGGTGAGTCGATAACGTGTTTACTATTTTAAGTTACGTAAAAAAATATAAGGACATGGGCTTGTGTACTCACATTTAACAATGAGTTGAAAGCGTCATCTATAACTTTGATATCTTCGACGACCATTCTCTGTACGCAATCGTACCTAAACTCTTCGATGCCGATCACACCGTCCTGGTTTATATCGATCATCTTGAAGTTGGACTCGATAAAGGCCTTCATCGCCTGAGGGAAATCTTCGTACTTCTTACCCACACAACTATTCTTCACGGCTTGTTTGAACTCTTCAACGGTGATCATGCCGTCCTGTAATTATTCCTTTATTAGAATTTCTGGAGTATCCTGAAAATAAGCAGAGGGAAGCGTGTGCAAGAGCTTAGTGTAGGTTGTATCTATGCTACAGCACTATATGTATTTAATTTTTTTTTTATTTCAGACGTCTATAAAACATATTGCAATATATTTTGAATTTGGTATTAGCACTTTTTGTAGTATATAAATTATTATTCCAGAAAAACAATATATATTTATCTATTATAACAAAAATCATATTGGAGCCTTCAACTAGCGCGTTACACAGTAATGGTTCACGAAGCCAATAATCGATGATGGGGGATTTTTCCTTCAATGAGTGTCCGCTTTCTGTTAAATCCACCAAATGCTTTTCCAGTAATAGCAGTCCATTAATATTCCTAACTCGTAATATATTTAATCCATTATATAGAGCCTAGTGTCGACTATCAGAAGAGTTCGACTTGATAAATATAGTATTATTGAGTCAGGTGGACTGGTATGATAAACCATTGCATCAAGAGCGTTGTTTTTGACCTTATAATGCCTACGTATTATCTAACAAAAGCATGGCCGTTGCTAAGGAGGGAAGGGCATTGAGGAGCAATGCCCTACCTTAAAATGAAAGACCTCAAGAATATTAGACAGATTCGCTTTTTGAAGTCTTACTTAATTATAGCTTCTGCCCTACCAAAAAGTTCTTTTGCCCTACTTTAAACTTGGGTCTAGCTACGGCCCCGAACAAAAGGAATAGTGATCAAATTCTGATGAAAAAATGAAGATACTTATTGAAAAATACTAGACATCAGAATTCGGACACTGGACAGAATCTCTTAAATAACTAAATAAAAACTATGTAAATATAAAACGACAACATCGATTCACTTATATTTCAAGCAACATGCTACAAACTACACGACATTGTGCTTTGTTTTAAAGTTAGCGTGCTCTTTTTTCCATTCCCAAACAAGACTACAACTGCGTGCAAATTACCTCTACTTACTGACAGTTAGTTTTTATCATATCACATTATTCAATCAACATCAGATTTTTATATATCTCTATGTATCATAATCATCCATCCGTACATCTAACAGGTATACAAGGAGACTTGAACACCAAAGACCTTACCCTTACATACATCTGTTGCTTTCCTGAACTTCTTATCCCGTTTTTTGAAAGTATTTTGATTTCGAAGACTTTTAACTTTTCTTTTTCACAGTATATAATTATTTTGACCATTAACAATCTAACCTGGGTCTCTTCGGCACCTGAATCCTTTTGTGTTGTATACCTGAGTAGCTAAGCTGAGTAATTCTCCTTTCATCCGACATTCGTGTTATAAGAGTATGACCAAACCACTATAATATGGAGAGAGAAGAGTTTGATAGTAATGGAGATTAATAGTTATATATTACCCCTACATTATATAGGTAATATATTCCGTCGGGTCAATCACCACACGGTCTTCCATGGGAACCATCGTGCTTAATTTTAAGTCATTTCGTCACTAGGGGCGGATTGACTTACCTCTCCATCCTCACCTATCATTAATCACTGGTAACTCTCTAGTAAATCGTTAGTGTAAGCTAACAATTCCATTGTCACTCTTTAAAAAACACTATTGTACTTCTCATTAAACAACGATAATTTCTTTCAAAACATCTTGCACACACACTGTAATTTTATGATCTCGGTTTGCCAAAGCCCGCATATTCTTCGCTGTATTTGTATATTGTAGATAAATACCAAGATCTAACTAATCCTGATGCTGTTTTCGATGTTAGTGCAAAAATTATGATACTACGTATCTACTACCATTCGGTTACTTTGTTTTGCATTTTCCATAACTCTAAAAAAATCCATCGCAATTTTTCTTTTACTAGCTGATCATTAAACTTCCATTATAAATACTTACATAGCCTTGCCCTTGCGGTATCTAGTAGCTACAGTACCGCTACTATTAGAAAAAACTAATTATGCATTACATCTAAACATGCCGGCCATATCTGCGACATCCTGCCATCTGTCAAGAAGCTGTTAAACCAGCCAATTGTGTGATTCGTGCCAATCGCCAGCGTGTATAGCTTCTGAAGCGTGTATAATGTATGGAGGGGGATAACCGACATAGTCTGGAACCTTATCGAAGTCCGCCAGCTGAGCGATCTCCTCCCAGAGGCTCAGCATGATGTGCTGGTACTTCTGCAGTCGCGCGGCGCTGCAGTCGCCCTTGCCTTCCAGCACGCACGACCGCAGCGCTAGGCATTGGAAGTCGTGAGAATCTAGGTAACCGTTGTTGTCGATATCTGAAACAGGATTTGTTTTCATCAATGTAGGTCTCATTGTGTGAAAGTCTCATTCTCAAGTAAACAGGTCAACTGGCTAATAGTTCCAATCGGGATTTGAAATTTATGTAAACAACAAGTTTAAAACTTAAAGTTACTATTATTAGATCGAAAAAGCTCGACTAGTTTCGGGATCAATTCGTGATCCTTAGTCATGTGTTTAAAATTAACAGCTGACTAAGGTTTTTAACTGTCGTCTTATTTCAACACCATTTCTTAATTCTCCTTTTTTTAATTGAGTATATTATGACATATCTTCACCATTTCTGGATCTATTATTCTAATAATGATTATTTATACGATCAATAGGCTTTACTTCTATTTTAGCAACATATTAATTATGCTTCGATTGATCGAAATCGCTGTTCTTTTTATTCTTGCAGAAAAAAATATACTTGGTAACAATAAAATATGCAGGAAGTATCGATTTTTTTTTTGAGGTACCATAATAATAATTAAGATATACGTGTACAATAACAATTTGATGGATCGTTAGGTATTTGCCATCTTAATATCATCACGTTTATCTATTTGCTCTCTATTCGAACATTTGGCAAGTGTGATAATCATGTCAAACGCTGCAGAATTTATTTGAGGTTCTTGTCATACTTTTAATATCCGATCGAAATGTCGGCTCCGATCACCGACAACCAATTTTATGTCTCTTGTTCCACTTTCATAACAATAGCAATGGTATCGCTTGATATCCCATAATATTGTAATTTCAACTGTCTAATTTGAGATATTTTTTATTCGGTTAAAAATAATACTTAAGTAATATTATATTTTTCCAATTTCTTTTTTACGAAACTGACAATTCATGTTAAGGTGTAAAGTTAGAAAATTAGAGTTAAAATTTAAGAATTGCAACAGAAATAAAACCAGGCAGGCTTCAGTGGATGATAATGTAACTATATGATAAGGTAACTCGTCAGTGCTATCGGTTTATGTTGACGGAGCACCTGTGAGAGATGATATGTAAGTAAGAATGAAAGCAGGTCAGTTAGCACATCGTTATGAATCCGACACGAATTAACCAAGATGGTTTCTAGAGAAAACCAAATCAGACAGGTTCGACCTAAAATAAATTCTTCAAAATTGTACGAGAGTACAACGAAGAAAATATATAAGCTTATATTGCTTTAATGCTCGTAAAATGATCTTTGCACATTTACTACAAACAAAAATTAAATAATAATGGCGAAAAAACCAGAATACGCTCGCCACTTTTAACTCTACTTTTAGAATTTCCCCAACCACAGGAACAGGAACGCGTCATCCGAATTTCTTGTCATATTTCACGAAGTTTTATTATGTGTTAACAGTCACTCGTATGACATTGTAAGAGAACATTTTCAATTGCCGATCAATGTCGCAACCGTGTGCCACCGTCCAGTTGGCGGGTAAACAATAGTATCAATTTAATTATAGCTCCCATGCCAAGAGTACCCATTGACTTTCGCAACACGAGTTTTCGCTTTGCGAAACAACAGAATTTTAGCTCGGGCATTTTTTAAAATGAATGACAGTGACAGCATTTGGACGAATCGTAATTTACTATAATTATATACAAAGCTAAAGTTAAATGATGTTATTTTTCATCTACAAACACCTAAATGATACGAGAAGGTATACAGAAATAAGGAAAACTAACAAGATCTGTCCAGGCACAGTACAAACCGCTAAGTTGTAAATGTTCAGATTTTTTTATCTGGGTTTATGACATACTCTTAGGGTTTCCTGGAATTCTCTATACTGGAAAAAGAATGACAAATAACGGTTTCCGAGTGGTTGAAGTTATGGTAAATAGTTATCCTATATACAACTCCACAGTTTTTACTGTTAAGGTGACACGTGAGTCTAAAATCCGCATGAAGCAGTAATTTTTATCTGACTTCATACTGAAAAAAAAAAAATATACGGTACCTAAATGATAATACTTCAAATTTTCTTTGAGATAGGCTAAGACCATAATGTCATACAGCTTTTAGATACTTATCCTCTAATGTAAAACTTCCTTATAACTTCTCTATTAATCTGTTATCGCTGCTAACGTATACTGATGTTCTTTTCCATGTTTTTGGACAAAAAAAAATTATATAAAATGCTACTGTCAAGAACATAATGTGGTGTGCATACCTAATTATCAAGATGATCGAATCACAAATGTTACAACCGTTTAAAAATAATCGAACACGCAACTATTACGATCGACGGTGAATTAGTCGCTAGCTGCCAATTGGATAGGTCTTATTTTAATTTGAACTACACTAATTTATACTTATGTGCCTAGATTTCTTATGAGCTTTCTGATATCTATCTATTTGCTCATACAAAGAACAGTTCTGGTAACTCTACGTTATGCCAGAGAGAAACTTTTTTTATACCACTGAGGTTGCCACCTCCATCAAGCATACGGCCCACCTGATGGTAAGTGGTTACCGTAGCCTATGAACGCTTACAATACCAGGGGTATTACACGCGCGTTGCCGACCTTGAAGAAATCTGTTTACACCCCTTTTGAAGAACCCCATGCTATAGTCTCTTGGGAAAACTTTGGCAAAGAGCTCATTCCATAACCTGAGTGTCCGTGGGAGAAAATAAACTGTACAAAACCAGTTTGGTTAAGTATCTCTGGCATATACATATATTTCTGTATAAACAGTGGGATATAGTAGTAAAACATGGTATGAAGACGTAATATAAAAGTTTTCACGTAACACAATACCTGTCCACATGATGTCTCTTGTTAGCGTACCTATCGTTATAATAAGTACTTTAATTATTAATATATATTTAATATTTTTGTACAATTTTGTATTTTATGCACGGCAAAATTATTAATTCACTCTTGCGCCACCTACCCACTTCTATCTGTTCTCCTTTAACCAAAGGTTGTCTGAAGAGATTGCCCTAGCGATAAGACCGCCTTTTGTACCTTTATTTATATACTTTAATCTGTATTTTTATGTTTCTGGTTCAATAAAGAGTTGAATAGATCTCTTTATAGATGACAGCTACAGCTCTGAATAACTAAACAATGTGCACAAAATGCTTTTAGCCAATTCTTAACATCTTTACTAAATCAGACGTTAACTATCAACTGCTGAAAATAGGCCTCTCCCATAAGGGGGGTTTTGCAATAGTTGTTACGCTTGGCAGACACGATGGTAACCGCAATTAGATTTTGGTGAAGCTTTAAGAGGGACGCTACTTCCCATCTTTGGACTGTTAAGTTCTCTTAGACGCCACTTACGACATCCGCGGGAAAGAAAGTGGTAACCCATTTTATGCCAGGACCACACTGCAACCTTGTGATAAAATCAATGCACCTTTACATAAAACAAATATTGTAGAAGCAATCTACTTTTAATTGATTCCAAGTTCCTAACTCATTTCTAAAGTCCTTTATCTTTTCTAACTCTTTTTAAGGGCCTAAAACATACTCAGTGGATTTCGAGACCCTGCCAAACCCTCTACATAATTCTTTTTTGCAATTTCGATATATAATAATAAAATATTTTCATTACTATGTTAGAAGAAGATACAAGCAAAGCAGTAAGTATTCACTGTATTAAAATCTGTAATACTATCTGAACTGTTCATTTATTAATTAGTAAGCGAAGTCAAGCAGATCGTTGGTGTTTTGGCAAACATCTGATATCGCCAACTATGATGCCTATATGAATCATTTTCATTACCGAAACTCAAGAATCCGTTGCATTAATTTGTGGCGTTTTCAAATATGTTATATTCATAACTACGCATGTAATCTTTACTAATAATTAAATTTATAAATGTGAAAGTTAATGTAATTGGGGTGTACATGTTTATATAGGATGGCGAAGGTAATAGACATTTTATGTAAAATTAAATATAATCTTAATATTTTATAGTAAATTATTAGTATTGTAAATAACTTGACATGTACAAAAATTATAATTACCTGTAGTATGTTCGTGTTTAATCATATACAAACTGCAGGTAACGATAAATAAATAAATAGGCTACTTTCTATCCCGGTCATTCGAGACTAGTCGCGAGTAAAAGCTAGTAAAGTTTAATTTTGTTTAATACTAGTAGCAAGGTTTAATTTCGAATGTAGGTACTCAAAACAACCTTTAAACGACCATGTAAGTTTATACATAGTACATTTAAATAAATACACATAATGTTAACAAAGATTTAAAAGAGTAACTGTTGAGTTTCTTGCGGGCTCTTCTCAACAGACAACAACTTTCTGCACCCAGCATTCATAAAAAAATTACGATTTAAAAGTGCTTGTAAACAAGTCTATTTAAATAAAAATGATTTGAATTTAAATACATGAACAGTATAGAAGCGTCTAGAGCTTCAAAATTTAAATAAATTTAAATGAAATTATTTATGAAAACATTGTTAATAAAGATTATTATGAATAATTTGATGTTACAAAATTTTTTTATGTCTTCATCATACTTCTGTGGCAATACGTTTATTGATATGTCACAATGTATCTATAGTTTTTGTAGTTTTTTTGTTACAAAAGTTAAAAGCTTTACATTGTTTATTATTATTATTATTTTTACAAAAATTCATATCTCCCCTCTTAAGGAGAGGAGATGACAAACTAACGCCCAGTAGTAGCACAGTCGGCCAGGGTTCAGGGCCCCAGGGAGAGAAACTGGCGTACAATACGGACAGTATCTAAGAGCACCGCTTTCTGCATTTTTCCCGGGAGTGAACCGCCTCGAAAATCCAACCGTCTGAGATGTTGTTCCAGACTGGTTGGGATAAGACCGTTCACCGACAAAACGATTGGATTGATTTCGGTGGACGTCACCCCCCTATTATTATTATTATATCAACTGCTAAATATCCACTGCTCAACACAGGCTCCCCACCACAAAGGGGGGTTTTATCAGTAGTTGCCACGGTAAGCAGACAAGTTGACATCCGCAATTAGACTTTGGTACAGTTTTAAAAGGGATGCTGCTGCCCCTCGATTATTATGTTTCTTTACCTACTCTCCTCTTACGACGTAAGAGAAATGGCCCATTCTATACCGAAACCACACAGCAATGTTATAACAGCTTTTATTTGTAAAGTGATAATGACAAGGGTTTTTTTACAGATATGCCCAATAAGCTACACATTCAGAATGTCCAGTAATTGTCATGGGGATAATTATAAATCAGGTTCTAGGTTCTTCTCAATATATAACGTTCTCACATTTCATAGTGTCCCTAAAAGCACTTAGTGAGGGACTATTAGACAAAATATCTATCTTCCATGGACTATCTACTGTTTGAACCAGCAAATAGTTCAAACAAACAGTACTGTACATATCCCCCAAAGTTTGGAGGTTAAATATGAAAATGGTTATATATCATGATGAATGGATGGTCCGCGAACCATCGGTTAAGAAGCATTGCTTTAAACGGTGAATTATGGAATGTTTTATACTAAATTCAGTTAAAACTGAGACTGAGTTGAACTGTTGATATCTATTGTCAGCAACTGCAAAGCATGAAGGAAGAACTAGCTGCTAAATAACTGAGATTGGTCAACCGCTCTAAGCCACTGCTGCTTCACGACAACGCAAGACTACACACTGTGCAATAAACAACCAGTAAGTTAGATGAGCTACAATCGGAATGTCTGCGACATCCACCGTACTCCCCGGACCTTGCTCCAACAGATTACCATTTTTTCCGGAATTTGGACAACTTCTTACAAGGAAAAAAAATCAACTTCGATGCGGCAGTCCAAACCGCCTTCAAAGAGTTTATTCATTCTCGCCTCCATGTTTTTTTAGTAAATGGAACAATGAACTACCTATGAGATGGCAAAAATACATAGATAACAACGATGTGTGTATACTTTGATTAATTAAATATATTTTACAAAAAAAAAAAATACTTTATATTCCTCCCACACAAAACTCCAATTTCATATGTAAGGACTTTTTTTTATATATTTACCTATTCAAAATAACGGGTATGGGTGTGTAGTCAAATATTTTTAGACTAGCTACATAGTTGTGTTCCCGTTAGTTTCCCGTATAATAAAGTTATCAATGAAGCATTCCAGCGTTGCACACACATTCTGTTTCATTCCACAACGCCGTCCGCTGATAGATTTATGTTTCTAAAATAAAAATATCCCGAACTTGGTTCACATCCAATCCTGCTACTATGCGCTCGACTTTCTCACAATATAAACAAAACTTTAAAAATGAAAAAAAAAAACAACTTTTCTTTTAGCCAAACTATTTTAAAAATCACCAGAGGGAGACTTTGAATAAAAGTCGTTTGCTTGAGCACCTCTGTTTCACTCGTGTTTCTACCGTGAAGCAGTTGGGTGGGATAGGCAGTAAATTTACAGAAAACAAAGGAATAACACCGGAGTCCTCAGGAATGGCAACGCATGGAGTATCATGAGCAAAACAGTATACACCGTTACGTCCATGATATTGCTCATATCTACGCAACGGTTACCACATTCCATCAAATGGGCCGTCAGCTTGTTTCTCATTCTAAGTTGTATAAAAAATCCCACAATTTTATTATGGGAACCTCGAAAAAAAAAAGAAAAAAATACTCGATGTATATGTAAAATCTATAACAATAGACACTTGCATCATCAAAAACATTGAGTAGATTATCATTAGTAGTTGGGTATTAAATCACGAAATTTCCTTTTTCTGTGAGTGTCGTAAGAGGTGACTAATTGAATTTAGAGAGTAGAGGGATAGGCCGCAGCGTCCATCTTAAAAGATCTCTAAAAACCTAACTCATTTGATTGCCAACCCGCCTGCCAAGCGTAGTAACTACTGACAAAACTGCCCTTATGGGGAAAGCTTATATTTAGCAGTGGACAGTTAACGGCTTAAATCATGAAAATAATGAAATCACATAATGTATTTAATAGAAAATATTTTTGTTTCATTCAAAATACAACAGCATCTATTTCGAAAGTAAAAACGCATGTATAAACGTGAAACTTTATATAAATATATGTTTGTATGTTTGTCATTAAATTGCACTTAAACAACTGAACGGATTGGATTGTAATTTATTATTGTACAAAGATAGGTTATATCCTAACAAATAGGATAATTTATATACTGACAAACGTGAGCAAAACCACAGAAAACAGCCAGTAATAAAATAAAATATTTCATAGATATTAAAAAATAATTAAATTCCAAAGAACAGCGACTTCAAACGCTATACAATTAACATAGACTATACGGGAGTAAACCCTATATATTGAAAAAAGAATCCTCATAATCGATTCACACCTTTATATAGAAATTTAGTTAAACAACAAGTTATCAAATAGTTAATCGCATACTTATAAACTAGAGATCACACAAATCCATAACGTTTTGTTTCGCCCGGCGATATATTAATTACCATACAACTGTAATTCCATGCAAACACATCGGGACTCACCATAAAGATATCGCACCACGAATGAAACTCTGTTATCCCATGTGTATGCCATATCGATAGAAGTTTTACGATTAGGTTATATGGATGTTAGACGATTGGCGAAGCAAAGAGTGCGGCGGCGGTCGCACGGCGACTGCCGGCCGCCGCCAGCGCCACCCCGCTCCGAATAAACGATATAAAGTAATATTACTGGCTCGTTATACGTCACATCATAGTATCCAAATTGCGGCACTCTATCCACGGCTATTGTCGTCTGGGTTTTGTGCGCTCGACCTGGCCAAGCCGCCTGGCGAAGGCTTAGCTAAGCCTGGCCCAGGCCACTTGCATCACATTAAAGAGTTTTTAAGGAGTGAAAATGCAGTGGTAACCACACTTGTGGGGGGAAGGATTGTTAGTAATGAGGAGATTAGTTCCCATTGCTATCAATATACCTTATTAGGTCGACCGATTAACTGGTATACCCTGTCATCCTCACCAATCATCATCGCCCATTGAATGAAAAGTAAGGGGAAGAGAGAAGGAATTGTTAGTAATGGGTTTTTTAATGGGTACAGTGACCAATTGAACAAGAATGAACCACTATAGTTTCCAGGTGGAACCGCGTAGAGGTCGACCTGATAGAGTGTACTGCTAGCAATGGGGCTGTTAAATCTCATTACTAACAATCCTATCCCCCCCCCCCGTAATGAGATTTAGCAACCCTATTGCTAACAGTAAACCCTAGCAACCTCCTCGCAGTTCCTGGAAAACATTGTAATTAATTCTTGTTGAACTCGTCATGATGGGCTAAACTGACCTTTTATTTCACTCATTCATTTCATTTTACTGGTGTCCCGACAGTGTATATCGATAGCGCCGGCGGAGTTATCACTCCATACTCACCCATTAAAAAAATTAAAGAAAGTAAAGAACAATTTGTGAGGATAAAACAGACCAGTTGACCCATTATTTTCATAAGGTTAACCATGATGATTTCAGACCATTGGATATCGACCATTATGACATATTCATAGGTATATTTTTTACCATGATGATTTCTTTTTAAATAATATTTAGAAACACATATCGCATGGATATCGACCTAACAAAGTAGGTATATATTTTTTACCCAATCACAAATGTATGTCGATTTCTATTACATTTTGCCATTTAACCATAAAGTAAATGACGAAAAAAGGTATTTCCTACAATTAACTTTTCTTTCTCTTTTTGCTGTTTTCATTGATATATTTACGGATTGTTTTATTGGGTAATAATAGAATGGTAAACCCTATATTTACGAGTAGGTATATATACCTACCTAGCTGTATACAGCTGCACGATTTACAAACACAAGAATTTAAAAAAAAATGACCCCCCTTTCTGTAAGGTCATCTCACTTTTTTCTAAACTTTTCTACAACTCAAGTCTCTGAATTATATTTCTCCTTAATCTTTCTAAATTGTAATAAAATAATAATTTATAATCTGGCAACGCTGGCTAATGGTATATCATCTTTCACTGACCCGCCTGTATAGATAAAAATGAAAGCAGGTCATGATAGCCATCGTCATGACATATTTAACAAAATTTAACCACGTTAATTTTCAAAGGGAATTGTGTAAAAGTAGACCTGATATGATATATTGCTAACAATAAGACTGAAGACCACATTACTTACAATCTTTTTCTACCGTCAAAGTATATTACTAATAATGGAGGTCTTCTTAGTGTCATATTCCTCGTTATTGAAGATGTGGCGTATTACTAGCCATTATAATATGCCTATTGTATTTTTTTTTTATCGATTTTCTATTGTCATATGTTTTACATTTCATTCTTTGTCTTTATGTTTTCCTACTGATAAAGATATAATGAAAAAGAACTACAATATAAAGCATCATAATTTATCAACCCGTTTCTCTTAAAAGGTCATTATTACACCACAGAATCACATTTTATCTGATTAAAATTTTCACGCTGTTTATTCAAATTGAGTGAATTTTATTTTTGACTTTTTCCAATTAATTAAAAAATATATTAATTTTGCATTACAAAACTTTGCATTTCGTAAAAATGTAGGCGTTATATTAAAGACTTCGCATTTGATTTCGCATTTTGACAATGACTAATATTATCTTTACTGAATTATAAATATAACGAACTCTACCTAAATATTATAAATATGAAAGCGCTTTTATTTATTTTTTATAATTGTAGGTCCTATCCTTAATCTATGGTTTTCTTGCACTTTTCTTTTCCTAATACTTTAACTGACATCTGCCAAAATTCTTAAAACATTAAATGTCAATGTCAAGCGAATGTCTGATTAGTTTATGTTATAACTTAATGTACTTTTTAAAATTTTAATTGTTTAATTATAGTAATTTATTATTTTGTAAAACTTTAATAAAAAAAGTCTGTTTTTATATTTCAATGTACTTATGTAATTAACAAATATAATACTTAAAATGTGTGGTTGACTTTAAACAAATCAGTGGCTATCGGTATTTCATGTATATAATGTAATAAATAGTTTATAAGAATATTACGTTCATAAAATAAAATGTGATCCTCTAATAAATTGTGTTCTTTAATCATTGAGCCTGTCGCTTTAATATTAGAATGGACGAAAGAAAAAGAGGTATGTATGTAACTGCCCGGCAAAAGAAGAAGCTAATTGAATTCGTAGCGAAGCATCCAGAATTAATATCGTGCAAAGTGACTCAGGAGTTCAACTACAGGGACTCGCAAAAACTGTGGCAGACTATTGCACACGAGTGTAACACATTACCAGGACCTGGCGCGCGCAAAACCTGGAGACAGTGGAGAAAAGTACGATATTTTTGTTAATTAAATATTCTTTATTACACTAAAACATACAGTAAAAATAACAATTAGAAATAATATTTGCAAAGGTGAACTTATTTGTAAAAGAGATCTCTTACAGTCAACATAACACAGTGGCATAGGAAATAGTGAGTGGGCAGCAGTAGCACAAAACAGAAATCTATTTCTGATCATTTGTAATACAGGTTTAACACCTAGTACAGGCACCAGTCCCCACAAATAATATTGTTAAGATGTTCTACAAGTTATAGATAGTTTGTGATGGGATATAAATATACTTGTATACTATATTGTTATTTATTTGTGAATATTCTAAAGTATTATAGGAAACTATTACTTACATTCAACCCAACTTCTGAAGATAGACATTGATTGAAAGTGAAGTGAAAATTTTACATATTGACTATGATGGTATTATCATCTATAAGAATCTCCTAAATTTACTATAGCAATTATAGGGCTAGGATGGATAATCAAAGTTATAACCAAAATTTTTTTTGTTTGTTAAATAATATGGAATTATCATACTATTTCAGACATGGCAGGATTTACGTTCGAAAACTAAAAGACATGCAGAAATCCATGGCGAAGTTCCATCATCTGCAATGATGCTTACCCCAGCTGAACAAGAAGCGTTAGGTCTAAAAAATGTATCATCAACAACCAATTATCAAGAGACAACAGAGTTTGTTCAGATGGATCAGGATAATTCAGTAGATAACTATAAAAATGAAATGGAATCTGCTATTTCTTATAGTGAACCAGAATCTCCACCTGAAGTTAAAGTGTTTACTCGTTCCACAGACAATAAAAATAAAACAAAGAGCTCAAAACGCACTTCTAAACATTCAGATAACTGTTTTTTAAACTGTGATTTATTGGCCACTTCAGAGCAAAGGAAAATAGACTTAAAAGAAGACTATTTAAATTTCAAGAAGGACTATTTAAGAGAAAAGTTGAAATTAATGAAAGAACAAACTGAAGCCCTAAAGAGTATAGCTCGAGAATTAACAAAGTGATATATAGTGTTAATATTAGAATTTAAAGTATTTTATATAAGAATTCACATTCACAATCAGTGCAAAACTTGCTAATTTCTATATTTTGCTCCAAAATAAGGGATACCACTATTTTAACATATGACAAAAAACTTGACTAACATACAAATTAGTGTGGAGATGTTCATATGATGATACTTTTATAACTTATTGTAACTTAAGGAGATCTAAAGAAAATTATAAGTTGTAATCACAATTTTTTATATTGTAATATTATAATACAATACAAAATAATGATTACGAACTTTTAATAAAATATACAAAATCTACATTTGACTGTTTTAATTTTAGATGATCCAACCAAATCAAAATTTGCATTAGAGTTTGTTGATTTCAATTAAATGATATAGGAAATGAAACAAAACCGTTTGTAAAGCAATAGGGTTAGCTAAAATTACATGTAGTGATTCCGAAATAAGTATTGAGCCAACAATTCAGTAATTATGGCAATGAACTTTTTTGTAACACAAAACCAATTTATACATAATATTAATCTTAGTTTTTAAATTACCATGTAGAGGCAGCACCATTGTTCATTGAATTCCTTTTAATAGTTAATTTATAAAAGAGAAGAGTAAAGTGGCCTATATATTATTTCCAAAATTGCTGTCTAGCCTAGTACAGTTGTACGACTAGATTGCTAATAAAAATTTATTAAAAATTAGGATTGACAATAACATAATTTTTTATTAGATACATAGGTACCTATCTATGAGCATCCGAATTCCGATCCGTCAGTTTTATGAATAATGTATGTCAATCACAATCATAAATGTCAGTCAAAAACTGCATGATTGCATTTTTTCATTCGTTAAAAGTTTATTTTAAGTAATAATTTTTACTTTATATGTAGTTTACTTAAATTTACATATAGTGTTTTTAATAGACATTTGCAAAAAATGCTGAAAAAGGATTACAGTAATTTTGTAAGACCAGTGTCACCTTTAGAAAGTGTAAATAACAATGCACCTCTTACTTGTAAATATTTATCTGGAGACGAAGCTAGACGTATTTATCTAGAAGAAATTAAGGAAGCAAAAGACCCCATAAAGAGTTATATCTCTCCAGTTGAAAGAAATAATCGAAATCGTAAACGTAACTTGGAAGAAATATCTGACAAGGATTTGTTAATATCAGTTCAAAACAATGATGTTAACGCTGTGACAAGAGCTCTCGATAGGTATCCAGATAAGATTAATATTATTGATGAGTACGGTTGGAGTTTACTCATGATAGCATGTCAGGCCAACTCCGTGGATACTGTTAAATTACTCTTAAAAAGGGGCATAGATACAAATGTGAGAGATAAGGCAGGCAATTCTGCTCGAAGTCTAGTAATTCAAAACAAAAATTATGTACTGGCTAATATACTGTTAAGCAACAAGGAATGTAACAAAATTACATCAAATAATTCCTACAATAAAGTAAATGTGAAATTAAAAGAAGAATATATTTGTGAAATATGTAGCAATAGATTTCCTGATAAGGAAGAACATTTGTCTTCTACCATACATAATATAAATGCCAGTAAGGGTAAAAAAATACCTGCAAATTATGTTATTCCAGAAACAAACCGAGGTTATCAATTGATGCTAAAAGGTGGGTGGGATAAAGAATCTGGATTGGGACCAGATGGTTCTGGAAAGAAATATCCAATTAAAACAATACAGAAAAAAGATAGAAAGGGTCTGGGATGTAAAAAGAAAAAAGAAGATAACCTAAATAAGCCAATTGTAAAGCATAAAAATGGAAAAATAATAGCATCAGAATCTCAGAGAAGTAGAAGAATAGAAATAAACTTCCGAAGAGAATTTTATTAAAAAGAAATGTAATTGAAATAAATTGTTGTATTAATAATGTTATTATATTATTTTATTGTGTCATTGCTTTCACCATTTTATTATATGGATGATTTTTACTTATTGTATAGTTTTGAGTTTACTTTAACCATTACAATTAAGCCATTAAGAACAAGATGTAGATTACAAATGTTATATCAGATAAAAGGCATTATTCTATTTACTTGAATAAATCAGTTTATAAAATCAGAAACATAATCACCAAATACTTTATTATGTAATTTTTACCAGAAACTTCAATTATGATAGTTATACAGAAATATTAAACAATCATTACATAATATTTCGTATATTAGGGCCATGTCAGGTAAATAAATTTAAGCTTTAATACTCAAATAAAACAACTATAAAAAGTTTTTTTTTTTTTAATTTCAAAAGGCAGTAAGAATTTTTCTTACACTATCACATATAATAACTGTGATGTCAATACACAGAACTTCAGAATTGAATATAATATATATATATATATATATATATATATATATATATATATATATATATATATATATATATATATATATATATATATATATATATATATATATATATATATATATATGATTAATTACACAGGATATGATAAGAAAGGAAAAGGAGCATGTGACAGAAAGAAAGTTGGCAAGAAAAAAAATAATGAGGTTTTAAAGGGAAAACATGAAATGCTACTATTATATTTTGATTGCTAAAAATGTATATATTTGTTATTATGGATATAATTGTTATTGTGCCTTTACAGCTTTTTTCATATAAAACAGTAAATAAATTCAAAATTTATACAACACTATACTGTGTATAGTAATATTCAATAATATAAATTGTGATTCTCATTAAACACATTGTAACAATAGTAACTAAAGTCATTCTTAATATTAATAACGCTATAAACACTGTTCTAAAATTTTCCTTATCAATTAAAAGTCATCAAAAGCCTGGTGCAGCCCAATTGAGGAATTTGACAGCTACTTCAAATCCAGCAAAACATGCTGCGTTGGCTGGGAAAGCCCTAAGCATAACTGGTGTCACTCCTTTATAGAGTGCTGTAGGTCCTTCCCTCTCCATGAGCTGTTTGAAGACATCTCTTAAACCGTTTGGATATGTTCCCTCTGGAGCAGTCTGCAATCTACTTTTCAGCACATCGGCAGGCATACCTACCAGCCAGTTAGCTATACCAGCGAAACCACCTGCCACTATCGTAGATAAGAATTTCAGCTTCGTAGTGGCATCCTCTGGTGTGAGAACCTTCACAAGCCACTCATATGTCATAAAGTACATTCCACTTGCTGGCACATCCCTCAAAATTGTGGCAACACTACCTTTATATATGCTCCTGATACCACCTTCAGAATATAACTGCCTAGCACAGTCCACCATACCATTATATTTTTGTGGGACATTACCACCCTGTTGGATTTGAAGTAGACATTTTATACGTTCTCCTGGTGCCATGATGGATGTTGTGAAAATGCCAGAGAATGCACCGGCTGCGAAAAGTTCTGGATTTGTAAGTTGTTGGTTGTCATCACTTTTTATTAGTTTTTTACCTAGACCAAAACCAAGGAAACTAATCGCAAATATAGGCGCTACTCCAGTAAGTGGCGCTGACATGCCTTTGTAGAGGCCGCGGAAACCTTCCTTTTGAATTGTTTTCCTGAAACAGTCCCAAGTGCCACCATACAAGGCCACTTCGCCCGGCTTAGGTATGGGCATAGTTTGCAATCTTACTTTTATAGTGTCCATAGGATGTCCTGCTAACACTGTACACACACCGCCAAATCCACCACTTAAAAAATATTTAACAGGGGAAATACTTTCAGACATATTTTATTCGTTCGATGATTTCGAAAGTGAAAGCAAGGAGAGCTAGTTGATAAGTCGTTGAACGGTTACACTAATAAGTACTAAATCGACAGTCGGTATCTACAGTGCTGACCTACAGACAGCGTTGAACTGTTGATATCATAGACTTGATATTATTACGGTTGATGTCAAAGTCCACCAGATGAGTATCTTGAATTCTTGATCATAGAGACAAGTATAGGTTTAAATTTTATGACTACAGTTCATTAGTATTGGCAAAATATAAAAATGTCTTAATTAGAAAATAAATTAACAAAAAAATATCATATTTTCTTTATAACTTATAGGTCGCAGGTGACGTGCGTTTAGGTTTTAAATTGCTGTCAAGTTCAGTGTTGCTAACTCAAGTTCAGACTTTAGGGCTAAATTAAAATTAAAACGTGTGAGTTGAACTCACTCGCCGAGGGTTCCGTACTTAAAGCACCCACTCAAAAAGGTTTTTGTTCCCTTTACATAAATTTTTTTGAATATATTGTACACTCCCTGTTGCCAAAAATACACCGAAATACTAAAAGAAATAAAACTAATTATTTACTACAAGAAGAATGTGATAAAAACTCGTAATTACTATAATACATAAGCATCAGTCATTATATTTGTGAAAATTTTTAACTACAAGTGCTAGAATATTTACACTTTTCTGTAAAAATATTTATTATAGTTATATTTTCTGTAATAATTTTAACAACCCCATGTGATAAATATAACATTTAAGTGTAGCACTAAAAATTTATTGTAAAATTATAAATATGTAGTTAATAATATATGACTTAAAAAATAAATTGTATGTTTTTTATGTGAAATAGACATGTAACAATTGGATAGTCTAAGAAGAAAGTTAATTTGTCTCCGTAAGGTATTAGGTGGATAATATTACTTCGGGAAATTTGATAAAATGAAACTACGTATTAATTCTGCTCCTTCCTTGTGGAGCCATTTTTTAATACTTTTTTATTTTTTTATACTTTAGTTTTTTTTTTTTTTTACAATAATGTAAAGGAATTAAATCTGTTTCGGATCGAAACAATAATAAATATTGTTGCTATTTGAATTACTAATTCTGTATTTAGATTGTAAATGCAATTAGAAATCTGCTTGCAAAATTTGATTTATTTTTGAAAGTTATTTGATAATTTCTCAAAAATGATGCTAGTTAGAAATACCGTTCTATTGTTATTGCAATATATATATAAAAATTTTTTAAAATGTAATTATTTAAATTTTTTTGCTTAAGAAACTTTGTAGAAATGGAGGCATTGCTTCTTTTTCTCACATTTTGGACCACAACAAAAATAAATAGAATCAGCACGCATGCACGCATACATCACACATACACACACATGCAAGCGTTTAAATAAACTCGCTTATTACTAATACTATATAATGTTTATATCTTAATTTTATGGTACTATGATTTGTATTCTCATGATTATGGAGAAGCGTGACCTTCTGATACAGGTGTTAACACTTACTAAAAGGTCACAACATTGATCTTTGTATTGTATAAGTTTTGTTAGGATATAAATATTTTTCATTATTAAATTTTTCCACTTGGTTAATATTAATATTTTGAATATACCATTTTGGACCTATTAAAATATAATTACTTTTTAATTATTTCCATTGCAATATGTGTGAACTAAACGACCGATGGACAAGCAACAGTGTCCTTTTATGAAATATTACCAAAACCTAACACCGGTTGCCAATTCGCCTGCCAAGCGTGGTAATTACTGGCAAAACCCTCCAAGCAGAAGGCCTATGTTCAGTATTGGAGAGTTAGTGGCTGATATCATCATTATATGCGAGTTAATGATATGCAATACTAGTACAAATTTCAATTTAATAGCATTCATAGTTGCTTAGATATAATGCTGTGACAGACGGACGGATAGACAAAGTCGCACTATAAGAGTTCCTTTATATTTTTTGTTACGCAACCCTAAAAAAGTCTTAATTGGGTTATACATTTTAAAATAGGGCTAAATCACATTAATCTTGATTGATTTTAATATGAGCGATTTAGATAAGCGATTAGTAACTTGTCCTGTGATCTATTCATTAATTAAAGTGTACTTATACATTACGCTATATAAATTTACTAATACGAAAATAGGTATTATACTTATGTTTATACGAACAACATTCAATTAAATGTAGAATATAGATAAGAAGATATAAAAAGTAATTACTTTGCTAATATAAAATCACATGTAAAATACAATGTTGATATTGTTTTCAACCCATTTGAAGATAAACTTTTTGAGTTAATTTTTTTAAAAAAAAATTCTAAATTAAATAAATTTCATTGGTTTTGTAAATTGTAAATTTGAGTAAATTTAAGGGCAGTGACAGAATAAATTGATGTAGATAGAACCGACTGAATTTAAACTAGTAGATCCTTAAATGACTTAGTAGAATATATTAGAATTAAAAAAATGTATCAATAGCCTTCTAGGTTCTAGGAGTAAATTAGTAATTCCCTATTACAGTAAACACCGCGCAAACACTTTACGACTGCTAATTTGTCAAAAAACGATAGTACGTATCTTTGCATATGCACAAATCTTAATCGCTAGAAGCATTAAATTTTACCATTTAGTGGAAAATGAAACTCATTCATATAAAACAATTCAAAATAAAGTTTAACAGTAAAATTCGTGCTATTTTCGGCTGTCGTAATATGAAAATGCGAGCAAACGTCTTATAGATAATCAGCCCATTACATTAATTTCCTATAACATATATAAGTGTATTCCTATACTAAATTTCATAGTAATTAATTAAGTTTTTCTAAGGCGTTTAGCGGTGACAAATAAACAAATTCACTTTTATATTTAATCATTTATTTATTACTTAGTTACCATTAATTTGTTATTAGTACCTAATAATACCTTCTACTACTAATTTTTCATTATTATTCCACAATTAACTATTACTATCGTACAATCTAAGTACATTATACTAAGTCTATGCATACAACACTATGCTTCTAAGATATAGTCTCTCTTCAATAGCAATCAGTCTTTATTCTTACGACCATTTCTAATAATGTCAAATATTTTAATTCTAGTTTCATTCTTCAGAATATCGCCAAGTTTCATGTTTCCCGCCTTTTTTGAATACCATGTTATACATTCAACAATCACTTTGTTGAATCAACGAAAATCTTATGAATAACTTTAATCACAATTATGATAGTAGTAGTATTTACATATAAGTGATTTTACATGATGTTATCTAGTATTACATCACTAAAATTCCATGACAATCCTTTCAGCTCCCTCTTAAATTAATGTAGTATGGTCTACTAAGTCTATGGTCTCCCTAATCTGTGCCGCTGTGTGTGGTAGTTGACTTTTATCTTGTCATTTAAATTTTGTTTGGCTCTTTATCTATTAGTTTTATTTACGTTCATTTATGTATTTTATTAATTTACTTTGAAAATCCATTTATAGATTTCCTAAAAATATCTAATCTCATTTGGTAAACATTTTGTAGGAGAATATTAAATAGAACATTTCAAAATTGCGAAACGAAGTTTTGTAATGTTTCAATTAATAAAAGTTTAGAATATGTATACATTTAATAAAAAAAATATATTTTGTTTTACTCTATTGAATATCTTTTAAACATTTAAAGTCAATTTAATAATTTGATATGAACAATGACGTGCACAAAAGAAGAAATTGAAAGAAAACGTTTAGCTGCTTTACAAAAACGACAAAACAAGATTTGTGATCAAAATCTTTCACCGATTAATACTACGATTAAACCTGTCGGTTCGCCAAGGAACTCTACACTTCTAAGCCCAGGCCCTATAAAGGGATTATATAATGGCAATCAATCCAGAAACTTCCATCCTTATGCAAAACCTGGCAGCTCTTTAAGTACGTTACCCGAAAGTAACGTCCCTGTGGGCAAGGTTGTGACGGGCACCGTCTACTTGATATCTGAAAATCGATTTGAAGTGAATCCTTCAGAGTTTTGCACCCCACTTATTAATATCTTCAAGACAATACCTTCTAAGAGTTATGGTTAGTAGGCAATATCTTTTGTGAAATGTATTATTTACTAGATATTTCCTACGACTTTGCCTGCAGTATATAAAGTATCCTATGTGTTAAGTTAGAATATAACCGAATTTAATTCAAATCTTAGCCATTTAATCATGATTGAGTAACAAACATCTAAACGCTAGTTCACATGAGTGAAGCCATGGGACAGCTAAAGGCAAGGCATGCCTAGTTTAGGATAAGATAATGTATGATATGTCCAATGATATTTTCAACCAACTTCAAAAAAGGAGGAGATTCTCGATTCAGTTATTTTTTTGTTTCTTACATAACTTCACCATTTATAAACAGATTTGGAAAACTTTTATCTGAAAGGATATAGTTTCAAAATGGTCCCAAATATTTTTTTTCAAAATCAGTTCAATACTTTTATAAAAATAATTGGTCTTGTCATAATGGGAGCCAGTATTCTTTTTGTGGAATAAAATCTTAAATTAATTTATACATTACTATTTGAATAAACCATTAAATAATGTCAAAACCCCCCAAGGGGATGGCTTATATTCAGAAGTGGATAGTTAAAAGCTGATGATGATGATGATGATTTCAATAAAAACTTTAAGATTAAGATTGGTTACTAATTCTATTATTTTTAGAAAAAAAGATTGTATCGAATATATCCCAATAATGAAGTGCTTCATTCATGATTCACTGTTCATGCCAAAGGTTGACTGGTTGAGAATGCTACTAGCATTAATTACCAAACATGGTACAAAAGGCGGACTTAATGTTATGGTTTGCCTTTAAGTCAATAAAATTATTTAAATAAATATATTTTTTTTTATAAACTGTATAGATTACTGGATACACTGTTCTAGTACTTGATTTATATAATAAAAATTTAGTGTTTGAGACACATCTGAAAGTTTTTTAGTATGTCCTTTAAGTCCTCACAAGAGAGAGAATGTCTCTCAAGCTGGTTGCACAAAAAGCACAAAAGCTTGTTGAGTACCTCTGTTCTACTTGTGTTTCTGTCATAAAGGATCTGTACTTCTATGGTGTCATATATATTGAAAAGGGTATACTTTGCTAAATAATAACTACTAATGTAGGTGGACTCTATATGAACATGACAGACTGATTCAAGCATGTTTTATTTCATAATATCATATATTTTTTCTTTTAATGGATGATAATGGAATGGTAACCCCATCTGCGCTAATGTTATTCTGATGGGACACCAGTGATGGATGACAGGTGAGAATGAAAGCAAGTCAGTTGGTCAATCATGACAAATTGCACAAGAATTAACTACAATGGTTTCCAGAGGAAAATGCATGGAGGTTGACCTGATAGGGTATATAGCTAGCAATGGGGCTGTTGGATCCTATTATTAACAATCTCTTCCTCTAGTATCATATATTTAAGACATATTAGAGTATGGAAGCTTTATAAGTATGGTGTCACTGTATATTCTGTGATGTCCATGGTACTGTTACCACTTTCCAAAAGTTAGGCTGTCAGTTTGCTAACCTTTTTAATATATAAAAAAATATAAAACTAATGCAATATGTTTTAAATTAGTGACAATCCAAAATCTGTATGTATTGTACATATCATTTTCAGATGCAAACACAAAATTATGGAATTTCTCAATAAGTGATTATCAAGATTTAATGAATAAAGTGGCTTCCTTGGCGCCCCATGTAGTACTGGGGTCACTACCGCCATATGTGTTAAAGGTATTGTTATATTTGTGTGTGTTGAATGTAATAAAATATATTTGAGACTTGAGAAAACGTGATGTTCAACATGGCGTGAATCAAAAGGTCACCCTGCCTTTTAAAAATATATTTACTAATTTAATAATATTTTCAATATGATAAAACACCACTGTCCTTTGATATTTAAAATGTTTTATTTTCTAAAATAGTTCTGTGGTCGATGTACAACAAATATAGCTACTTCATTGCAATCACTTGATTATACTCTGGTTATACACACTATAGAGGACCAGGACATCTGTGCCATTTTAATTTATCTAAAGTTCAAGTAGATATAAAATATTCTTGAAAAGAAACTACCCTAAGGATTGGTTTTCTAATGTTGTAGAGAGGAATAATTAAATAAAATTCCCAACTATATGTGATATTATGATGTATATTATAGCATGTCCATGTACATGCACAATGGGAATTTTATGAACTTACTGTGTTTTTCATTTCCAAGAATTGTTTCAATTTAATCTGGAAGTCTTCTGGGGGCAGTGCATAAATTCATTAAAGTCCCGTTGTGCATGTATGTATATAGCTATCATTTAAATGAACATAAGTTTTAAAAATATTAATGTAATTAATTAAAAAAGAATAAGAGAATTAAAAAGAATATTAAAATATTAGATTATATTTAAAATTGTATGCTAATAAAGAGGGGCTTAAACCATAATTTTGAGTACATATGTTTTAGAAATGTTTATTTTTTAATTACAGATACTAAATGAGGATGTAATAGATATGGACTCGGTGGACTTATCACCAATAGAAGCTACATTAAGACATAAGTTGATGCCGTTTCAAGAAGAAGGAGTTAGGTATTGTCTTTTAATTTTTTTTTTAATTTTTCAACTTAATATCTATATTAAAATTCGTTTCTGACTGACATGACCAATGTATATATATTTTACTGTGTGCTAAGGATAATTTTTACGTAATAAGAAAAATTTACTTAAAAGGTAAAAGGGAAAATAATGTTTGTCAAGTTAACTAGTTTTGAAGAATTTCTTCATAGTATCAGACACAAGAGAGATTTATATTTTGATATTTTTTTTTTAAATAAATAGATATATCTGCACCATGTTTTCCCCTAAATCATTCAATATACTTTTTATAATACCTGGAGGAACAATAAAATAATATGTCACATAATCTGTATATAATTGAACTAATAAAAAAGATAACAATAAAGGGAAATCGAAAAGAATATGAAAAAAGGACTTTTTTATGCAACTTAGAATGGCAAAGAAACTGATGGCCCACCTGAAGGAAAGTGATAACTGTCGCCTATAGACATGAACAGTACCATGAACATAACAGAGTATACTGTTTCACTAATGTAACCCTTCATGACCCCTAAAGACTAAGGTATAACATCTTAGCCTCTGTACCCTGTAAATTCATTGCCATATCCCACCCTTCAAATCGAAACATAACAATGTAAAAACAACTGCTTCACGCTAGAAACACGAATGGGCCAGAGGTACCCAAACAAACTACTTTTGTCAAAGCCTCCCTCTGGTAACAATATAAGATATAATAATATAAAGAGACGATATCATTTTAGATTTGGCATATCACGTCGTGGCCGCTGCATGATAGCTGACGACATGGGCTTAGGCAAAACATTTCAGGCTCTTGCCATTGCCAGCTATTACAGGCATGACTGGCCATTACTTATAGTCACCACATCTTCCATGAGGTAATAAAATTATAGATATAATTTCTTTTGGTTTAGACATTGAGGTTTTTACCAAATTGTAACCTTTCATCGTCTTCACATTATCATATTTATGGGTTTTAGTCATTTTTTGCAATGGATATATAGCTTCTAAACTGACATTACGAGATCCATATGGTCTAATAAGAGAAAAAATCGTACGGCTCGCCATCGACAGGGAGTTCATCCTCACGTCCTACAGCCTCAATGGTCGTGTACTACGCGGTTTCAGAGATGTTTCCTCCCACGAACACTCAGGTTGTGGAATGAGCTCCCTGCCGAGATTTTCCCAAGAGACTACAGCATGGGGTTCTTCAAAAGGGGGGTAAAGAGGTTTGTTCAGGGTCGGCAACGCATGCGTAATATCTCTGGTATTGCAGGTGTTCATAGGCTACGGTAACCACTTATCATCAGGTGGACCGTATGCTTGTTTGCCACCTCAGTGGTATAAAAAAAAATTCTTACTAACCCAAAATTTATTTTTTATGGAACTTAGAATGGCAAACAAGCTGTCGGTGCACCTGATGGAAAGTGGTAATCGTCGCCTGTAGACATTAGCAGTACCATGGACATAACAGAGTATACCGTTTCGACCGTGATACCCCCCATGCCTTGCTATTCCTGAGTACTCAGGTGTTATTTCTCTGTACCCTGTAAATTCACTGCCTACCCTTCAAACCGAAACACAGCCATATAAACACAACTGCTTCCCGGTAGAAACACGAATGGGACAGAGGTGCCCAAGCAAATGACTTTAATTAATTATTATGTTAATTTTAATAATGTTTAAATTTTTCATTACTGACGTGCTGTCCTGCAACTGACTGGTTTCTTCTTTCAGAGACACATGGCAAACAAAAATACACGAGCTCCTACCATCCGTACCGTTGACGAACATAGCAACATTAACTACAAGTAAAGACGCGCAGCTCGTGGCCGATAAACATGTATGTAAGAAAATCATCAACACATTTTTTGTCTCCATCAATTTATTAAATTTATTATTTATTTTAATTAATTAATTTATTTCTATCAAAGATTCAAAGGCTGACTAGAAGAAATCCCTTTTATGGGATAAGTCCACCATTATACACGTTCTTTTCTTAATATAATTAAGGACTTATACAGTAAAGTTTTACAAACAAATATCTTTCTGCCCTTATTCCTCCATTGGAGCCGGCGTAATATAATGTTATTCGTTTTACACAAAATTTTGGTTTTGCATCTTTCCTGCCTGACGTCAACCTTCATCAGGAAAATATTTGTTAATAGTATTTGCCACCTAAGTTATAGATAAAAGGGTTGAGGAATAATGTAAATAAAAAAACACCCCCTGTTTTTTTAATCAATGATAACGGAATGGTAATCCTGTCTGCGTTAACGATATACCCTGGTGGGGCTCCAGTGGGAAAAGAAATCAGGCCTGTCAGTCCATCGTGATGAATACACCTGGAATTCAGCACTATGGTTTCCAGGGGGATCATGGGGAAGTCGATCTAACGGCGTATATTGCTAGCAATAGGACTGGTAGTGCATAGTATTAACAATCCCTTTCTCCCAGAAGGGGGATGTTGAGAGTAAAGGAAGTTGATTAAAATAGGTCATAATATAATGAAGAATTTATGGGGGAAAAGGGAAAAGAGAGATACTGCAATTGCAGAGGGGATACTGTGAAATCGCAGTGGGGTCACATAGCTATGTGTGTCTTATTCTAGAACCGAACAGATCACACAAGAGGATAACAAATAGCATATAACAAAAATAATTCCTATATTTTATTGTTTGTTAAATTTTATATTAATTTTTATTCTAATTGTTTATTTGCAGACAGAAGTTGTGATCGTTAGCTACAAAATCACCGGAATGCATACAGATCTATTGAAGAGCAAAAATTTTGGTGTAGTTATTATAGTGAGTATAGATTTAATTAATATGTTAGAACTACTTGAGTTATGAGGAGTAAATTTATATTAAATGTAAAAATTAAATAATACACTACTTATTGGTACTGCAAGTCATTCAATAAAAAAATAAGATTTTATCTCACTGTAGTATATTTATTTAACATTTTTTATAATTTTCAACTAATTTCAAAAGGAAGAGTTAATTAATTTGGTTGTATTTTTTTTTTGTTTGTTACCTCCTAACTCTCTCAATTTTATACTTATTTTGAAAAACTTTTTTTTTTATCTAAAAGGAAATACTTATAGAGAGGTCCCATAGAGATTTTTATAAAAATCTAATACTTTTCGTTATAAAAATAAAATATTAAAGCTTTATCTTGCAATGATCATGGGTTCAATCCTCACACAATACAAAGTCCTAATCAACAATAGGGAAGTGTCAGAATCTGTGTACTCGAATGCGGTACTAGTATTTATTGATATACGTATATACTAAAATTACATATATAAACAAATAAATAATATAAATAACATATATATACTTCACATATATAAAATATACTATATTATACACGAAAACGGGAATAATAAAAAGTACCTATGTATGTGTGTGCCGTGTGGTCCCGGCATAGAATAGGCCGCCCTTTCCTTTCCCGTGGGTGTTGTAAGAGTCAACTAAGGGAGGGCGAGGGATGGGCAGCAGCGTGCCTCTTAATATACCTCTAAAAGCCTAACTGCGGTTGCCAACTTGCCTGCCAAGCGTGGCAACTACTGGCAAAACTCCATTTATGGGGAAGGCTTATGTTCAGCAGTGGACAGTTAGTGGCTGAAATAATAATATTAATAATAACTTATGTAAGTATTTGTATCAGTTGTCTAGTATTTTTTTTGATGCTTGAAAATGGTATGGTACCCCGTCTGCGCTAACGGGATACGCTGTCGGAGCACCAGTGAAGGGTGATCGATGAGAATGAAAACAGGCCAGTTAGCCCATCATGATGAATTCATCAGAAATTAACCATGATAGTTTCCAGGGAGAACTGCGAAAAGATCGAACTGGTTTTTTTTAATGGATGATAATGGAATGGTAACCCCACCCGCGCTATCGGTATACACTGGCGGGGCACCAGTGAAGGATGATAGATGAGGATGAAGTAGGTCAGTTAGCCCATCGTGACGAATTCAACAAGAATTGTTCACGATGGTTTCCACGGAGAACCACGTGGAGGTCGACCTAATAAGGTATATTGCTAGCAATGGGGCTGTCAAATTTCATTGCTAACAATCCTTTTCCCCTGGTCGACCTGGTTTGGTCAGTTGTCCAGTAGGCAGTCAGTAGGCGCTGTGTAATACGTGTGGCGGTGTTTATTCAGGACGAGTCGCACTACCTGAAGTCGCATAAGGCGCGGTGCACGGCGGCGCTGGGCGGCATCAGCCGGCGCTGCGGGCGCGCCGTGCTGCTGAGCGGCACGCCGGCGCTCAGTCGGCCCGCCGAGCTGTACACGCAGCTCGCGCTGCTGCAGCCGGGGCTCTTCGGCTCCTACACAGAGTACGGTGAGGCCGCTCTAGTCACCTTCTGTATATATGTATATATGTATATATATATATATATATATATATATATATATATATATATATATATATATATATATATATATATATATATATATATATATATTCTCAAACATGCTTGGAAATGTGAGCATTATTTTAACAATCTTCTTCGAGATAAATCAAAATTGCCATACTGATCAGATACATGCGGGCAGCGGTCGACACAAGTTGTATGAAAATCCATATCTATCATGTTTTGCGGCCAGATAAATTACTATGTAAACTCATATCTGTCCTGTAATTTAAAAATGGAATGACCTTTTCGAAACATGGCTACCAAGGAGGTAACTAATAAAAAGTTTTATTTAAATTTCGAACTGGCTTGCAACTAGAAAGCTGTTTATTGAAAAAAAAAAACAAAGGAACATTATGGCGCGTGAAAAATTATTATTGTTTGTTATTCGTCATTGAACTTAAAAAATAAAATTGTGTTTTTGATTTCCGCGCATTGTTTGAGAAAAGTACTATACAAGCCTTGGCCACAACTAGGCATTGATGGACTCACGTATGTGTCCCTCGACTCCGTCTCGGCTCGTCTTGTTAACAATCTCTGAAAGAGATCTATTCCAGCCAACCCAGTGTAGTTAGAGAGGAAATAATTTGGGTAATCCAGTGCAGAAAAGGTACCGGTAAAAATAAATATATATAGGTGAGAGAATTTTTAAAACCGATTGTTTTAGAGCTTGTTTAACATAAAAAAAAACCTAAATTAAAAATCTTCTTTTTAAAATCGGTTGAATTTTTTTTTTCCTAGAAAAATGATTATTTTACTAGAAATTAAATAATAAATTAAAATTCTCGAAGAAAAAAAAGCATATATATTTGTATATATGTACATGTACTTTTTTAAATATAGCTCATGTTAGCAATTCTATAGGTGAATGAATTTTTAAAGTCTGTTAAGTATTTTTTTAAATTTATCCTTAAACATAGGAAAAAAAAAATCCTTTATAATATTAGAAGTATAAAAGTATACAAGTTATTTATAATCGTCTTCATATTATACACAGGTAAGCGGTATTGTGCCGGTAAACAAACTAATTTCGGCTGGGACATGTCGGGGCAGTCCAACTCGATAGAGTTACAAATAATTCTACAGAAGAAATTCCTTATTAGAAGAACTAAAGACCAAGTGTTGACCAAACTGGAAGAGAAAACCAGGTATGTTTATGCTACTGTATTTCACTATGATTTTTTTTTTATTGTTATTGTATATTTTTGGTGCAATAAAGAGTTCAGACCAAGTGTTTATTTATTTATTTAAGGCAAAAAAACAGCTAAAATAATACATAATAATTATATACTTAAATAGTAATATGGTAGCCACTAGAATTTGCACAAAATAAAATACAAGTAAACGAAACACAAAATTAGACAATACTAAATTAAACAAAATTAAACAAATATAAACAAAATTAAACAAACAAATACTATTGAAAACTACAGCAGCATTGTCAATAAAGTGTTGGCTAAACTAGGAGAGATAAGTAGGTATGTTTCTTGTAAAGTGAATATCGTAATGATGGTACCACAGTGTAAGAAACAAGCAGTGATCCTATATCTTTACCATGTTCTAATTATGCGACAATTCGGGACGAAATGTTATATAGTTAGAACATTTTTCCCCCCATTTCCAACCAAAATAACCAATTGTATTTCCTTAATTTTTTTTTTTCAATATTAATTTTATTGTTCTTTGTTTTATCTCCTACTATTAATAATTGTTTTTATTTTTTTTTTAGATTGTGTAATTTCAATTAAATGTATTTTGTTTAATTGTTTTTTAAACATATATCGTTTTGGGGGCCTGGTGATCTGAACTACAGGTTTTAACCTATTTCAGACACCAGCTCCTCGCAGTAGAGTTTCATTTTATTTTATCCTAAATACCTCATGTGTAAATTTAAGTTGTTTGTGAGAAGACATAAATAAATATATTATTATTATTTGTTTAATTCAGGGAGACGGTATTGTTGGATCAGTCGTTACTAAATTTCACAAATGAGAACCGAAAAGAACTATCGCAAATGGCGGAGAAATATAAGTCCACGAAGTCGGATAAGCACACAGCACTTATTAATTACTTTAGCGAGTCCGCTAAAGTGAAAATACCGGCTATTTGGTGAGTAAAACTAGTTAAAAGAAAGATAAAATATTTAATGATTGATTTAATGATAGTAAGTAAGGTAAACAATTTGTTATGATTAATAAAAAGCAATAGCTCGGAGAACCGATAAGCGATGGGAAAGAAAGGTTCTTGAGTGGCGACCACGTACGGGTAAACGCAGTGTACGACGACCCCCCACTAGGTGGAGGGACGACCTGGAATACGTTTTAATAGATGAAAATGGTATGGTGATCCCGCCCGCGCTATCCGGTATACACCGACGGGGCACCAATGAGGGATGATAGATGAGGATGAAAGCAGATCAGTTGGCCCACCATGATAACTTCGACAAGAATTAACCATGATGGTTTCCAGGGGGAAACCGCGTGGAGTCAACCTGAGAGGGATAATTGCTAACAATGGGGCTATTAGATCTCATTACTAACAATTCCTTTCTTTTTTTTAATGGGTGATAATGGAATGGTAACCCCGCCCGTGCTATCGGTATACACTAGCGGGGCACCAGTGAGGGATGATAGGTGAGGTTGAAGCAGGTCAGTAATCCCATCGTGACAAATTCACTAATGAATCAATCACGATGGTCTCCAGGGGGGACCGCGAGGAGGTCGACCTGATAGGTGGTTTATTGCTAGCAATAGGGTTACTAATACCCATTTCTAACAAGGATGGGGGCTGGGGTTATTGAAAGCAATGTTTAGCAAGTGGTGCGTACGCGATTGCAGCAAATATATCGAGGAGTTGCTAGCGGACGAGGGCACGGGCAAGTTCCTCGTGTTCGCGCACCACCGCGCCGTGCTGCGGGCGGTGTGCGACACGCTGGACGCGGCGCGCGCGCACTACGTCTGCATCGTCGGCTGCACGCCCGCGCACGCCAGGCCCGTGAGTACTGCCCGCCGCCTGCCCGCCGCCTGCCCGCCGCCTGCCCGCTGCCTGCCCGCTGCCTGCCCGCTGCCTGCCCGCTGCCTGCCCGCTGCCTGCCCGCTGCCTGCCCGCTGCCTGCCCGCTGCCTGCCCGCTGGTACAGCGCGGCCGATTCTGATGCCTCATTATTCTAAACTTTTTACACTCACAGACCACGTTCACAATGTAAACAATTGCACGATCCCATAAATATACACACGGATAATATAATATACATACAGATCATATAATAATATACATATATATATATATATATATATATATATATATATATATATATATATATATATATATATATATATATATATATATATATATATCATTTACCATCACAAATAGCTGGAGGTTGGAGCTGTTGACTGTTAACACACTAAGAAATTATATAATAATAAAAATTTAATTAGCCTAATAATCAATATTAGTGAAGATTCCCCAAAATAAGTCTATAATTTTTTTTCTTTAAATGTGCCCCACGACATACCAATTGTTTGATTATGAAGCTGGGATACACTATGTTACAAAGTACCAAACAACGAAGACAATTTATAAAATTTTGTTTCCTAAATTGTCCAAACCAGGAATCAGACTTCTGACCTTATTAACAAAGCGACATGCTTATCATTAAGTCGTTGTCATATAGTAACTAGATATTGATCCCCCCCCCCCCTTGCAGGAGCTGGTGGACAGGTTCCAGCACCACGAGTCTTGCCGGTGCGCGGTGCTGTCCATCACGGCGGCCAGCGCCGGCCTCACGCTCACCGCCGCCGACCTCGTAATCTTCGCTGAGCTGCACTGGAATCCCGGGGTATGACTGCAGAATGATATACGTCATCATCATATCAGCCGTTGACTGCCGACTACTGAGCATAGTTTTGCCAGCAGTTGCCACGCTTGGCAAGCGAGTTGGCAACTGCGGTTTTGGCTTTTGGTGATGCTTTAAGAGGGACGCTGCTGCCCATTTCTCGACCATGAGCTCTCTTAGTCGCCTCTTACGACACGATATATATATATATATATATATATATATATATATATATATATATATATATAGTAGGATAACCGGTAACAAATTACGCAGAAATGCATTATTATTTCAATATTGTATTATTATAATGTTTGATTTTTTCATTTTTAGTGAGTGCATTGGTAAAAACTGTAAAATACACCAAAAATATGTATATAAATAAATAAATAAAACATATTGTATTGTCGCAAGAATTATAATTGTAGAAGAATTGTTTCTAATTCAAATTGCTAAAATTGATTTAAATATTGTAAATTAACGAAAACTATCTAAAATATATATATTTTATTACTTATTTTTTAAAGATGAAAACGTAATGATAACCCCACCCCACCTGCGCTATTGGTATATACTGGTGGAGCACCAGTGAAGGGTGATAGGTGAGGATGCAGTCGGATTACAGTTACTACGGTTTCCAAAGAGGATTTGACCCTTTAGACAAGTGGCAAGCAAATTCGTCGATAGAATCGGCATCGCTAGCGACTTCTTGAGTTGGAATGAGACATCTTGTATCTCATGGACTTGTCTAGAGGTTTGTTACTTGTCTAGAGGTAGTAGCGATGGGCCCCTAGCTTGCTAACACTGCGGGCCCGGGGAAAGGGATTGTTAGCAATGGAGTTTGACAGCCCCATTGTTAGCAATATGCCTTATTAGGTTCACCTCCACGTGGTTCCCCCTGGAAACTATCGTGAACAATTCTTATTGAATTCGTCACGATGGGCTAACTAACCTGCTTTCATCCTCACCTATCATCCTTCACTGGTGCCCTGCCGGTGTATACTGTTAGCGCGGGTGGGGTTACCATTCCATTATGACCCATTAAAAAATAAACACTGGCGGCGGCTGCGCAGACGCTGACGCAGGCGGAGAGCCGCGCGCACCGGCTGGGGCGGCGCGGCGGCGTGCGCGCGCGCTACCTGCTGGCCGCCGGCACGGCCGACGACCTCATGTGGCCGCTGCTGGCCGCCAAGCTGCACGTGCGTATACGCATGCACCAATACACCATCCACCCTCCACCCTCCACCCTCCACCCTCCACCCTCCAGGGTAGCTGGGGCGGCGCGGCGGCGTGCGCGCGCGCTACCTGCTGGCCGCCGGCACGGCCGACGACCTCATGTGGCCGCTGCTGGCCGCCAAGCTGCACGTGCGTATACGCATGCACCAATACACCATCCACCCTCCACCCTCCACCCTCCACCCTCCAGGGTAGCTGGGGCGGCGCGGCGGCGTGCGCGCGCGCTACCTGCTGGCCGCCGGCACGGCCGACGACCTCATGTGGCCGCTGCTGGCCGCCAAGCTGCACGTGCGTATACGCATGCACCAATACACCATCCACCCTCCACCCTCCACCCTCCACCCTCCAGGGTAGCTGGGGCGGCGCGGCGGCGTGCGCGCGCGCTACCTGCTGGCCGCCGGCACGGCCGACGACCTCATGTGGCCGCTGCTGGCCGCCAAGCTGCACGTGCGTATACGCATGCACCAATACACCATCCACCCTCCACCCTCCACCCTCCACCCTCCAGGGTAGCTGGGGCGGCGCGGCGGCGTGCGCGCGCGCTACCTGCTGGCCGCCGGCACGGCCGACGACCTCATGTGGCCGCTGCTGGCCGCCAAGCTGCACGTGCGTATACGCATGCACCAATACACCATCCACCCTCCACCCTCCACCCTCCACCCTCCAGGGTAGCTGGGGCGGCGCGGCGGCGTGCGCGCGCGCTACCTGCTGGCCGCCGGCACGGCCGACGACCTCATGTGGCCGCTGCTGGCCGCCAAGCTGCACGTGCGTATACGCATGCACCAATACACCATCCACCCTCCACCCTCCACCCTCCACCCTCCAGGGTAGCTGGGGCGGCGCGGCGGCGTGCGCGCGCGCTACCTGCTGGCCGCCGGCACGGCCGACGACCTCATGTGGCCGCTGCTGGCCGCCAAGCTGCACGTGCGTATACGCATGCACCAATACACCATCCACCCTCCACCCTCCACCCTCCACCCTCCAGGGTAGCTGGGGCGGCGCGGCGGCGTGCGCGCGCGCTACCTGCTGGCCGCCGGCACGGCCGACGACCTCATGTGGCCGCTGCTGGCCGCCAAGCTGCACGTGCGTATACGCATGCACCAATACACCATCCACCCTCCACCCTCCACCCTCCACCCTCCAGGGTAGCTGGGGCGGCGCGGCGGCGTGCGCGCGCGCTACCTGCTGGCCGCCGGCACGGCCGACGACCTCATGTGGCCGCTGCTGGCCGCCAAGCTGCACGTGCGTATACGCATGCACCAATACACCATCCACCCTCCACCCTCCACCCTCCAGGGTAGCTGGGGCGGCGCGGCGCGCGGATTGTCACCACTTCATTTTAAACCGCGAGTTCGTTTACGAATCATAATGTATAAAAAATATATCTTTATTTTTTATTTTAAATAAATTATGTGAATAAATGTTTTATGAATGAATAAATACTACATATGTAAATGTTTATGCAGGTATTGAACAATGTTGGGCTCAGCAAGGACACGTTTGAAGATACTACTGTCAGCCATCAGGTATGTATTAAACAAACTTATTATACACATAACGTCTTTTATATCGGATGTTAATAGTCCACGTGCGTGCGTGCGTGCGTGCGTGCGTGTCTGTGCGTGCGTGTTTATATGTATTTAGTATATATTGTTATAACATTATTCGGTATGATATTTATTATCATGTCAATTTATATAAATAGATAACTTTATACTTATTGTGTAATGTATGTTTGCTACCACTGTCCTCAAACGCTTTCTGTTTTTACCTAATAGTTAGCTGGGAGAGAAAGCCATACGGCATTAAGCTCGACATTTGTACAAATTTTATTGTGTAATAAAGAATAAATAAATAAATATGGACCGTCCTATTAGTCATCAAATTTTATCTATCTATCCTGTTTAAGAGCCGCGCTCTTGTTGGTGGAGCCACTCACTACGATTTTCAGCGAGTCTCTTCACCTCTTGATTTTCTCTTGTACGACACGACACCAACTCCTTCCTTGATCTGCCTGATGTAACTATGTCTCGATCTCCCTCTCCCCCTCCTTCCTTCTATTATAATGTTCATAAAATGCGGAGGTTCTAAGCAGGACCTCCGCATTGCTAATTCGATCCCTCCTGCAAATTTTCTCCATCCTTCTCCAGCACCAAATTTTTTACAGCGCACAAATTTTATTATCATTAAATATATATACATATTGTTCACAGGACAGCAAAAACAATATAACTGAATATCTCGGTCCGGGAAGTGCAGTAAAAAATAAAAACGACTACATCCCCGGTACGAATATAAGAAAAAACTCAGTTGTATCCAATGATTCGACTTGCAATACGAGTTTACAAGCACACAATACCGATGATAAGACTGGAGAAAATGGAATATCTGATGATGAGAAATTAGCAGATGCATTCGGTGATGAGTCGTTCTTTGATGAAGAAGGGGATGAATTACTGGCCAATATTGATTTATGATGTACACAGGTGTGAATTGTTGTTTTTTGCAAGGAATTATATTTGTTTTGGTCAATTCAATAGTTTTATTCACCTTTTACGCCCCAGTCGGATTTATCTGATAGAAAGTCTATGTTTGAAGACGTGAATGGGTAAAGGCCATTATTTGTCTGGATGGTGTTTTATATGCATACTAACAACTATAGTTATAGTAATCTAGTATAATTTTGTTTGTTTGTAAACATTTATTGCTATTTATTAAGTTATATATTGTTTAAATTAGTATGCGCATAGCGACTCATTAATACCTGAAGGAAAGAGAAGGGATTGTTAGTAATGGAGATTGGCAATCCCATTGTTAGCAAAATACCCTTTTAGATCGACCTCAACGAACGCCACCATTAGTAAGTAATTTGCGTGAAAATTACGTATTATTTTCTTTTTTTAATGAATGACAATGGAATGGAAACCCCGCCTGCGCTATCAGTATTATGCTGGCGGGGCACTAATGAGGGATGATAAGTGAGAATGAAAAGTCGGGTCAGTTAGCCCGTCGTGGCGAATTTCACAAGAATTAACCACGATGGTTTCACGAGGATTCGTGTGGAGGTCGACCTGATAGGGTATATTGCTAGAAAAAGGGCTGTTAGACCACATTACTAACAATCCCTTCCCCCCCGATTCATAACATATTATGGCAACGTTGCATTTATCTGTCAATTTACAAAAACAAATATTTTTCAATGTTTCCCATTGATTATTTAAATAGTGCTCCTGCTAGACACCAAGACATTAAATCGATTAATTGGTTAAAGGTTATTCGTTACCAATTACATTTAGAGAGTGTGATAATTTCCAAATAACTTGCTTACCTTTCATTAATTTATATGGGAACAAACTATATTAAGTCAGGCTATATATATTAAGTCAGGATATCACAGTATAATATCATATAATAAAATAACATTTACCAATTTAGAGTAATTTTCCCATCTTAAAAAAATCTTGGTATGTATTTGAAATAACAACATATCGATTGACAACCCACGAAAGGTTCCATGGGTGTCACAGTATATGCCGTATGGCTGCAAAGATTACTACTTCCCATCAAATAGAAAGTCAGCACTTTCGCCATAGACTTAGTATAACGTACACTTTATAATTCAAGTTCTACATCGTTTAAACAAAGATAAGATTGGGTAATGAAAAGAACAGAAATGTATTTTAAAATTTATATTTAAATGTAACAAAATTACATAAACAATTAAATATCATTATATCATCATTTACTTTAACGAAATAACATTCATATCTACAAAAGTACAACGACTATGAACAAAAAAAAACATAAATAGCTGATAATTACTTGATTGTAGGCAATTCACAAGTTTACAATTCGATTCCTTCTCTTTTTTTATACAACTAGAATATTATTACAACATAATATTTATGTTCGAATTTTAAAAAATAAACCGTTACATGTAGAAAGAAATAGTAGTTGCTAACCGCGTTATTGATTGCGTTGATATTATTTTGTAATTAAAAAAAAAACAACTACGCGAAGATTTTTATCTAATTAATTACCAAATAATTTCAGTACATTTAATCTGTTTGAGATTAAACTCCTGTTAATAAAAATAAAATTCATTTAAGCTTCTAATATGTTTCCGACTGGATATAAAGGTGTAACAATTGGATGGCCAGCGATAAAATTGAACAATTAATACCGAGAGAGGTAAGAAGAAACATATAGTAGCAGTAATGACTTGCTTTTTTGTTGTATATGTAACTTATTTTTTTTTTTACATAAATGGAAATAAATATCACAATAATAAAGATATTTATTCTTAATATCATAAACAGAAATTAAACATGGATTCAATTTGAAATTTCTAACTGTTATCGTCTAATGTCTAAACTAATTGTATCTACTACTACTATTAAAATTCGATAATTTCATTTCGACAGTTATTTAATTTATATTAAATTGACAGACAATATAAATACATTATGGACATAGCTGCTGGAAAAGATTAAGGCCAATATGCGAACGATGAGGTCACCGTGTCAGCGACGATAAAAAAAAAAACAAATATAATCGTTGCTGCAAATATTGGCCATAAGAGAATATCGATTACCTTATACTGACGGTCCACAGATGACACAAAAACACGCAGACGACAAACAAATTACAACATTAGAGACCGAGAACTTTCGAACGCCTCAAAAATCGTCTCGCACAACAAACACTTACGTCATCCTGTGTTCACAGTTCACACGGGCCCTCCCTAGCGACTGTCGCGTATTTATTTCTGCATCTCATTATACACTCGCTGGTATACGTCTGGCCGTCTGATCCGCACACGGGCTTCAGTTCCCTCGTACAAGTGCACGGCGCGACTGTATTGTCGCTACTTTCTTCGACAACTTTGACCTCGCTGTTGCACGGCCCGAAGTGAGAAATCCTCAAAGACGGGTTGAATTGCGTAGCGCAGTTCAGCATACAATCGTTGCTGTATGTCGCCCCGTCTGACCCGCACACCGGCTGCTTCTCCTTGGTGCAGGTGCACCGTGGCAGTTGAGCTACTTTTACAGGCTCCGCACAATTCCCTTCATGAGCGAGTCTCACTGAAGCTTCGCAGTTCAAGCTACACCTATTAGGGTAGGTTTTCCCATCGGAACCACAAACGGGTTTGTATTCAAAAGTGCATACGCAGATTGGCTGAGCGGGAGAATCGCACGGTCCGGATTGCTTTAAAGTGATTTGCCGGTTTGTTGCCTGAGCGCAGTTTAGCATACATTTGTTGGGATATGTCTCGCCGTTAGATCCGCAGACTGGTCGGTAGTCCCTGGTGCATACGCACGGAGGCAGCGCAGAAGCTGTCGATAGGTATACTGCGAGCAGCAGAATTCCTGTAATTTATTAATTATAGATATTAGCACCAAAGATTTGCTAACAACAGCTGGAGTGCTGACGCAGACAATTAGATGTATATTACAACTATATATGTTACATTTTCCTGAATAATTTATAGACGTAACAAATTTATGACGAGAGTAAATAGAGTATTTACGTCGGAGATACGGAACAAATGTTGTGTTCCTTCCTAATTATATGAATATAAAAAAACTTTAGCTATTGTGTGAATTTTAAAAAAATATATAAAAATAGCGCCTAGTTATGACCTTTGAATCTTGTGAGATCACTTTAACTTTTTGCGTTTCTAAACTACCTAGTAAGTTGATAATAAAAATGCTAGCATTATTTCTCAATAGTTATACCTACGTACAGAACAATAGGACAACCATGCATCTAGTTAAATCTAGGTCCCAAGTTAGGTTAGTAACAAGAAAAAGGATCTACCTAGGCATCACTGATTTGTTATTAGTAATTAAAGTACTTGTACTGTAAATGTAAAAGTGAGTTTGAAGCTTTTTGTACCCTTAATAATACCGCTGATTATTATTAAATTTGATACGCAAATATTTAAGATGGAAAAGAACAAAAGGACATGACTACTTTTAATGGTGGACAAACTTTAATCCTGACTACGTGAACTAAGTTGCCAGTGACAAACATAGTTTAGTAAAAAATATGTACTTATTACTTGTAATAGAGAAATCGACGTCTCGACTAAATGGACAAAACGTCTATAAAAGTTGACTGAGATTATAATAAATTAAGTTTTATTTGTTGAAATATGAATTATATATGTACTTAGAATAACCAATGAATCAATTTTAATTAATATAAAGAAAAAAAGAAAAATACTTTTTTTTTTATACCACGATGGTGGCAAACAAGCATGCAACAGCCCACCTGATGGTAAATAGTTACTAAAGCCTATGAACGCCTGCAACACTAGGAGCGTCACTGAAGAAATGTTAATATACCCTTTTAGAAAAACCCTATACTGTACACTATATAACTTTGATACTATAAAACTTTCTGTATAAATATGCCTTCTATACTTCTCTTTTGTGTGCAATAAAGAGTTTATTATTATTATTACTATAATACTTTTATTAGTCTGAATAATTAATCTTTATTTATTAAAATTCAAGGAACAAAAAATCTAATATAAAAATGTGATCTAATCTATCGACTTACCGTATTTGTACATCTCGATTGTGGAAATAATAAAATTTAAACCGTAAAATTTATTTGTTTCAAACTATAATTTCATATGGCGCGAAAATTAATATTCAATTGTTATATAATAACTGGATAGGCGGCGCGCTAGTCGTGTTATGCCGGCTGTGGTATAGTCGCCTTGCTTATATACGTAAAATACAATTTACCTGCATTGACAACACGCTTCTGTCACCGCCGTCGTGATTCCCCGTGCGTCAGAAAACACGATGATTGCAAAAATCTGGGTTAAATAAAGCTTGTAAAGTTTCATTTGACGTATTTATTGTAAAGTTTTTACGTTTTCAAGATTTACTTCTAAGGATAGGTATATTTAGCGTTTATTTTTAAAGCATCTTCCCAATAAAGGATTTTCTCAATTAATTAATTACTTTGTGACTATACCACAATTACGTCGGCAACTCTTAGCAGATTTTGATAATTCCTTTTACGGTTTACGCCCGTGTTAATCATATATTAATTTTGTAACGATTGAACTCGCCGTTTATTGTTTTTGGAGCAAAATATTTAATCCTTAGGAGTAGCAACGCATGAACGCCTACCATGAGTATTACACCATGGTGCTGATAACTTCTATAGTCATATATATTATATATATATTTTACACCAGATGGGTTGTCAGCTTGTTTGCTATTCTTAGTATTATAAAAAAAAACCTGAATTATTCCATAGCAAAAGCAAACTTTATCATTTCAGCCGTTAACTATCCACTGCTGAACATAAGCCTTCCCCATAAAGATGGATTTTGCCAGTAATAAGCGGATTGACAACCGTTTTTTGCTTGGCTTTGGCACAGATAATATAATACTATGCTTTGGTAATGTTTTAAAAAGGACGCTGCTGCCCATTCCTCGACCATTAGTACTTGTAAACGCACAATTCCTAGAACCTTTTTTTTTTAATAATAATGATCCTGGACTAAGTATAACTTATACTACAGATACTAGATAACTGATTAAAATATATAATTCGTTTTTGTAAATACATACTACATATAAAGAATCACAAATGAATAAGAAATCAAATGCTATAAAAAGCATTTCATCATCATCATCATCATCATATCAACCTTTAACTGTCCTCTGCTGAAGTTAAGCTCCCCCCTTGGAGGGTTCTGCCAGTAGTTGCCACGCTTGGCAGGTGGCTTGGCAACCGCAGTTAGGCCTTAGAGACGTTTTAAGAGGGACGCTGCTGCCCACTCCTCGTCCTCCCTTAATCGACTCTTACGACACCCACTGGAAAGTAAGGGCTGGCCTATTTTATGCCGGGACTACACGGCTATAAAAAGCATATAGGGTATTTATTATATTAATTCACGCGAGTGAAGCCGCTGGATACAGCTAGTAAAAAATATATCGACTCCAGTCCTATAACTTAGGCTACCTCTGTAAAAAATATGTTTTTACACATTGTTTAAACAATGTTAGGTACGAATATCTACGCATATAGTTAAAATTTAAATATTTATGATAAAAATACCGATCTTTGTATAAACATTTACAATATATGTACGTATAAAATTCATTGATATTTTTTATGCGGGTTTAACAAATTTTGGGGGCACTTTCACTGATCGGCGGAATGAATAAGCTAAAAATTGTCGGATTATTTAATACTAGCGTCCCGTAGTAGTGGACATTTTTACATTAAAAAAATTACCATTAAGGCTGCGCACGCGACGGAAGCTTAAAAATGGAGTAACTTCTCCCGTTTTCACAACATTTCCCTTCACTGCTCTGCTCCTATTGATCGTAGCGTTATGAAAAGTATACTATAATCTGCCCAGGAGTATGAAGAATAATTGTATCAAGTTTCGTTAAAATCCGTCAAGTAGTTTTTGTTTCTATAACGAACATACAGAAGGACAGACAAAAATTATACTGATTGCATTTTTGGCATCAGTATCGATCACTAATCACCCCCTGATAGTTATTTTGGACATATATTTCATGTACAGAATTGACTTCTGTACAGATTTATTATAAGTATAGATGACAATTATATATTTTTTGTTTAATTATATCGAAGAAAATAGAAAATATTAGCATCCTTTTAAAGACATGTTGAATCTCCTGGCGAACCTTAAGTTACTTTTAAAATAGTTATTTAATTCATAAGTCTCTTACATCTTTTATGTTAATTTACATGTAGGTTATTTTTTCTTGTTTTCTATCAAATGTACCATGGGAAACAGCACGATTTACTACCAATTAGAATATAATTCATGAACCAAATTAAAGTTAAGGTATTTATTTGTTATAAGTTACAATAACAGTTTGCAAACAGAAATGAACCTAATGTATTAAAGTAATGGATTACGATACACTCAATTTAAAATATAACCAAAATAACCAATATATATATCATATAAATAAATAATACTATATATAAAATAAATAGAGAAAATAAATACTTATCAAATAGTTTGTCCTGACTAATTGTCAACGAATAACTAAAATAACTAAATCTAGAAATCTGAAAAGGACATTGGTTTATTTTACTCGTATAACGTACTCTTCCGGTAAGTAAGGATTTTAATTTAAAATTTTTAACTTAAATATCCATGCAAAACACAGTGCAAAGCCGCAGGCAGCAGTTAGTGTAGAATAAATATTTTCAAACATATTCCAATACGTAGGTATTCACAGTCTGTTGTGATAATAATTATGGTCAATGTCACACTTATTATATAATGTGTCACAGTTATTTTAAGCACTTATATGACTCCCACAATTTAAGTACTTATTCATATTGAGATAAGACAAATTTAGAATGAACAGAGTTGCGCGTATATTATATTAACTCTAGTCCCGCAAATATTACTGTATCTCTCTTACTGTTGAATTCATTTTTTTGCACCATTTGCAGCCCATTTTTTATAAGTACAAAAGTAAACAAGCATACAACCTGCCTTGTAATAACCATATTGCGTTTGCAATATCCAATGCGTCCTCACTGGAAATTGCTTATGTGAAAACAACTTTATAATACCTACCATAGTTTCATGTTCAAGTTTTCTACCTGATAGAAAATAAATATTTATGCACCATTTGCAAGAAATGAAGTTAATTTAAAAAAGGCGCGAAAATTACATTATGCTGTAGTCTCTATCGTAGTAGGTTTGAGTTTCAATATCTATGGTCTATTGTAGATCTTTACCATAAATTCATACATCTGTAGCATTTATCTTTTTATATTGATTGTCTATTGCATATATAAATAAAAAAATAAATAAAAAATAAGTAAACACTAACGCAAAGATTCAGTGAGTGTAAATAAGGTTATTGAAGTAAACTGATTACTCTCAATATTTGTTCATACGCTAATCTTATATACATATACCTATTCTAGGAAACATTTCGATAAATAAAAAAAACCCACAAATTAACCATTTTAAGAATAGAACAGATAACTATATTTACATAGACTTGTTTACATGATTTCTATGTAAGAATCTCAGTAATACAGGTACCTGTATAAGCATAGAAGTATTTTTAATCTTCTATTAAGATTTTGGATACTTATTGAAATTTTCTCCAAACATAAAAGGAGCAGACACTTTAATGATATATCGTCATAGTCGTAAAATACTGACGGATCTTTATATGTAATATTCGTCAGATCTGTCAGTATTCTACGACTATGACGATATGTGTAATGAATTATGTATTATATTTATATTTAATAATTTGTAACATTGTAAGTACCTGTCTGGATCATTATCATTATATCATCTATCTGGATAAATGAGACTAATTGATTGATTCATTGATAATTAGTTAATTAGATGATTGATAATTAGTGCACTACGCACTAATATGTTATATAAAACGTTATACTTAGTCTATGGTTGATTCCTTTACTCACATCTTATAATATTCCGGGGATGAAAAGTAGTGATAATACCTATACTAAGTGCCTACATCATATTGTTACTGCGCTGCTAGGCGTGTTATTAAAACATGAAAATTAGATTGCAATAAATTTAAAATTTTTGAAGCAGACAAGATTTGAACCCGTACCTTCCCAGTTGAACTACGAGTACCGCTATAGTTGAGCTACGCTTGCAAAAAATTTCAATCCCAAAATTTTTAATCCCTCAGTAATTATTGAAATAGGATTTTCATATTTTAATAATATTTTCAATATTTCTATATCAATCTGCAATTATGTAGCAAATTGCGAAACTTTATCACAAAAAAAAATTTGAAAATTTAATGTGTGGAGCACATGGCCGTCTACGGTGGAATACCAGTATGTTGTGCACATATTCAATATGAATTATAATTAAAAAAAAAGTATCACAAACAAATTAATTCCATTAAGTGTCGACTATAGACAATATGTACTCGAAGGTAAATATTAGTATAAAAAAAAGATAAAAAAAATAATTAGCTATTAAATTATCCTGTCTGATGCGTTTGTTTTTACTGAAGTATATGATTGTGTACCTACTTACGTAAAAATGATAATGTAAGGAATTAATTGTTACCTACATCCTGGAATACGTGTTTCATTATAACACTTATGTGAATCACTTCCTGACACGTTAATGAATGAATTTCGTTTACAAAAATGTGTTGGTAAATATCGATAAATAAATTACATCAATTATGTACAACTGATAGAAAGTATGGTGGAAATATGTCATACATACTTTTTTTTAAATTAGTATAATGAAATGGAAACTCCGACTGCGCTATCGGTATACGCTGGCGGAGCACCGTTGTGAAATGATAGGTGAGGATGAAACTGGTCAGTAGGCCTATAGCAAATAATTCATAAAGAATTAAACAAGATGGTTTCCAAAGGGACCGCGTGAAGGTCAACTTGATACGGACGGTATATTGGCTACTAGTCCTCATTACTAACAATCCTTTCCCCCACTCCCTACACACACACATACTTTATCTGCACAGTAAAGTGTCGTATAGTGTGTAGACTACAGGTGGTCTACCGTGAAATGAAATTCCGAAATTTCGGTCTCAATTTCGTGTTTTTGTTCGTATCAAAATCCACCCAATAAATGGAGCTTAACATTTCGTTCATCATAAATCCTATTCTAATAGTCCAAAGGAACGATATTTTAACATTTTTAATAATTTTAAACAGCATGTATTATGTAATTTTAACATCAAATTTCTGTTTCGTTCGTCCCCGAAATTTCGGAAAATACTTCATGGTAGGCCCTCAGGTAGTCTATTTTCATACTAAGTCTTGCGGTGTAGGCAGAGACAAAAAATTCATAGCGAGTAGAATAAAATGTACAATGTCATGTAAATAGAAACATTGAATGTAGCTAAAAATCAAAATAGTCTAATCAAAGTCACTCAAAAAAACTTTTTATTTATGCTACAAAGGTGGCAAACAAGTATGCAACAGCCCCTTTTAAGTCTATGGACGCCTGCAAGACTAGGAGTGTCACGTGCGCGTTGCCAACCCTGAAGAATCCTTAATATACTTTTCTAAGTTTTATAAATTGTCTCGATCGAGAATCGAACAAAAAACATTTATGTATTCAATGTAACGTTCCTACCACTATATTAGCGAGGGAAGAGAATATTTGTAATGGAGATCTACCAGCTCCATTGCTAGTAATATATCCTAGATCGTTTTCCACGCGGTTCTCCGTGGAAGCCATCGATATAAGGTGTATTGCTAGCAATAGACTCCATTACTAACAATCCCATTCCCCCCTTGCGAATGGTCTCCGGCACGGAGTCTCCGGATGTCGTATTATTGCATTAAAAAAGACATATCAATATAATTGTATATACTTATGTATACATACGAGTACGTATCTTTATACTACAAATTGAAATGGGTAGGTACTTATTTAAATAAATATTATAAGATTGTCAATGTTGTAAAATATTTATTTATCACTTTATTACACTAATATCACAGAACTTTGAAGGATTTTCAATAAGCATAATGTAATACAAAAGACGGTCTTATCGTTAAATAAATTCTTCCAGACGACATTACAATACGATTACCAGAGGGAGACTTTGTACAAAAGTCGATTGCTTGGGTACCTCTGTCCCATTCGTGTTTCAACCGTGAAGCAGTTGTGTTTGCATGGCTGTGTTTCGGTTTGAAGAGTGGGATATGGCGTGAATTTACTGGGTACAGAGGAATAACACCTGAGTCCTCAGGAATGGCAGCGCATGGGGGCTATCATGGGCGAAACAGTATACTCTGTTATGTCCATGGTACTGCTCATGTCTATAGGCGACGGTTCCCACTTTCCATCAGGTGGGCCGTCAGCTTGTTTGCCATTCTAAGTTGTATAAAAAAAAAAAAAAAAAAAAAAAAAAAAAAAAAAAAAAAAAATATATCTGAAAGCTAATTGTTGAGAAAGCAATCCACACATTGCCTAATATGGCAACTTGATTAGTCTATGTTTGATGTATGTAGAGTGATGCTCTCTGGTTGCTGTCTGGTAATTGTAAGAAAAAAATTATGTCGCCTCTAATACATTGTATAAGTTAAAAATATTAATAAATATATAAATATGAATAATGTGTCTAAATATAACAATAAATACTCTGTTAAATTACTTCAAAATAAAACTAATTTATTAAAACTATTTTTATTTACTTATTTAAAGAAATATTTTTAAAGCTATCTAAACATCAGCGAACGTTTATCTCTAATTTGTATTAAATATATAACGAAAGATTTTGTTTAAACGTGCCGATCTCTGGAACTAATAAACGGATTCGAAAACGTTCTCTTTGCATTCGATATCTCATTGCTTGAGGAAGATTATATGACAAGGGTGGCACTGTGTGAAGCAAATTCTATTTACTGCAAAAATAATTGTAAATAGTCATATTTCATACCCAGAAAAACTTTTTTTTTAATGGATAATAATGGAATGGTAACCCCACCCGCGCTATCGGTATACACCGGCGGGGCACCAGTGAAGGATGAGGATGAAGTAGGTCAGCTGGCCCATCGTGACGAATTCAACAAGAATTGTTCACGATGGTTTCCAGGGGGAACCACGTGGAGGTCGACCTAATAAGGCATATTTCTAGCAATGGGGCTGTCAAACTCCATTGCTAACAATACCTTTCCCCCCACCCAGAAAAACTATACCTATAGACAAATCAAACATATTTCCCTTTTGAGTATTGTTTAAAAATGAGTAAGGTATTTTCCAATCTCAGCAAGAGATTCTATGAATGTATTGTTTACATTACGTACTTACGCACATATCTGTGTGTTTACAATTAATAATCGTCAAAATAAATATTATACCTACTTATAGTTATTGTATAGATAATGTTCCTAGTAGGCAAAAGGGAAATAACAACGTGAAAACCGAAGGCAGACGTGTAATTTGTAAATATTGAATGTTTGCTCTTGATTGTTGGTATTACTTATTGATTTATCTTCCGCCAATGTTTGTCAATGGCGGACACTATAGCGCAGTGGAAAAGCAAATCAGTGCGAGTGAACGAGGTCGTAAGTTAGTTTATTTCTTAGGTTATGTTAAGGTAGATACATTAGAATTATCGTGTGGCCCCGGTATAAAATGGGTCGCCCCTTTCTTTTCCGTGAGTGTCGTAAGAGGAGACTAAGGTAAATTTGAGGAATGAGCAAAAGAATCCCTCCTAAAACATTACTAAAAGCTAAACTGTGGTTGCCAACCTGTCTGGCAAGCGTGGCAACTAGGTAAAAATCTTTTCAAGAGGGAAAATTTCTAAGGAGGAACTTATGTTCGACGATGGATATGATATGATGATGATGAAATGATGATCAGAATTGTCACTAGCAACACTTTATAGTCAGTGTGTGGTTATTAAGTTACTTTTTTTATCTGTGGTAGTAATTAAAAAAATAAGATCTTTGGTTTGGCTCTAATCTGTGCTGTAATTAGATGTAGCAACTAACTTTAATAAAGATAATTACAAGATACAAAAGAAAATGTGTCCTGAATAGCAAAACTAATTCTATCAAACTCTAGTAAACGTACAATATTAAATTTAAAAAAAAAATCTCATTAAAATAGGTTTAGAATTGTGGAAAATGGCGGGTAAAATACAAAACAAAAAATCATCAAATTGGAATTTTTTCCTTTTTAAAATCGTTTGAATAACTCTTCTATGGAATAACCACTTTTAAACTAAATACACCGCAATATTAATAAGTAAAATAAGTTACAATAACTTTTATGGCGGATTTTCCTATTTGCGAATAATGATATAATAGTACCTATTAATTGCAACCAAGTCATACGATTTCATTATAAAATTACGTTTTTATAGCAACGAATGCGTCCTTATTTCTACTTATTTGAATTGAAACAAGTATTTAAATTTTACCGTTTTAATCCTTGTTAGTTTTACTTATTCTCGAAAGTAATTTAAATCCACGAAATCGACGTAATCCAAATAGACTTGTATTGGATGACATTCTCCGCCTAGCTAAATATGAAAAAAGTTGTTTAGCTATGTGTGTAAAAATATATACTAAAATACCGAATGAATTTAAATTGTTAAATGTGAATTTATTTAAAAAGAGAATGTAAATTTGGCTGAATGTAAATAGTTTTTATGATGTAAAAGACTTCTTAAACAAAAAAAAAAAAAACTAAATGTTAATTATTAATGTTAAATGAATTTTGCATGCTATCACGTTGTTAGCTAAGCACGAATGTTCTTTGCCTAATGTAACATCTTTGACTTTACCGTGTTTAACCAAATAAAGATTATTATTATTTTATTGACCTAATTAATAATTATGAAAATATATTAAATTATAAATATTTAATTTAAAATATATTAAAAAATATATATAATAGATCATATTAATAAATATTTTCAACAGAAATGTGTCATCCAAGCGTGAACTCAGAATCTCAGAAGGCTGACGTTGTGAAGGATTTAGTACTAAAGCTCATTTATTTTTTTAATGAAATATAAATGTTTATATATTCATACACAGTTCGTAAGCAGATAAAATCTTGTTTCGCAGTTCTCCATCAGAAATAATTATATTTAATTATCGGAATTAATTACATTTCGCTTATATGTTACATACATACCGCTGCGCTGTCATCAGTTTCTGGTAATCAATCCATAAATCGTAAAGGTTGATCGTGTATGGACTTCATATAAGTGTACTATTAAAAACATTGCATTTAATATTATGATTCGGACTTTTTGAAATATGTTTCCGTCATCATAATTCAAAGCAGCTTAATAAGAATATTATTCTATCGTTAAAGGTTTAATTCGCTAATAGAGCACTTTTAACGTAATCAATCAGAAACATTGAAAAATGTTTAAATTTTTTTTATTGACAGATAATTGCACCATTGCTGTACTTCGTTGTAAATGCTCTTAATCCTCAAATTTTTTTACTGTATTGCTTCAACCTGCTCCCAGAACATCCAGACTTGATCTAATTTATAAAAGTACATTTCCTAAACTGTGCGACTGACAAACGAACACGGAATCTCATTTACGCCAAATTGCATTATGGAGGTTTGTATTATTATTGTATGTTGTATAAAATATTTTTTATTTTATTTATTTATTTATACTTTATTGTACACACTAGTAATACATAAAAAATATGACGGAGGTAAGCAAATGTACAATGACAAATTTAACTTTAAAGGAGGTCTCTTCCAGCAAACCCAAAGGTGGAAAGGAGCATCAATATCAGCTCATGATCGTAGCAGGGGATGAGGGGGGTGGTAATGCTACTTTAAAATAAAAAGTCCTAAGAAAATTAGACACATTCGTTTTTTCAACGTCATTTAATTACGGCTTCCGCCCTATCAAAAAGTTTATTTGTCCTAACTTAAACATGGGTCTAGCCACAGCCCTGAGTCAGCTTTATTTTAAGTTTACTGGATTTTGCCACAACAGAATATCAGTGTTTTGCTCTTTTGAGAGCAAAGCAATAAACTGAGCTGTGACCTACATAATCAAAATGTAATTTCGCATGTTTCTTTACATCTCACTGAAACATTGAGAAATCAAATGGCGGTCAGACGCCAAACTTGTACAATAACTGATAATAGTATTTAGTTTAAATTCCTGTCACATACTATGTGTTGGTAGAAACAATAAAGCTGTTTCTTTTGTCTGTCTACGATATATAAACATCATCTTTAGTTTTTTTTTTATATGAAACTAAGAATGGCAAACAAGGTAAGAACCTATTTGATGAAAAATGGTTACTGTCGCTTATAGATATGAACAGCACCATGATCGTCATAGAATACTTTGTGATACCCATGGTAGCCTTCATGTCATTGCTATTCTTGAGGACTATGGTGTTTTGAATCTGTGTCCTGTAATTTTATTTGCATATCACGCCCTTTCCCTAAGGATAAGCAAGCTGAAATGTACTAGACATCAAAAAAACGACAATGGACTAGTCACATAGCTCGAAGAACCGACAACCGATGAGTAAAATAGGTTCTTGAGTGGTGACTTCGTAAGGATAGACGCAGTGCAGGACGAACCCCTACTGGATGGAGTGACGATCTCAAATGTATTGCAGAGAGTCAGTGGATGGAGGTGGCTCAGGACCATTCCTTATAGGAGAGAAGGCTCATGTTCAGCAGTGGATAGATAATAGCTGAGATGATGATAATGATGATGATGTTGATGAACAGAATCGCAACTTTGCAACACGGCTGTTTCGCAACAAAAATACGAATGGAACAAAGATACGCATGCAGACGACTTTAGTGTTAAAAAAAAAATAAGAAAAATCTTTCCAATTCGCTACCCACACCAGCTAAAAACCGCCACTGCTATCGCGAAATAATTAAATATGGCAATTGTGCATTGTTTCCCACTATTACGTCATTAATTAATGCATGTTGTGGAGATAAAAGAAACAAAGGTACCGACAGGGCGCCATTACGGTGACGACGTTCGATTGTAACTTGAATAAATTGTATCTACAAGGCACATCAAAGTAAACTACACGGAAAAATCGATTACTCAATAATCGATTATAAATATTCGAATAATCAGTAGTAAAGAAAAATTTGAGTGCGGAAATGGATTACACTATTTGTAAGTATTAACTAATTGATGAGCTTCACTAGTTTTTTTTTTTTTTTTTAATATAGCTCTAATATTTAAAAAAAAAAGAGCATGAATTTAATTGTAGGGCAGTCTTTCAAATGCTTGTTAATCGTTTACTTATGATAACTGTACTATTTCATAAACCATATTCGAATTTGAATAGTTAAAAAGGTTATTGGATAACAAATGGTTTATTCTTTGCTAGTGTAGTATATAATCTATGCCCTTTGTCTTCCGTGTACGAGGCGAGTGTGCGAGTCAGTCAATTGTTTTATACGAGTATAAATTGAAATGAGAAACGCAACGGCAGAGACAAAGGTAATCGTGCAAAAGTTTTTTTTTTTTGTACAAAGTTTTCATCTGGTTCAGTTCAGATCACTGACTGGTCTAGCTATCTTCATTAACATTTGAAAATTGTTAATTTAATGAATATTTATACATGTTTTCACTGTGGTGTGGTACCTCTTCCTTATTTATTAATGACCTCCGTGTTGCAATGGTGGGATCGTTGCTTTACGTAAATGAGGTCCCAGGTTCGATTACCGATCAGGGTGTCTGATTCCTAATAACACAGGGTATCTTGGCTTTATTACTTTTTTATTATTACTTATACATGTACATTATTCGAGTCGTAGACTGACTTATTGAACTGACCCGCAAACTGGCACTTGTCATTGGAGAGCATGCGGTACAAAATATCATTTTATTTATGCGTTTATTTGTTTTGCTTTTATTTAACAGCATGCAAATATATTGTTATGTAAAAATATACATATTTAATTATATTTATTCTAAATACATATTCACCTATCTCTAAATCTCGAGAGTTGGTATTTTATCTGGTTACAGCGAAGGCGAAGAGATCAAGAATATTATTAAAGTAAGATGGTGTCTAAAATTCCCAGCTTAAAAAAATTACCTATAAAAATATAAAAGCAATCCACACTACAATTGCATTTTCAACGACATCTTATTTGATGTAAATTGAATATTTTTTCATTATTATGCATGCAGTCTTTTTAATGGTCATGTAATTTTAGAGATAGTCATCATTTTAATAAATATATTTATATATTAACAGAGATTTAAAAGAGTAACTGTTGAGTTTCTTGTGAACTCTTCTCAATAGATAAAAACTTTCTGATCTCTGCAGTAAATTTATAAAAATAATGATTTAAAAGCGCTTGTAAGGAAGTCTATTTGAATGAAAATGATTCGAATTTTAAATTTTATGTACATCTTTTTTTTGTTTTGTGGTCTACTAAAATTAATTTGATTTATACTGTAATATACAGAAAAATAAAATACTAATTATTTCTCCAAATAATCGCTATCTCTTATGCTTAGTCAGATCACACAAGCTCATCAGCGATGAAATGACGACCACATGACACCCGCATAAATAATTATGCTCCCATTATCACAATAGCTATGTATTATGACATCACTACTCGATACTCGGAATTCACAAATAAACGTAATAACTATGTTTTTTTTTAATGGGTAATAATGGAATGGTAACCCCGCCTGCGCTATCGGTATACATTGGCTGATAGGTGAAAATGAAAGCAGGTCGATTAGCCCATTGTGACGAATTTCACTAGAATTAGCCACGTTGGTCTCAAGGTAGATCCGCTTAGAGGTCGAACTAATAGGGTGCATTGCTGGCAATAAGTCAGTTAGACCCCATTACTAACAATCCCTTTCCACCCCCAATAACTATTTTTGAAATAACAGACGTCTTTACAGTTAGGAACCTAGTTAGTCTCCTATGTCTAAGTAACAATACAAATATCTATCTTAGTCTATATCTATCCATCGACTCAATTTCGATCGAAATCAATCGAGTGTTTTCGAATCCCAGAGGGAGACTTTGTACAAAAGTCGATTGTTTGGGTACCTCTGTCCCATTCGTGTTTCAACCGTGAAGCAGCTGTGTTTGCATGGTTGTGTTTCGGTTTGAAGGGTGGGATATGGCTTGAATTTACTGGGTACAGAGGAATAACACCTGAGTCCTCAGGAATGGCAACGCATGGGGGGTATCATGGGCGAAACTGTATACTCTGTTATGTCCATGGTACTGCTCATGTCTATAGGCGACGGTTACCATTTTCTATCAGGTGGGCCGTCAGCTTGTTTGCCATTCTAAGTTGTATAAAAAAAAAGTTTTAATGATATACGTTTATCAAAATTGGACCCACCACCTACGATTAGATTCGAGCCTTTCTTTCAAAGTCAAATGAGTCAAATTATTATTTCGTCGCTTTCATTTTTGTCGACTCTGATGCCAACTATAATCTTATTGAGCTCAACTTTAGTCTTTCCAAAAGATTAAATTTACTCTTATTTTTAATAAAAAATCTTATGTCCTTCGCCATCCAAAATACTACGTGTATGCCAAACATAACAAGTTGGGCCGTTAAAGTGCCAAGAGGTAAAAAAAAACGTGTAAACAAACCTATACTTTCGCGTTTATAACATTACCTACACCTATACCTGTAGTACGAATTTCTATCATATTGCGACAAGTCTTCCTGTCCTAAAAACGATTGACGGATGAATGTTACAAAACTCCATCTTCTCTGTTGGTGATGACCAAGTAAATTACATTACATATAAGCACCACTTATTATGGATTTTGACAATACATCCTTGTAAACGATAAAGTATAGAATAAAATGCCATTCTAATATTATCGTTTTTTTTATACCACGAAGGTGACAAACGAACTACACGGTTAAGGGTCTCTTGAAATGGAATAGAATAAAATTGAATGAAATGGAATGGAATGAAATTAAATGGAATTAAATGGAATGAAGTGGAATGAAATGGAGTTATTATTTATCTTAAAATTATTAACTAAGGCCACTTTTAGTTACTAACATACAAAATACAGTCAATTAACGTTCTAGTATTAGGCACAGGTTTCTCTTTATAAGAAAAAGATATTAGCCTACTGTTAGCATGTAACTTGTTATAGGATAGGAGTTCTTTTGTGCTTGCTCTAATGTGCTTTGTTCCCTTATTCGCCTATTACAACATTCTGAGAATGAAAGCAGTGGCGATACATTTTACTAACATATCATCCTGTTATAATGATTTAATATTGAAATAAAAATTTCAGCAATATAAGCTACTATCACAGCGTGCATGCAACTAGCAGTCGATCTATTAAGACTGTTAAATACCTAATCCATTGGTTATATAATAAGTTTATTAAAGTTATTATCATCATCACATCAACTGTTAACTGTCATCTGCTAAATACAAGCCTCCACTTTAAGGGGATTAAAGTAACGTAATGTAAATAAGCTATTGTTTATACAAATTTTGTATTTAAGAGCGTTCATGACTTAGATTGTAAACATGATACTTAGTTTGTGGTTCATAAAGTTAAAACATGCATAAAAAGAAACATGCAGAAGCGAAAAGTAATGAATAAAGGATAAAAGACAGAAAACTTCCTAAGACCGTTTATAACTTTTGTTAACGGAAGTGTGGCAACGTTGCATTTATTTGTCAATTAAAAAAAAACAATTGAACATATTTCAATGTTTCTAATTGATTACTAAAGAGTGCTCTGCTTGCGAACTAAAACGTTGATGATAGAATAATATTCTTATCAAGCAGTCACTGAAAATTTTGGATTATGATGGCAAGAATGTATCAAATATTAAATATATTTTTGCTATCATAATACAAATTTCACAAATTGCTTCACAATTTTTTAAAATTTGATGTATCAATATTTTTAATTGGTAGGTAATGAAATGTATTCTATAATTAACGTTTCAGTTCGCAATTCCCAAAGAGGGTTGACGTCAGGCAGGCGGCCGGTCGTAAAACTATAAGGCAAATCTTTTTGTAATACGGATAAAAAAACATATATCGCCGACCTCAAATAATAATTGGGATAAGGCATCTTCCTAGATGACGATAAATTAACGTTTCAGTTCGCTAGTGGAGCACTTTTTAAATCTTGAGAAACAATAAATTATATGTTTTTTTTTAATTGACAGATAACTACAACGTTGCCACACTTCCGTTAACAAAAGTTATAAACGCTCTTAGGAAGTTTTCTGTCTTTTATCTTTTATTTATTACTTTTCGCTTCTGCATGTTTCTTTTTGTTCAATAAAGTATATTCAATAAACCATTTTCTTTGTTTTTGGTCAATATTATTTTTAAATTGGTTGTTTATGACATTCGCAGTGTTCGTCCTGTTGCTGGCAGCGACCTCTGTCTCGTGTCAGTGGCGGCAGTGTCCCTGTCCCCGAATATATTCTCCGCTGTGCGCAAGCGACGGTAACACATACAACAGTCCATGTGAATTTCATTGTCGAGCACACCAGTACCAATCGACGTACGGTTATCGTCTCGCGGTCATCAGAATGGATAGATGTTCTTAGCATCATTTTTATTAATATTTTTAAACTTGGCCTTTTAGATGACTTAAAAATAAGGTAAAATAAATATAATAAACAATAATACGATTTCAATGTACAGAAAGATGATTTTAATCTAAACTGTAGGCATGGATACCGATATAATATCTATGTATTAAGTTCCTCTGAACATTTGTGGCGGTAAAAAGGTCATCACCTATTTCGATATCGCCCATATCTGTCAGATATGTTTTCTTTTTGAATATGTTAAAAGTCAGTTATCCAAAACAAACCAGTATTATATATTGTATAAGTATATTGTAAATAAAATATATAGATATAGCTATATATTTTCCACTCCTATTAGACAGGTTGAGACTTAACAAAATACCAGGAATCTATAAAAACAGTATTGTGGAACCTCATAAAATGTGAACATCTAGACGATTTACTGCCTATTTTTCTCGAATATAATTTTTAGTATATTATTCTACGACAAAACTTCTGTTAAAATTAACGAAAATACTATGGGATTAATCCCTTATCTTAATATTGTCTTAAGACAATAGTAGATAAATAATTCCAAATAAAACCGGTTCAGAATTGGCGAAAATATTGTGTGTATAATGTACAAAAAACAGTATTACAGTATTCATACCTATCTATTTACGTACTAAATATTATTTGTATTGTAAGTGTATTGCATTGTATGTACAAAGCCTAATAAATAAGTTTATAATTATTATTATTAAATAAACACTTAATTCAGATTATTGATATATTTTATTTTATTATGATTATGCTATTTATAATTTATTAAAATCTGTTTCTTTATTGAGAATAGTATAAGTAGCCAATATTGTTTTTATGTATCATATATTTGCACCGTTAACGTTGCCCACTGTTGAATATAGTCTCCCCAAAAAGGGGGGGTTTTGCCAGTAGTTGCCACACTTGGCAACCGCAGTTTGCCATCCCTCGAGCATATGCACCCTTAGTCGCTTCTTACGACACCCACGGGAAAGAAAGGAGTGGCCCATTCTATCCGGGATCTAACTATATATACACAGCTATATAGCTAATATAAATAAAGGTTGTCAAATATCTCCCTTCCGCCTTTTTGTCTTTTGAATTTCGCGGCTATGTATAAAGCGCTACACAGCTCGTATCTTGCAATACTATACATCATTTGAAAGGTCTTGACATAACCTACAAAACGACGCTATGCATGATTAGTTTGGACATTGCGTTCAACAGTTATAGACGTGTAAACATGGAGTTCACTAACGCCGAAATTCGCGCTATTTTAAAGTTTTCTTTCGTTAAAGGCAAATCCGCTAGAGAAACGTTCCGTGAGATTAATGGTGTTTTGGGAAACTACAGGGAAATATCTAGCTACTGGTCAGCTAGATAATGTTCAACAGACACCAAGGCTGTCTTGTTATATTCAATATTACGAGTAATTAAGATGAACTAAGCCATTATTGTTACCTAGTTATTAATAATAATAATAGTATTTTACACACTAACTGTAGAATTGTTAGAAATGATTGCGTCATTTAATTATGTAGTCGCAACGTCATTCGCATTACGAATTACTGTAGGTACTATTTTATGAAACAGTACACTCACACTATAGAGTTTTTTTTATACAACTTAGAATGGCAAACAAGCTGACGGCCCACCTGATGGAAAGTGGTAACCGTCGCCTATAGGCATGAGCAGTACCATGGACATAACAGAGTGTACTGTTTCGCCCATGATACCCCCCATGCGTTGCCATTCCTGAGAGCTCAGGTGTTATTCCTCTGTGCCCAGTAAATTCACGAGTGAAAGAGACATTATTCTTAAAATCTTACTAATATACCTAATAAAATTTGTCACTCATCAAAAACATCATGGATATTTATGGAAATTACAGAGTAGGCCGCGATATCCATGGGTCCAAAGGCAACTGCCTTTCCTAAGAATTGGGGTGTTATATCTCAATAACCAGAAGTTTTATCACATTATTTATAATCATTACATAATTTCTATTGTTCTGTTCCAGTACTAATTCTATCTCTTGTCCTTGTACTGGTTACCCCTAAGCCGCAGGTGGACTGGGCAGAAGTAGAATGTTTCTGTACCCCACAGTATGACCCTATATGCGCCTCCGATAGGCGTCGATACAGGAACCAGTGCACTTTTCAATGTAGAGTGACATACTTGGAAGAAAACTCCTTGTCCCCCATAACGGGGGTCCGTTGTTTGGATCTTCTGCCGAAGTAGTTGAAAAATGTTTGATAATAAATCGATCTTGGCATTTATGATTGTATTTTATTTATTTTCTGAATGAGTATCATTAAGCGTACACCTACGCAATGTCTCTTTCGTTAACTTAATACGCATCAATGTTATACGAGTACATACAAAAAATAACAATAAAAAAAATGTGTCCCACAAAAAAACTAACTTCAATTGTGATAAAACCAGTTATTTTGATATGGAAACTAAAATGCTGAACCGATTTTGATAAATTTTCTATGGGTCTAATCTGTAAGTATATCCTTTTAAATAAAAATATATTTTTATAATCGGTTTAGAACTGATGGAGTAATAAACATAATAAAAATAAAACTGAATTGAGAACCTCCTTATTTTTAAAGTCGGTTGAAAATACCAATACTGAAAAAGTAATTAACTAATACTAGGTATTGGAAAATATAATATTGATATGGTTCATTATATATAATTACTAACTGCATCCTGCAACTTCGCCCGCATGAATCAATACATAAAGTGCAGAATATAACCTACTCGTGTACAAAATTTTATTCGAATCCATTCAGCAGTTTATGCGTGAAAGAGTAATAAACATCTATCCACGCATCTATGTTTACAAACTTTCGTATCTGTTGCATTAATAAAAAATTGTATTTTTAATTTTATTGTATTCAGATTATATAATCATAAATTTTCAAATATTATTTCTACCTATTATGTAGATAAATAACACCTACATACGGACATTTACTCAAGACTAATTAAATATTGTATCCCACAAAAACTTCTAACAAAACCAATTCTATGCTTCAATTGTAACAAAACCAATAATATTGATCTAAAAACTAAATTACTCAATCGAATTAAAAAAAAAATTTATGACACTAATCTGTAAGTATATATTTTCAGATAAAAAACAAAAGAATTTTCCAAATCTGTTTATAAGTAACGGAGTTAGGAGTTAACAAACATAAAAAAACACAATCGAATTAAGAACCTTCTTATGTGAAAAAAAAACAAATTTAATGTTTTTTCTGTACTCGCACAGAATAAATCAACCATAGAGTAATGAGACAGTGTCTTAAACCAACTACATCATTGAGGTCATCAAATTAAAAAGAAATATCTAAGTAGGTATTTTACTTGTTATGTACTCGTATTGATGCGGGGCGGTGACTGAACTCTTCTAGCGTATTCCATGATCTACACATTAGAATTCTTATTGAAGGTCGCTATTTATGCAAATATTGAATAAATGAGTGAATTCCCCCATGTTTGTATTGAATGACTTAATCCGGACCTTGTTATTAATACCCTTTATTATCTATTAGCTTTTACCCGCGACATTGTCCGCGTGACCGGGATATGTTTTTTTTAATTGGTGATAATGGAATGGTAACCCCGTCCGCGCTATCGGTATACGCTGGCAGGGCTGTGAGGGATGATAGGTGACGATGAAAGCAGGTCAGTTGGCCTACCGTGACGAATTCCACTAGAATTAACCATGACGGTTTCCAGGGGGAGCCGCGTGGAGGTCGACCTGATAGGGTGTATTGCTAGCTATGAGTCAATTAGACCCTATTACTAACAATCCCTTTCCCCCCGACCGGGATGTTTACTGGCCGGGATAAAAAGTAATTTATACCATACTCCATCACATATAGTAAGTATATACCAAATTTCATGGTGATTAGTGAAGTCGTTAAGGCACTATAAGGAAACAGTGAATTTACAGGGTACAGAGGTATAACACTTTAGTCCTCAGGAATGGCAACGCACGGGGAGTATCATGGGCGAAACAGTGTACTATGTTATGTCCATAGTACTGTTCATGTCTGTAGGTGGCGGTGTCCACTTTCCATCAGGTGGGCCGTCAGCATGTTGGCCATTTTAGTTGAAAAAAAAAACAAGCAAACTCACTTTCTTATTTATAATATTAATAAGGATAGATATATAAAAATTGCATTGGGCGTAAACTGACTGTATTTTATGGGATTTAGTTGGTATCTAAAACTATTTTTGTAGCGTTCTTACAATAGAAACAAATTATGTCAACGGATTTTAGAATTCAAACACGTCTATGACGTCCATACTTTTGATAGCAGAATTTTCGAGGATACTTTGTAGAAGGCGTTTTTTATTTAATGGATGGCAATGTAACTTTACCAACACTAAGAGTATATATTTGCGAGGCACCAGTAAGGGATGATAAGTGAGAATGAAAGGCAGGTCAGTTAGCCCATCGTGATAAACAATGATGACACATGGAATTCAGCGTGTTGCTTTCTAGGGGACCACGGAGAGGTCAACCTGACAGGGTATATTGACAGCAAAGGAACTGGTAGGTGGAAATGAACATTTTACTTAACGAGGATCAAAAGAGACAAAAAATTGAGCCTACTATACTATAGTATATTAGACAACATAACATCGGAGTAAATCATATCATGATATACCTAGATACTTGGCCGAAAATATTAAATTTCTCAAGTGACTTAATTAAAACGAAAACAAAAACAAATAAGTATTTAAAATCGGTATTAATATTTCTCTTCTTACGAAAAGAAAAAAGAAAAAAAATAGTGTTGAAAGTACTTTTATTCACATTGTTAATGTAGAAAACTTGTGAAAACGGAAAAAAATAAGTGAATACGAATACATATAGGTAATCTGTGACACTATTCTCTTTCACATCTGCCATTTCTAATTATATAGATCGTTGCACCGGTCTCTAGATTAATTTCTTCAGCGTGACATCGGAACTCGCAGGGTGAATTGTAGGTTTCTCCATTGGAAGCGCAAACGGGCGCGTAAATCTTAGGACAGGCGCATGTGGATGAAGCAGTTTCATCGGCACTGAGGCAGGTGACTGAGAGCGCCAGGAGAAACACTGAAATAAAGTAATTATTTATATTATTTTATATACAATTAAGTAATTTTATTGTCGCGTACGAAAGTGTAAAATTTAAAATTATAAACTTTCTTAGCTGTAAGTCTATGTTAAGCTGTAAGTGTAAGTGGTCGGCTGTAAGTACGAGAAAAGAAAAATTTTTTTTAAATATATAGCTAGATTAATAATAATATGTTGCAGATTCGCCAAATCTTCATCCTGGACTAGGATCATTACCATCATCGTCATATCAGCCTTTAACTGTCCACTGCTGAACATAAGCCTTCCCCATAAGTGGAGTTTTGCCAGTAGTTGCCACGCTTGGCAGGCGAGTTGGCAACCGCAGTTAGGCTTTGAATACGTTTTAAGAGGGACACTACTGTTCATGCTTGGCCCTCCTTCAGTCGCCTCTTACGACACTCACGGGAAAGGAAGGGGTGGCTTATTCTATGCCGGGACCACAGGGTAAGGCACTGGATTAGGATGATTTGCACTTATTATGAATAAACAAATATCTAGGATTTATTACTATATATTCTGTAATACATGACCCATAGCTATTACAAATAGATTAGAAGCAAGTAGGCATACAAAATACTACGACCAAGAATCAGACCAGAGGGAGACTTTGTACAAAAGTCGATTGCTTGGGTACCTCTGTACCATTCGTATTTCAACCGTGAAGCAGTTGTGTTTGCATGGCTGTGTTTCGGTTTGAAGGGTGGGATATGGCGTAAAATTACTGGGTACAGAGGAAGAACACCTGAGTCCTCAGGAATGGCGACGCATGGGGGGTATCATTGGCGAAACAGTACACTCTGTTATGTCCATGGTAGTGCTTATGTCTATAGGCGACGGTTACCACTTTCCATCAGGTGGACCATCAGCTTGTTTGCCATTCTTAGTTGCATAAAACAAACTTTACCTATTATTTTCTTATTTTTTATTAATATCTTGTTATTTTAAAACATTATATCAAGTTGGCAAAAAAACAGATTTAACAAGATTTAACATTACAATATTGGCACTTACGTCGGTTGATATTACTTCCTATTATTGTAATGAATGGTACAAAGAGGAATTTTATTGTTTGTCAGGTACCTATATAATTTTAGTTTTCTAATCACGTAAATGTAAGCGCGGAAATCGGACATCCCCGGTGGATACCTACTGGTAAATAAGTATATTTTTACATACCAACGGAACCCATACTTAAAATTATAGCTTATTATTAATTAGCCTTGCTTTTCGACAATCAACAGAAATTGTTGAAATCGTTTTAGAATTTTTTTTAATAGGATGAAAATGGAATGAAATGTGGTTACACCGCCTGTGCTACCAGAATACACTGCCGGTACACTAGTACCAGTGAATGATGATAGATAAAGTTGAAGTCAATTCAATTGACCCATCGTGACAAATATACCAGGAATCGACTATGGCTAATAATATATCTTTCAGGTATATTTTAATGCTTGTTCCCCCTTTTAAACTATCGTGGTAGGGGGGAAAGGGATTGTTAGTAGTGGGATTTAGTAGCCCTAGCGTCGCTAGCAAAATTTTCTCGTAGGTCTATCTCCATATGGTTTATTCTAGAAACTATCATGGTTAATTCTTCGCTACGGTGGGCCAACTGATTTACTTTTATGCTCACCTATCATCTCTAAATGGTGCCCTGCCAGCGTATACTGATAGCACAGGCGGGATTACCTGTTCATTATCACCCATAAAAAAAAAAGCTATCGTGATAGTTCTCGATGAATACGTGACGATGAGCCAACAGATTTGTTTTAATTCTCACTTATCAACCCTCACTGGTGCCCTGCCAGCGTATACCGTTAGCGCAGGCGGGGTTACCATTCCATTTTTAAAATAAAATATAAAATTACCAATTCTTGTAGACAAGGACCTTTCCCCAAAAAGAAGATTGTTACTGGAGATTAATAAATCTTAACATTTGTCACGTAAAACTGCGTATATATAATAGTTATCAAAAAGAATATATAGTAGATATAAAAAAAATGGCTGGTCAAGTCGCCAGTTATGAAGATAATTAATTACCTAGTCTACTATTAAAAAAACTAGTGGCTTTTTAGTGTAGTTTTATTTGGAAGTTTTTAGTGAGAGTAAAAAGGGTAGGATATTGCCCTAGTCTCTTATCAAGCTTTGCGAAACTTTGGGATGGAGAGGAAAACAAGACACTGTCAGGACGATCTTTAAACAATCGATTGGTAAAATTATTGTAATTAAATACGCTGTAAATATATGACGGTAATATGAAATTTCTTATTTCAAATGCAACTTACAAACTTTGTAGTCCATTGATAAACAGTTTATGGCGGCTCCGTAAATAAAACGCGGTCGCAAGCGAAAGACTTTCTCACTTTGCGATCGCCGTGTGATGCGTTTTATATCGAATTGCCCATGGTTTACCCACAGCCATTATCGATTCATTTCCGTTCAATGATCCAGACAGGATAATAAATACAATCTATTTACTTTTTTATCTTTGTAATTGTTGCTTAATACATTGTAATTGCCTAACGAGTAGGTAATACTTAACACTTTTTTTTTTTTTCAGAAATATCTATTGGGGTTCCTCATAATTATTATATTATGAGGAATTATTATAAGATTATTTGATAAATAAATCATAGTCCACAAATGTCCTGCCGATTTCAGTCGCTTAATTTGTATGATTTCTTTTTAAGTTTAATTTTTTTTAACAAAATCGAATTGAAATTGAAGTCTAATTATACTTTCGTCAAAACAAACAAACAACCCACCTAATGGGAAGTAGTAACCTGTCGCCTGTCATACTTGTAACTGCAAACTAGTTGACTGCTTACTTGATGGGAAATAGCAACCGTCGCCTATAGAAATGAGCACCATGAACTTCACAACTTCACATTGTTAAGCTCATGGTACTCCTCCCAGTGTTTTTTTTTTAATGGATGATAATAGAAAGGCAAGCACGCCCGCGCTAATGCGGCACCAGTGAGGAATGACAGGTGAGAATGAAAAGGCAGGTCAGTCAATCCGTCACGATGTATACACCTGGGATTCAGCACGATGGTTTTCAGGGGAGACCATGTGGAGATCAACCTGACAGGGTATATTGCTAGAAAATGGGGCTGGTAGTAAGCGTGTGTTTTACTTCCGTACTCTGTAATTTTACTGCTATTTATCACCCGTAACACCAGTGGGAAAGGTCCTCTGAAAAAAGAAAGATTTCCTCTTGTAAACATGTACCCACCTACTACCACATTAGTATCAAATACTTAAGGAAGTAAACCCTTTAAAGCGTCGGTTTCCGGATATTAGTATGCGTTTAAACATCTACGTGTACTTTCTTATATCAGGGTAATTAAAGGTCCATTGCCACTTATTCGTGTAACAAAAAAGTGACAACATCAAGCGAAATGAGTGGAATGGCCGATATGAGTATTTTTTTACGAAATTAATGTAATTTAGATTTCAATAGACGGGTACTAATTAATAGTTACAACTTGATATAAAAAACTGTTACAAACAATTTTTTTTTTTCAAAGGATGGTAACCCCGTCTAGATTTATTAATATCTATACACTTGTGGGGTATCAGTGAGCGGTGATAAGAGAGGATGTGATTAGGTCAACCATCGTGATAAATTCTTAATGTGGACCGCATGCAGGTCGGTATTTATCCGATTTTTTTTCGCTATCGGCACACTGGCGGGGCACCAGTGACGGATGATGGATGAGGATGAAAAGGCAAGTCTGTTAACCCAACGTGACAAGAGGAAAAGGGATTGTTAGTAATGGAGACTGAGAATCCCATTGCTAGCAATATATCCAACCAGGTCGACTTCCTCGTGGTTCACCCTGGAAACTATCATGGTTAATTCCTAATAAAGTCATTATGATGGGCTAATTGACCTGTTTTCATTCTCCCGTATCCCGTTAGCGCAGAAGGGGTTACCATTAGTACCATTAGTACATTCAGCGATAAATTAGTCACGAAGGTTTTCAGAGGGAACTGCTCGAAGGTCGACCTGAGGGATTAACCTTCCTATTATTAACAATTCCCTCCTTCAACATATCAGCCTTTAAATGTCCACTGCTGAACATACATAAGCCTCCTTTTTGGGAGGTTTTGCCAGTAGTTGAAACACTTGGCAGGAGGATTGGCAACCGCAGTTAGACTTTAGAAATGGTTTAAGAGAAACGTTGCTGCCCATTCCTTGCCCTCCCTTAGTCGGCTCTTACAACATCCACGGGAAATGTTCTATGCCGGAACCACACGGCCACTTCCCTGTTTACAATAGATTAAAATACCATATATAGAGAACTTAGTGCGACTTCTCCAAAGATAACGTTTAAATCGATAAGTTGGTTGGAAATCTTTTTACGACACTATTCTACATGGTAGAAGTGCAGTTAAGTTTTTAATATAAATTATTGAGGTAAATATTAATACGGCCGTAATGTAAATCTTTGAACAATTCATATTAAGTACTCTGGTAGTCTACAATAAAATCTTCGGTATTCAGGTCAGAAGAACCAGTTCGAAATTGGTAAAGATATCAGGTAAGTTGTAAACTTACACGCAAAAATAAAGTTTAGAGTAGGTCGAAATTTTGGTATTAAAATGAAACAACATAAATGTTTTATAAAAGAGAATATATAAATTTTAAAATATTTTATTAAAAACGAATATATATTTTGTAAGTACCTATAACAAATTAACTAATTACTTCCCAACATATTTTATAATATTCATGCCAAAAAATTTTTCAATGAATAACAAATAAAATATGAAAATTTATTTATTACATAGAAGTAGACTAATATCAACAATAATAACATTTCAAAATAATATTTCAATAATTCAAATATATCATTCCATTCAATAAACATTGTTATGAATATGATAAAATAGCATGTAATAATTTCAAAATATCACATTTTTTATCATTTGTACACTACTTATATTTCTGCATTATGCAACAGTTTACATTTTATATCTTTAATAAATATATCACAGGACATTGTTGACTCAAGAATATGATCATCACTGATTATATTTTTATATACTTATTACTGATTGTTATTATAATAAATAGTTCAAACACATATAAAAAATTAATACAGACAATTTTGAATGACACATTAATATGGAGTATATAGAATAGAATTAGACAGAAATTTTGTGAATCAAAAATTGGAAAACAACAATGAATTGATTGAATTTAGACTTCTATAAAAACTCTACATCGGAACATACTATGGGAGGCTAAACATTTATTGGTCTTTTTTATCTATATTTTACGTTGCAAACGTTCAATTCTACTTGCAGAATATTTCTTTTGATGGTCACAACTTAAATTTTACTCATATATATATTTTAAATCATCAAAAGCCAAGCTGCATTTGTCAACCCGTCTGCAAAATATAGCAGTAGATATGATGATATATATATATATATATATGAATAGGGTAGTTAGCCTGACTCAGAGACATTATTAGTCAAGTATTAAGTCAAGACATTATAAGATCATATTATCAATTAAAACAGTCATAAAATTGTCCACATTTGGGAAAAAAAGCAATCATCACTAATGAGGTCTAATAGCCGCATTGGTAGCAATATAACCTACCATGTCGTCTACCAGATGGTTCCCCCTGGAAACCGACATGGTTAATTTTTGTCAAATTCATCATTGTAGGCCAAATGACCTGTATTCATCTTAATAAGTCACCTCTCACTGGTTTTTCGCTAGTGTATACCAATAGCGCAAGCAGGGTGATTATTCCATTTCATGCATTATAAAAAAAATTTAAAATATTTTGTCTAGAACAGATGAATAAATAATATGATGATCTGGATAAATGAGCATTTAAATAATAGTTAAGTAATAAAATGTATTTCGAATTATCCCAAACTTTAGATTTTGAACACAAGGTACAAGGTAATGTAATAAAAGGTAAATTTAACTAAATCACATTGTAAAAATCTCTATCATAGTTTTGATGGCATTAGTTCATCAAATGAAAACTTTTTATTATCAAAATGAAAATCATAAACTGTTTCAGGCAAAAGACTCTGTAAAAATAAATGTGTGATTAATCCAGTAATACCCCATATTTTGTACTTCTCATACAAATATACAGGCAAGAACATATTTTCAAATTCTAAACGACCATGGCTGTTTCTGTTGCATAGAGCTGATATTGGAACTGTAAACACTTCATCAACTTCATCTATGTTTGGACGTAAATTATTATATTCAAAGTTTTTAATAAGGCCAACAACAGGAGTGACCAATATACTTCCTCTTCCTTGAACCTGTGGCATCTTGGCCCAAATATCAACATCACTACGATTAACACCAATTTCTTCTTCGGTCTCTCTCAAAGCTGCTTCGTAAACCGTTTCGTTGTTATCCAATTTTCCGCCTGGAAATGATACTTGACCACTATGACTATTCAATTTTGAAGACCTTAATGTATACAAAAGGCACACTTCATTTTTATTTATACATAAAGGCACCAGTACTGATGCAAATACATTTGGTTTTTGTTCTTTTACTCTAAAAAACGATGGCAGTTCCTTTATATTAGACAAACATCTTTCTCGGGCCACATTAGACAATAATGTTTGCGGTGTAAAAAACATGATTTATAAAATAATCTTATACAAAATTAGAACTAAACGTGAATACGAAGTCAAATCAAAATTTAAGAAACTTAATATTTAAAGTTTAAAGTCGAATCTAACAGTAGAAAAAAGAAACAAAAATAAACTCAAAATACTTAAGTTGTCACTGTCACAGAGACGGCTTGAAAAGACATATTGTAAGTGTATTTAAGTGTGTATATATCAGTTGTTAACTGTTGAACAGATTCTGCCAATAGTGACCAAGCTTGGCAATCGCAGCCACGCTTTGGCGATGTTTTAAAACGAACCCTTCTATCCATTTTCGACTATCAAAATTCCCTTGGTTAGTTGCTTCTTACGATACCCACCCAGTTAATTAATCTGTGCAAATAAATGTCAACAAGTTTAATCTGTCAAAGAAAAATCGCAAATTTTTACTAAAAACATTTACAAACTTATATTAAATTTTACTCAAAATTTTACAGTACTGCTAGATAAACATAAAAGTAATTATGGCCAAAACTAGTTATTGCATAGAAAATATATTTACTTACGCTTCCAGAAATCATTGTATAACGAAACTTAAAGAGTTCAGAGTTCCTAAGGCTAATAAACGGGGAAAGACTCCTGAAGCTACTGCGGCCGTATTAGTGCCTGTGTGTCGTTATAATGACGTTCCTTCTTTACTGTATACTCTTCGTTCACCTAATTTAAGTAGTCACAGTGGTCAAATATCGTTTCCAGGGGGAAAAACGGATAATGATGAAACACCTATGCAGACGGCGTTACGAGAGACTAAAGAAGAAATAGGTCTATCGTCGGAGAAGATAGAAGTTTGGGGAGTTGGGCCCGCATTTCCCGGACGTGACAACAAAATACTAATCTCTCCAGTAATTGGTTCTATCAATGATTTAAAATGCGAGGACTTAGCAGTGAACCGTAATGAAGTAGCAGAAGTCTTTACTGTTCCAATAGAAGTTTTATGTAACCCAGAAAATCAGTATCATACTCAATTTAGGAATGGATTTATATTACCGGTTTTTATTGCCAATAAATATAAAATTTGGGGTATTACAGCATATATTACACATGTATTTCTGAGCTGTGTGTTATCTAGAGATGTTTACAAAAATGAATGGATGAAGAAGAAAATTGAGATGGCAAATGTGGGTCTAGAAAAATTGTGACGATATCCTATTAATTAGTACAAATTAGATAAATTTATTGAGTACATTTGTTGTATATTATTATATTATTTATGAAATAAAAGAATGGTTTTATAAAAGTTGTTTATTAAAGTAAAAAAAGCTGCTCATACAAAGTTTTACATTAATTAATTAAGCACTTTTTGTTTTTTGCTTAGCAAGGCACAAAGCATAACACTTATTTACATTACAAATGCTATTGTAAAATTGCAACTGTTTTTTATAAGATATATTACCACTTACAAGTATTAAAAAAATTGAGCAATATGTTAGATATATGTATCACAATTTTCTAAAAACGATCACACACACACACATATAATATGAAATATATGAATTTAATTCAATATTATTTAAGCAAGATACAATTATGAATACCAGATACATTATATTTAGGCACTCCAAACTCTTTCCTTGTATCACTTAATTGAAATTGTGTTCCGAACGGGTGTTAGAATTATAAAAAAGTTTCTATCTAAAAATGTTTACTTGAATAAAACTAATTTTTAAAAGGAATACCACAATAAAGTTTATACAGATTGCAGATAAAAAACAATGATTTTGAAGTATTTGCAATTATGCAAATTGTTGAAACCTGGTATACAAAGTAGTTGCTAAAGGAATTTTGTCTCCAATAATTTGTATTTTAAAATGAATATTTCATTACTTAACATAATTACATAATGATCAATAGGTTACATATGTTGATATTATTTTTGCGTAAACCAATATCTATTCAATGATAATATTTTACAGGTTAATTGTATTTAGATAATAGCGAGTTATATATCATATAAAGTAATATTTACTAATATTATATGAATTGATTCCCAAAGAGGGTTGTAAAACTAAAAGCCAAATCTTTTTGTAATATGGATAAAAACATATTACGCCGACCCCAAACAATAATTGGGATAAGGGTAGGAAGATGATGATGATTATATGAATTGGTTACTTTGTTATGAAATCCAGCATACACAGTATTTTCTTGGTGTAGGTATACACGAACTTACTTTTAATTCAAGTTTCAGTCATGCAGATGAAGTCACCGACACAGATTCTTAAAATTATTATGGTTATATTTCTTTATTAAATAGTTGCTACATATGAAGCAATAATTACTATAAAATTTAATATTATAAAAATTTCATTTTTTATATATATTTATTACTCCCTGTTTTTTGGTGAAATTACTGCCGTCTTGGTGGAGCTACAAAAAACATCACAATTGGTTTAGAATTGGCCAAAATATCGCATGACACAAAATAAATACATAAGAATTTAGAACCTGCTTTTGTAAATATAATAATAAAGTGATATTAAAAGCAAAATAAAAAGAAAAACAATCAACTAAGGAAAACAAAAAGGAAATAAAATGAAACACAAACAAAAAATAATAATATTCATCCTTGTTTATTTCTTAATATTTATTTTACATTATTATCTAGTATTAATATTTTATACATTGTCCATCCGACATGTTGGTCGCCTCTCGCCCTTGTTTCTATTGTGTGTACTATTTAAATTAATGATTTTATTTGCAAATAAAAAGTATTTATTTTTTTCTTTAAACTTACTCATCCAAATACTCATAAAAATCCTGCAAATAATGAATACCTACATGAATTTTAAAATGTCTATAAAATAAATAGGTGGTCCAACTTAAAGCCTCACTTACTCTCTATTGAAGATATTAAAACATTCAGGTCATGAATACAGAAATAAGTAAGTACTTAATAATATTAAACTACCTTTACGAAGGCAGGTAATATTCGGGCAGGCAAGAGCACTCAAAAATGGTAATAACTTAGTTCTTTCATAATGAAAAAAAATATAGAAGGCAGAGGCATTATAATAAAAAAAAAATGGCGGCGAATTGTTTCAATTTCTAACCTAAAAACTAAACTAGTGGGAGTCCAAAAAGAACAAATAAATGAATACTGTAAATCTGTAAACCAATCTTACACCTATTGTGAATGTACAAAAATAATCCCAAACGCATATTCGTTGTGTTTGAACACTGAATACATATTCTATCTTCTATCTTAAAAGTGTTCATACCGAAGTCTGGCAACATTGCAGTAAGACATGTCGATTTTCAAAACTAAAAAATATTAAATTATTATTTGAAAAGTGTCTTTGTATTGCACTTCGCCAATAATCATAGTTCAAATCCAACATAAGTTTATCATAAAAAGTGGCAATGAAATAAATAATTTTTGTTTATGTTCTTAAAGATTCTTAAAACTAAAGTTTGTTTGAGGGTAATCACTTATCGAATTGTTTAAATTATCATTATGAAATATATAGAATGGTTACATTATCTTGACAAATAATAAGTACAAATGTTGCCAGTTTCGCGTTATAAACCCTTTAAAAACATCACTGACCCATGTTTTTAAAACAAGAGGTAATACTCGGGTACAAAAATTGTAAGTTTTAAGAGAACTGACTCTCGACTTGTTCAGCACCTCTGCCGAATTAAATAACGTATGAATTAAATAATAAAAAAAAAAAAAATAGATATCTAAAAATTATCCACTATACCCCCCTACTAAACGATAAATATGTCCATTCGCTCACTAAATAAGGGGTAATTAATTTTTTTTTGTATAGATTTGAAAGTCTGTGTAACTTGCATGTATACATGAAACAAGTGTATCTTTGTCCCTCTGTTTTTACGGTATACATTGTTAAATAGCATATTTTTTTCAATTAAGGGGGGTAAGTTACCAAAACTACAGTGATAATGAAATTTCTAATGGCCACTGTCATCTCACAGTCTGATGATTCAAATGTCAAAATGTACAACTATACTGCATAACGTTTATGATTTATCATATATGTAAGAGGCATATTACATTATCAAATACCCCATAAATACAGATGGGAAATAAAATGTGATCCTGTAAGACGATTCTTAAGTATAAAAGGTACCTACTATTATAAAAATATATTTTATCGATATTAAAAGTGCATCACTAATTAAACAATTCGATGATCTATTCAAATATGTATATATGTATATATGTATGTATGTATATATATATATATATATATATATATATATATATATATATATATATATATATATATATATATATATATATATATATATATATATATATATATTGTTAGTGTAATATACCCCTTTGATTTGTCAATATTTATTTATGAGGCTAACTAGAAATGAAAATTATGTACTTGTCATAACATTTTTTTTTTAAAGGTAAAACAATCACGTAACTATAAAACAATAACTTAATGACATAGTTTCCGATACAGCTAGCCTAACATGTCCGCTGTTGGATTCACGTATAAATTTAAAACGTAACCATAAAAAAACGATTTCATTCGCACCATACTAGACATCCAATCTTATAGATTTTAACTTTAAAGACATTGAAATTACAAAAATATATTTTTTTAGGTGTGGGAGGGGGGAGGGACGTGTGGAGGGGAGACACGCTCAGGGATGGGAACCCTCGGTACTATATTTCAATAATGTACAAATACCATTAGATTATAACAACAAAACTCAACTGGACAATATAAGGCATAGCACAGAGAAAGTAATACAGTAGCTCATATTATACTGTGCATTTTTTATTCGTTTATTTATTTATCGCTTGATATGTATGTCTAAGGGGATTATTACAGTATCATAATATTTTACGTATATTTTATAGTCATAGTATAGATTGTAAACGAAAAATGATCAAATAAAATTACTCCTAATCTATACAAGACATTGTAAAATTTTTCATTGATATGGATACTGTTATTGTATTTAATAAATAGATACATACATTTATTTAGATATGATTTTATATAATATGATGGTGTAATAAAGCCCTAATGTGAACCGACATCATCAGCTGAATCCCCTGAGGTAACTCAGTGAGTACGATTTTTAATCGCGCAATGAACTACTGTCGAGATGACAACATTTCAATAAATGCAAAGGTGCCAACATTGCAAACTGCAATGAATTATTTAACGGTGGACATACATCGATTTCCCGCCCAATATTTATTGTACCAAGGCTCATTCTCGCTCCACGTAATGTAGACAATAGATTAACAGTTACTCTGTATTGTTCAAGTCGTTGACATCGATTGGGATGGAGGTTGTGAACGTTGGTGTCTCAAGTTCTTCGTGTTTCTTCATTTTAAGCGCCTGCAAATATATATTTGAAAATTAAATGTTGCTGAATAATATACATGTCTATGTACACAAACTCCAAATGAAAAACAAAACATTTGTAATCAGACTTTTGCACAATGAGATAATCTTAGAACTTAGAATGCACACAATAGCCGGCGATATTGATATATTTTTAAGAGTGACAAAAAATAATTCAAAAATTTTTTTTAATAAATAAAATTGAATTGTAAGTAAATTATTATGAAACAATATGAAAATTAATTTTCCATATTAATAACAAATATTGTTCAAATTAACAAAGATATTAAATTATATTCACATAAATTATATATAATATAATTATATATAAATTTTGTAGAAAAATAAGATTAGAAGAGAAATATTTCAGGTTTATAGTAGCCTTTAGGATCTGCTTATAAAAGTTAATTTTAAAGTGTTTTTCACGCGATATAGAATCATGACCTTTCAGGAGTAATCTACAAATAGCGCCTCTATTGTAAGTATTCTAAGGTGTAATTTAAAAAAATTTAAATATATCCAGTAAAAACCATAATCGATGGTTGATGATTGTTTGCATTGAAATGGTGACAAATAGACAATGATGTTCTTTCAAGTACATATATATGTTATCAATGACAATCTTATCAAAAATTATTATCTTATTAAAATATCTTGCCTACGTGAATTTATAAAAGTGTAGGTATATAATGATATATAATAAAAATTTATATGTAATGATTTAAAGAAAAAAAAAAATACATTAAGTATCTATAATCTAGAATATATATATTAAAAAGTTTACTTTTATGTCATAAATAAATTTATCTCATATGCATAATATATGGCACCGTAGGAAGATCACTTACTTGTTTCCATTTACTACAACTAAAGCGGAATTTAAATTTGTTGCATTAAAATAAACAAACAGCCCAAAGTTATATAAATAGGAATGTTATAAACAGCAATACACCATTTGTTAGTAATAAAGAAAAAAAAAGAAAAATATAATGTGAGGACAGTTTAAATTTTTTACAGGCTTGAATTTGATGACAAAACACAAAACAAAACAAAAATAATATAATCAGTAATGGTCAGTTTATCTGTTATTTAATGTATTTAAATATGTTAAATGTAAAAAAAAATATGGTTTTGTGCAAAATGAAAAGTGATAACAAAATAAAAATGACAAATCTGTTTAAATTTCGAATGCGACAAATGTTCGTGAGATTTATTTTTAATATTTATAATGAAAAATCTATACAATCGCACCAAAATGTCCGCTACCAAATGATACGATATTTAAAAAATATGAGTCTTTTAAAATCACTTAGATTAATTACATTTACGAGTATAAGACTTCCAGATGATAAAATTGAAAGAAACCAAGTTGTGTGCGCCCTATAACAAGAACATGTTGGGAAGTAAAGCAGGTGTTAAATTGAAATTTTTGTCCCAATTTAATTAAGTTACACTAATAAAAGTCTTTATGTATCGTGAAAATAAATAGGTGTCTATGGTTCTGTCCTTCGTGTCCTCTATTATTAAGGAAAACCGATAAAAAAAAAGTAATAAGAAGAAGTAGAATGACGATTATGTCATTCTTGTTGCATGAATCAGGCTCGATTGAATTTGATCTATATAGAAATTATAGTCAAACAAATTAAATTGAAGATAAGCTATTAAAACTATATGTACACATTAAAATATACTAAATTAGTTCATGTTAATTTAGAGTCGAATATTAGCCATTGTATGTGTTACATTGCTCCGTAAGTAGGCCGCCCACAACTGTTTGTTATTATCGCCAATAATTAATCTAAGCAATGGACAGCAAAATCATTAACGCCACGAAACACCCGCCACGTACCGAATCCGTATTGCTCTCTTTCTCTTGCCGCGTCAGTGTTGGCGACAACACCAAACCTTTTGCTGATAACTGCAGGCGATAGTAATATGTGTGTATGTGAATATAAGGTATAGAATAGCATAAAATTACATTGTATTTAAGAAATAGGGATTACGATACAATACAAGGTATTATCGCTAATATGTACGTAAAATACGATAAGATTCCAATATCTCTATTAATTAGATATTACAAAGATTATATAAGGAAGTAAGATATACATTAAAATAATATAATAATAGGAAAACTGAATCATACTCGTAGTAATAAGAACCCCAAAGTAATTTATATTTAAGAATTTGCATATATTTTTTTAAATATAGGAAGGGGGAATTATGATCAGGTTAAACCATAATATTAATGCTACTTCGTACAGTACAGCCACTCCCTGCCCTTCTCGAACTAACCTCACCCCTCTACGTGACTCAAATATGATAGTTTGAAAAAAGAATGCACCGCGCTCAGTACATACACACATGTGTGTGTATGTACTGTGTTTAGATGCAATCTCTTTATACTTTATAGTAGTATCAACACCCAAAATCACGTTTTTTTTTATGAAGTATAGGGAGTGTGTTGAACCCAAACCCCTGTAATTTATCTTATATATTGTTAGTCAAATAAAAGTTATGGGGTATATAAAAAGTCGCTTTACACAAATGTAATAACGATTAATTTCCAATGACCTCTCGCATTGAGGACGTAACATTAACAGTAAAAATTCATCGGCGGGTTATATGAAATGAATTGTATTACAATCTGTGTAAAGCGAATTTTTAACGCCCCAGTTGGTAGTGGATGATATATTACCTGCTGAAGTTTGTAGTGGTTGATGATGTCCTGGTCGGCGGGGCAGCTTTGTGTGAATGCGTCCAACTGGTACATATGATACATGTAACGCCAGAGCGCGCGGAAGCTAGTCTGCGAATAAAATATAATATACACCTTTATATTTTGAATTAAAATCGAAATACCTACCAATTTTCTTTTTTTTTTTTCATTTAAGGGTTTCCTCTTGTCGGAGCACCTAATTCACGCATTCTCTTCCAGCCAGTTCTATTCCAGGGCATGTCTTTGACCTCCCTATACGACATGACACCTAATGTTTCCTTTAAATGCCCCATGTAATTATTTCTCGGTCTTCCCCAATTCTCTTATAACTTACAAAAAATTTAACTCTTAATTAAAAACTAATGTTTCAATTATATAACTATTTTTTTAAACCTTTTTATTTGTAAATGATATTTTATAATTGATTACAATAATGTGATCAAATTTAGTGTAATAATGCGTTATTTCATTAGAATTATTTTGTTTAATTCTGCTACTATTAGTAAGTGTGTGATTGCTAACACTCGAAGATTGACTACTATTATTATTACATCTTACATACATGAATCCACGCACGTTTTGCGAAATTTGTTTTACCTCTACACGAAGCACCTTCAGGCAAATTAAAAGATCGCTGTATAACTCTTATTAGAATAAGGTAATTCCTTATTATTATTATAACACTATCCCCTGTCAGGTCGGCCATCTTGGTTAATTATTTATGAATTGGCTAACTATAGGCCAACCAAGCCAAGCCAAGCCAAGATGATAGGTGAGGATGCAACTGACCTGTTGCATCCTCACCTATCATCTCACACTGGTACCCCGCTAGCGTATACTGATAGGATAGGCTGGGTTACTTTTCCATTATCCTATTCCAGAGGCCTATGTTCAGCAATGAACAGTTAAATGATATATATATATATATATATATATATATATATATATATATATATATATATATATATATATGAGCATCTTCCTCTAGATTAGCAAAATATTATATTTTTTGGCCTTGCCACGATCGAATGGACTAATAGTGGCGATTTTCAGAACAGTGAACAGTTGGCCACCACCCGATATATGTATAATATACTAACCGGAATTTCAAAGTCAACGAAGTATTTGCCGGCAACGCGGATATGTTGTAGTCGCGGCATCAGTTCGCAGTCGAAACAGCACATCGTGTCGCCCGTTAAGAACCTGAAACATGATCAATTATATGTGTGTGTTAATCAAGAGTTTAATTAATAAGAAAATAATCCAGAGGTAATAATCGACAATACTCGACATCTCCATATTTCGCCGGGCGTGTTACAATCTAAAGTGACAGAAGGAGAGTTTACCGCCGTTAGTATAATTGTAAACGGTGTTCACTCACCGAAAAATCAGTTGAAAACTCAAAGTGACAAATAGTTTTTGATGGCGGCCACATTCCAGGTCCCGACCTTTGGGGTCTGCAAGTCAAGAGCCCAGCCGCTTTTCAATACAAATAAAAAAAATTAAGCGTTACTGTTTTCAAATATTTTCCTTTAAAATCATTGCCTTCAAATTTATATATAATGCACTTAAGATACGCTATAGTTACCTAGTTCCTCTGCGTTCGAGCAGGGCATCTATGCGGCCGAGATGCGCGCGCAGCGCCGCTGACTTCTGTTCGTCTTTGCGCACCAATACCAACTTCAACTTGGAGTATAGGTTCTCGATTAACGACGCCACCTCTTTGTCCTGGAAAAATTGAGATTTTGGTTTTATTAAGTCATCAATCAATTTGTTTTTTAAAATGTGTAAAGATAAATGGTCCTTCGAGCCGGGTCAAATAAGTCACTGTTCATATTGTTACAGAAACTTATTGGATTCATTCAATTTTTCAATTTTATAATATTAAAAACGATTTATTAATTCTAAACTGAAAACGATAATGGTACTTAACAAATGAACAATTCTTCCTACCAGTTGTCTATTTCCGTACGAATAAATTTCTCCTCTTCTATCCTGCTCCTCAAGTTTGGTACTAGATGGCGCTCTGTAGTTATTCACAGTCCAGTGGCATTTACTCACTAATAATGCCCACGACTTTGTTTACACGTAACCGAAATTAAAAGTAGGTTATGTCTTTTTCCATTTAATGCCAAAAGGAAACAAACAGAAACAAGCGAACAAACTTTCACATTACTAACATATATAGCAATCTTTAATTGTCGTCTGCTAAACATAGGTCTCCCCCCTTCCCAAGCGTGGCAGCTACTGGCAACATCCCCTTTAGTTTTACCAGTAGCTGCCACGCTTGGCGGCGTTGGCAGCCGCAGTTAGGCTTTGACGATATTTTAAGAGGGATGTTGCTGCCCATCCCTCAATCATTAAGTTCCCTAAGTCGCCTCTTATGACACCTATTTGAAAGGAAGGGGTGGCCCATTCTATGGCGGGACCACACGTCAAATGTAATTATTAATAGTAACAAATTGTTTTTCTTACTTACTAATTACTATCTTTAAATCAAGCACTAAATATTTTGTCTTTTAACCCTTAAATACCTGAAGTTTCAAATTTGATACCGGGATTTGCATCGTTTCGTTGTTAAATAAATTTAAATATTTTGATCATCGTAATGCCTAAAGCATCAAAAGTGATACCAAATGTTTTTTTCAAAATAAATATATAACGTTTTGATTTTTTTACTATTTTTCCCCATTAGTAAACACAGTAAAGGGTACACTTATATATTTTTTAATTTGATTTAAAAAATCCAGCTTTTAAGGGTTAAATAGTTTTATTTAAATTACCTGTACAAATAAATTGTGCCCGCCGGGTACCGACTTCATGATGTGTCGTTCTATCTTCTCGTTCTCGAGTATTGCGAGACCGTTGTCGATCAATATGGGCGGGTGCGTCGCTTCGAAATTGGTGCGGAAGTCTGGAGGCGGCTTTTGCATGTCTACTGTCGTTACCTGCGAATACAAACAATACATACAAACATTACTGTCACAGTGCCAATGATAACACCATAATAGTATATGGATATATACAAAAGGTATAATGGGTGTCACAGTATAATCTATAATTAATAACACAATAGTCCTCAGGAATGGCAATTCATGAAGGGTATCGTGGATTTCAGAGTATTTAATTTTTATTTTTAAATATTGTTATTGACCAAAAGAAAATATGGTAGAAAAGGTAGACTAAATGCTAGTAGCATTCTCTACCAGTATTCGTTAGTATTCTGTGAAGCTCATGGTATCGTTCATGTTTGAACATAACAGTTACCACTTTAGAACAGGTGGGCTATGGGTTTAACCAGAGGGAGACTGTACAAAAGTCGTTTGCTTGGGTACCTCTGTCCCATTCGTGTTTCAAGCGTGAAGCAGTTGTGTTTGCATGGCTGTGTTTCGGTTTGAAGAATAGGATATAGCAGTGAATTTACAGGGTACAGAGGAATAACACCTGAATCCTCAGAAATGGCAACGCATGGGGGGTATCATGGGCGAAACAGTATACTCTGTTATGTCCATGGTATTGCTAACTAGTATATTATCACATAAAATTCAATGACTATATCCATTCTAAGTTCTATAAAAGGAAATATACATTAGTAAGATTTAAGTAGTTCTTTCACAAATTATTTGAATTTAGAAAACAATATTTCACAAAATAATAGACAATTGCTAAATATTACGAGCAAAAGAATATTTTAAATGGATACATAACAATTAAATTACAGCTATATATAATTAAACCGTGTTTCAGTTTACATTAAATGCTTAAATTAATTAAATGCTTAAAAAAAGAACAACTAATTATCGAGGAAACAATGTACAATTATTAACTAGACCATTTTATAAATTAAAGGAACATTTTGCAAATCGTTATAATTATTTTTAATTGTATGTTATACTGTTGCTTAATTTATTAAAATACATGTAATTAATATTATAATGCAATTAATAGCGTCGTGTAATACTTGCTTTATTATTATTGCAATTTTGTTTCAAATGCATTATTTAGTTTAATTCAATTCTTTGCATCATATTATTTTCATAATCAGAACATAAGAGGACTGGAAGAGAACTCGTTTTAGAGTTAAGCTCGTTTTTGTACATATGATTACCTCTGTCATATTTTTATGTATAATTCGTGTATAAAATATTAAAGTTAATAAATAAGAGAGTAAATTTTGAACCGATTTCAGTGATTGTTAGTAATTCTCGTCGTGCCGGCGTTATTTGGGATTAATAATTGATTTAGGAAAAATAATATTAATAATAAAACCAATGTGTCATTTATGAGATAGTTTATCTGTGTATTAAATTTTATTAAAAACTGTTCAGCTTTTTAAACGTAAATGAATCTTACTAATATTATGAAATTAGTGAAGATGTTTATTACTCAATCACGCTTAAACGCTTGAACAAATTTTAATGAAATTTGGTACACAGATTGGTTATATTCTAATTGAACATATACTTTACAGTATGAAACAAGCGGGCAACGCCGCGGGAAAAGGCTTGTAACAAACATCTTTACAAACTTTTACAGCATATCTATCTATATAAATAAAATCCAATGCCAAATGTATGTGAGCGTAAGCAATTCAAAGTTGCATCCATTTGACTAATTATTTTTTGTTGTGTTGTACAATTACAAACATTGACAGGACAAGATTTGTAGGAAAGAAAAACATGTTTGAAAAATCATAAGGAAACATGAAAAATATGTGATAAAAACTACACAAAAAGTGAGTGAAGAGTTTTGATCTCATTTTCTTCATTAGTACACCCGTGCGAAGCAGGGTCGGCCAACTAGTTTCTAATATAGCACAATATAATAGATAGGGGGGAGAAAGATTGTTAGTAATGGGGACTTTAATCTTCATTTCTAACAATAACCCAGTCAGGTCGACCTCCACACGGTTCCTCCTGGAAACTATCGTGATTAATTATTGTCAAATTCGTCGCGATGGGGGCCAACTGACCTGACTTTATCCTCACCTATCATCTATCATTGGTACCCTGCTAGTAAATACCGATAGCGTGGGCGAGGTTATCATTCTATTGTCATTAATAAAAAAAATATAATAGATAGGGACACATACCTTTAGGCTGATAGTTTTGAGTTCAGCTAATAAGTACAGATCCATGAAGTACTCCTGGCAGAATAGACACGCACCCTTCCGTCGGCCGTCGATCGTCGATGCCTGAAACGGAAAACATGGCAAAATTACTTACAAGTACTTATAGAAGTAATAGAAGAGGCAAAATGCTGGGCCATCTTATACGACACGACGATGAGAAGAAAAAAATAGAAAACAAAAGAGGAAGGGAAGACCGAGGAATAACTACATGGGGCAGATAAAAGAAACACTAGGTGTCATGTCGTACGAGGAGGTCACGGATATGGCCTGGAATAGAGCTGGCTGGAAGAATATGCATGATTTAGTTACACCGACAAGAGGAAATTTTTAAATAAAAAAAAAGTAACAAAATAGAGGTCATACGTATTACGTACATGAACTAAGATTGCTATATTTTATAATTACAAATTTATACTATTTTATATCAGCGGTGTGGTCCCGGCATAGTGTGAACCACCCCTTTATTTGCCGTGTATGCCGTATGAGGCGACTAACGAAGCTTAACAGTTGAGGGATGAGCAACAGCGTACCTCTTAAAACATCGCCAAAGCCTAACTCCAGTTGCCAGCACACACTACCAAGCGTGGCAAATACTGGCAAAGCCTCTGTAAACGACTGATATGACACTAATATTATAAAGAGGAAAGACTTGATTGTTTGTTTGTTAATAATGTATAAACTCAAAAACTACTGAACTGATTTCAAATATTCTTTCACCTATAGAAAGCTACATTAGCAGACTAACATAAACTATATATTATATTTGAAAATTTTATCTATCCGCGTGAAGTCGCGCTGTATCGCTATTACATAATAACATTACTGTTGATCGCCGGAAATATCATTATTAGAACGTAGCGCCAGCCAAGCTCTTTTTAATTTAACAAGGCTAATTGAAAATTGTAATTTTTTATTCATTATAAAAGTAAAATTACAGTTTGTATTGTCATCATCAGCCTTTTTGTCTACTGCTGAACATAAACGTCCCCCTTGGAGGGTTTTACCATTAGTTGTCACGCTTGGCAGGCGGATTGGCAACGGCAGTTAGGCTTTAAAGATGTTTTAGTAAGAACGCTGCTGACCATCCCTCGACTGTTAAGTTGCGTTAGTCGCCTCTTACGACAGCCACGGGAAAGGAAGAGATGGCCTATTCTATGCCGGGACCACACGGGAAACTGCTGACGGTATAACTAAGTATTAATTGAGATTTTAATAATAAAATAATATAAATTGTATATTTTCATAATCACCAATGTAATTTTTATTAAACCCAGTTTGTTTACTTAACAATTTCAATGCATATGTTGACATTTGAACTTAAAACAGTGTAACAAATTTTTCCAGAAAAAAATATATTTTTCTTCTCTTAGGTCGCTGTGTAAAGTTTTATTCGTATGCTTATCTCTTACTAGTGATCCCTTCCGACTTTGCATGGGTATATACAATTTTCACAAGTAACATACAGCCTATATTACTGGCTGACAATGTAGCTTCCTGTAGGTGAAAGAATTTTTAAAATCGGTTGAGTAGTTTTGAGTTTATTCATAAGAAACAAACATTCAAAATTTTGCTCTATATAATATGAAAATTGACACAGCATTCTGGGGATGAGTAAGAATGTTAATATGTTATGTTCCTTATTATTTTCCGTCGCCACATGAATGAGAATCGTTATTAACATGTAAAAGGAAAATCTAATATATAAAATTCTCGTGTCACGGTGTTTGTTACCGAACTCCTCCGAAAAGGCTTTACCGATTTTTATGAAATTTTATGTGCCTATTGGGTATGTCTGAGAATCGGCCAACATCTATTTATCATACCCCTCAATGATAAGGGTGACCCACCTCTAAATATATTTTTTTTATTTTTTTGTCAATTTCTTTAATTTTAATTTTATTATGATTAAGCATTGAAAAATACATACAAATTCAAGTTTTCATGCTTTTACGATCGAACCCTGTTTTTTAATCGCGATTTTTAAATGCCGCAATAGGCTTGCAAGATGGCAATCGAATATAATAATTGTAGTAGGATAAATTTTCATGTATAATTCTCGAAATAACGTATATAGTAAAACAACGTTTGCCGAGATATTTCCAGCTATTCATCAAGGTAGATAGTTTAGTTTTATGAGATAGTCCATTTTCTCGGTTTGTGGGTTTTAATAGACAACTTTTTTTTTGCCATTTAATTATACTTTGTAATAAGATGTAAATGGCCGTTGAAAAGTAGGTAAATGAGAAATATTGGTATAAACATCGAAACGGGACAGGGGAAAACCGGTAGTGGGATTTCTTTGTAAGCTTTTTATTTGTTTGTTATATTTTGGCTAGCACAACCAAAATACCAGAGGGAGACTTGGCACAAAAGTCATCTGCTTGGGTACCTCTGTGACATTCGTGTTTCTGCTGTGAAGCAGTTGTGTGTTATATGTGTGTGTTTCGGTTTCAAGGGTGGGGAGTATGATAATGAAATTATAGGGTACAGAGGTTATGCTTCTGTCCTCAGGAATGATAACGCATGAAGAGTATCATAGGCAACACAGTATACTCTGCTATATCCATGGTACTGTTCATGTCTATAGGCGACAATTATCACTTTCCATCAGGTAGGCTGTCACCTTGTTCGCTATTCGAAGTTGCCAAAAAATCAAACATTATGATAATTTAAGATTCTTTTTTTTCCACAAAAAATACCGACTTCAATCGTGGCAAAACCAGTTATTTTCCTTTAAAAATTAAACTACTAAACTGATTTTGATAACATTACTATCAATCTCCGATTTTAAAATATATCCTTTCAGATAAAAAAAAAAAGAATTTTTGAAACAGGTTTATAAATGACAGAGTTTCGAGGTAACAAAAATAAAAAAGTAACTAGTAAAAGTAAGTAATTTAGAACTCTCTTTTATTTTGAAGTCGGTCAAAAATGTATATATACATATATGCCAATCACACGGTTCGTCCGCGTCACGGGCAAATACTAAAATGCGGGGGGGAAGAGATTGTTAATAACGGGGAAGTTAGTACCTATTGTTACCAATATACCCTATCAGGTAGACCTCCACGCGGTTCTCCCTGGAAACTATCGTGACTAATTTATCGTTGAATTCGTCACGATTCGTCTAACTAATCTGTCTTTTCATCCTCACCTATCACCTCTCATAGGTACTCCGCCAGTGTATACTGATAGCGCAAGCGGGGTTGCCATGCCATTTTCACCCATTTAAAAAAAGAATTACAAAAATGCTGACTAAAATAATTTTTAGCGAAATTTATATTAGATATGTAATATTTAAAAACGATTGCAGTATCAAGTACGTTACATCAAGATTCAAGTATTTATCCGGAAGTGTTTTATTCGTTTACAATCTCCGTTTTTTAAGTAGGCACGTACATACTAGTAATGTAGTTACGCAACTAGACTAACCCATAACACGTAATTTCTCGATAATTATCAACTATTGAGAATTTTTATAGCGGCTAGAGGTAAGTACTTGTCGCTACTTAGATATCACACCGACATAGTATCGTGCTATCATTAAATTATACGCAATAAAATACTAATTTACAAGCTTTATTTGATGAAAGTAAACAGTTACGCCCAGAGGTAAAAAACAAACAAACTCTTCTAATATTTGGTTACTATTTACTATCATAGTTTCTATCTATCCTACTTCATGCTAAATCCTTTAGGCCGGGAAGAAGAGGTTATCAGTAATGGAAACTAGTGGTCCCGTTTTATACTCTATCAGGTCGACCTTCACGCGGGAAGGGGAAAGGGATTGTTGGCAATGGGGTAGTTAGACCCCAACCAACAGGTCAGGCACAACCTATCAGGTCGACCTCCACGCGGTTCCCCCTGGAAACCATCGTGGTTACTTCTAGTGAAATTTATCACGATGGGCTAACTGACCTACTTTCATCCTCATCTATCATCTCTCACTGATTCCCTGCTAGCGTATAAGGATAGCGCAGGTAGGGTTGCCATTTCATTATCATCCATTAAAAGACCTTCACGCGATTTCCCTTGGAAAGCAATGGTGATTTATTTTTAATAAGCTCGTCACGGTGGACCAACTTATCTACTTTCATACTCGCCTATCATCCCTCACTGGTGCTCTGCCAGCGTTTACCGATAGCGCAACCGAGGCTATCATTCCATTACCATCCATTAAAAAAAAACTAGGCATCGGTAATTTCAATATCAATTCGATATCTATATATTGGGTTCCACTGGACATTGATACCGATATCGCCCATATCGGTCGGATATCTATTTTCGAATATTTTTTTTATACAACTTAGAATGGCAAACAAGCTGATGGCCCACCTAATGGAAAGTCGTAACCGTCGCCTATAGACATGAGCAGTACAATGGACATAACAGAGTATACTGTTTCGTCCGTGATACCCCACAAGCGTTACCATTCCTGAGGACTCAGGTGTTATTCCTCTGTACCCTGTAAATTCACGCCATATCTCACCCTTCAAAGCGAAACACAGCTATGTAAACACAACTGCTTCACGGTTGAAACACGAATGGGACAGAGGTACCCAAGCAATCGACTTTTGTACAAAGCCTCCCTCTGGTAAACTGGAATATGTTAAAAGTCTGTAAAATCCAATATTACTTTTTGGATAAGATTTTAACATATTAGTTATTGGAAGGGTATATAGATATTGTAACTAAAATATATAGTTATTGCTATATATTATCCACACCCCTTGTCCATTTTAATTTTTACACCAACACATAGGCATTGAATATTTTTTTTTATGTGTGAAAATGGTATGGTAACCTCACCTGCGCTTACGGGATACGCTGGCGGAGCACCAGTGAAGGGTGATAGATGAGAATGAAAACAGGCCCGTTAGCCCATGATGATGAATTCATCAGAAATAAACCACGATAGTTTCCAGGGAGAACCGCGAGGAGGTCGACCTGAGTCGACTGAGAATCCTATTGCTAGCAATATACCCATTGCTAGCAATAGGATTCTCAGTCTCCATTACTAACAATCCCTTTCCCCCCAGGCATTGGATATTAAAAGTACCGTA